GGTAGTGCGCAAGCCAGCAGAAGAAGGAACAGGGTCAGGCAGCGACTGATACAGAGGGTTTTCACATATAAAACGATCCAACCTTGTATAGTGCAAATGGGCACGAAGTAGAACCAGCAGACAATCGTCAGGCAGAGTATCAGCACGCAGAGCAAAACGGGTAGCCAGGACATTGTAGCGATGTTTGATACTGGGAAGACAGGTAATGTGCTTGGCGACATTGACCCAAGTACTACCCACAAACATGCCAACAAGTCGGTTTTGTAAAGTATCCATAGCAGTAAAATCACGAGCAGAGAGATGGGAGATAGCCAGACCATATTCAAGCTTAGGACGAATAAATGTCCTGTACAGGCGAGAGGAGAGCAGCAAAGAGAAACCATTGCGGTTGACACCAACAGAGTTTAACAGAGCCATGGTCTTGACAGCACCAGCAGAACGCAGAGACAGAATACCCGGAGCATGCAGGCCTTTGTATCGGAATGGCATACCAAGGTATGTAAATTCGTCAACGACAGGCAGAGCTTCATTGTATAGTACCAGAGGAGAGCCAGCAAGAGCAGCAGCAGTACCAAGCACAGCACATTTGGAAGGCTTCCACCTATATCCAAGAGAGACAGAATGACCAGCAGCAAGATCCAACATACGCTGAACCTCAGACTTTGAACCAAAGACAGCCACATCGTCAGCGAACAGGAGACTATTGATAGCAATAGGAGCATCAGTACCAGGCACAGGCAGCATAGTAGCACCAGTAGCACCAGAACGCAAAAGACTCGGTAAAGAATTGATATACAACGAGTACAAGTGGGGACTGAGCACTGAGCCTTGCAGAACACCAGTAACAGGAGAGAAAGCAACCGAGTTGTGATTAGCAATCAAGACAGAAACAGACACATCATCAAACATGTTGATCAACAGACCCAGAACAGCACGAGGAAGACTAGAACCAGCCAAAGCAGACCAGATAACACGACGATCGACTGTGTCATATGCTGACTTGATATCCAAGAAAGCGACAACAGGACGACGACGGTGCGCAACAAAGTAATCATGCATCAAGTCATGCAAGCAGAGGGCTTGATCCAGAGGACTACGTTGAGGGCGGAAACCACCTTGGGCAATGTCAAGGGCAGGAGAATGGGCATCCAGCTCAGGCATGAGAGAGAACTCAAACAGTTTGCGCACAACAGAAGTCAGAGAAATAGGCCTATAGTTGGCGGGATCAGAAGCATCACCTTTCTTGAAAATGGGAAAGACTTGGGCTTGGCGCCAGAGAGCAGGAGTATACGACCATTGATAGCACAATTTGAAGAGCAACGACAAGACAGGAGCAATCTCAGAGACCAAGGACTTGAGCATCTCAGCCTTGATATGATCTGGACCAGGAGCTTTATGTGTTGGGAGCCGCTGAATGTGAGATACAAGAGTATCAACATCGAACAGTGACAAATCCACAGGCACACAAAAAGGCAGAACAGAGTCAAAAGTGGGAGGAGCAGCAGGACGAGTAGCAGTGGCAAGCAGAGAGCCATCATACACCGAAGCGAGATGAGAACCCATAGCAGTGACAGAAGCAGCAGGACCATCAGGGTGGTTGTACGTAGGAGAGGATTCTTTATTACGCTTGATGCGCTTAATAGCAGCAGTAGCTTTTGAGAAATCACACTCCAGGGCAGTACAGAATTGTTGCCAGGACCTTCGCTTTGCAGCTTGTACCAGGGAACGAAACTTGCGATGAGCAACTTTGTATAAGAACCATTTTTCAATTTTGGCAATACCAAAGGCATGCCTCCATTGACTATATGAGCGATCGCGTGCAGTAGCAGCATCCTGAATTTCTTGTGTCCAGTACTTCTTCCAATGGCCAGGACGACCGGATTTTACACCAATAGAACTATCCAGAGATTCATACAAACATTGATTCAAAGAATCGTTGAGTGCATCAATATCTGGACGAACACCAGGAGGAGCAGACACCAAACCAGAAAGAGTACCAACCAGAGGAGCAACAGAAGATCGAAAGGATTCACGGAGTAAGCCCAAAGGCTTCTCTTTCGTCAATTTCGAGAGCTTCCATTGACGCCGAGGAGCCAGAACAGAATCACCAGGAGCCACAGTGTCATCGAGAGGTGGCACATACCCGAAAGTAAGTGACATCAATCGATGGTCAGAACCAAGAGACAGATCAGACTCAACCACCAGTTGAGGATTCACCAAAGCAACATCACCAATATTTGTCAAAAACAAATCAATGACACTACTCAATTCTTGCTGCTGCCGAAAAGAAGAGTACGTCGTAACGCCAAAAGCCAAAGACGCATTGAGCACAGACAAGCAATGTTCATCAAACCAAGGTTTGAGAGCATTACCACGAGCATTGGAGATAGCATCACCAGTGAGAGAACCCAACCGAGCATTGAAATCGCCACAGAGGATAGTATCCCTAGTCATAGGTAGTGAACTAAGGGCCGAGAGCACCTTATCAGAGGATAAGGGTGGAGGAAAGTAAACACAATGAACCGTAAGGGTGCCAACCTTTAGAGACAGAGTGTGCGGATTATAAGAAGGTAGTTGGGAGACAGTGAAGGGACAGGAAGGAGAGACAAAGGCAGTGATACCACCAGAACCACGATTGAAAGCACCAGGTACTTTTGAACCATAGAGATGGAATTGAGACCAGTTTGTTGGAAAAGAGCCAGATGTAAGCCAAGTTTCAGTAACCAGCAGAACCTGAGTATCCAGTACATGAGAGAGAACATCATGGACTGTTGATTGGCGAAGACCATTGGCATTCCAGAGTGAAAGAGAGACGAAAACCGGGGAGACAGGCACATTAACATTATTAGGCAGTATAGATGGGGCAGAGAAGGAACTCATTATTGATCCACATCAGACATATCACTATCAGATCCAGCCTTGTCCTGGGAATCAGAGTTCAGCTTGCGACGGAACAGGAAATCAGCCTTTTTGGGCTCCTTCTTAGCAAAGCGTTCAACGGCCTGAGCAACGGCAACAGAGAGACTTTCATCGCAGATCCAACCTTTCTGTATAAAGTACTTACCGACACCACTAACATTAAGTGGGCGGAGGAAGGACAAAGTTTGCAGGCAGCGAGCTTCAGTAAATTGGTGAATCAGAGCATGACGATCATCATCAGAGAGGCTGGCGTACTTGGGATCAGCAATATTGCTGGGGTCCAATGGATCAAAAGCAGGAAACAGTTCACCCTTAGCCTTGGTCAATAGAGCAGTAAACTCCTCAACGTATTGAACGTGCAACAGAACACCAATAACATGGGAGGCAGGAAAGCAGATATCCAAGACACGACCCAGATCAACACTAGCATTAGCTAGATGCTTACGCACTTCAGAACGTTGGATCTTTCGGGATCTACCAATATATACATATTGATAGCCCTGGACACCTTTGGTAGCAGCAGTGGTAAAGGCACGACCAGCAGCAAGACGTTTTTTGTCTTTTTTCTTAGGATCAGGCTTGTGAGCAGCAGCAGTAGCGATTTGGGCGAAATTAGGAGCTTCCTTGAGAGGCTTTGGAGACACTGGGATAGAGGAACTTTCGCCCCCCTTGGGTCGACCCGAACCAGGAGAAGTGGTGTGACTAGTAACTGGACCTTGTTGTAATTTTTGAATAACCAGGTCCTTGTCTTGTAAAATTTTTTTCAGATCCTTGTTTTCTTGTTCCAAAGCAGCCAAACGTGTAAGGAGGTCCTCATGCTTGTTAACTTTCTCTGTTACCAAAGTAAGTTGTTGCTGGATTTGTTGCAGTATCGCTGGAAAGTGACTCATATCCAGGGCTTGTAGATTGGTGTCCATGGCGTTGAATATTTTTTGAAATTCCAACAATTCGAAAAAATATGAAACAGGTGTACGACAATTCTGAAATTATAACACAATAAACTGTTGATGGATGCAAGTATACTGATACAATTTCGAGTGGATTGGAGTACTGGATGATGAGATATTACGTTTTTTAGTGGTTTTTAGGATACTTTTTCCGAAGAGGGTGGCAAAAAGTGTCGAAAAACGGGAAGAGATGCCTTCTTGGCTCAGTTGGCAGAGCGTCTGCCTAGTAAGCAGAAGGTCAACAGTTCGATTCTGTTAGCAGGCATTCATTTTTTGCTGTGGTTCTTACTATAGTGTGCGTAGCCTTTAGTTTTTGATTGTGTTTGTTTCTAGTTTCTACGATTTTATTATTCAAATATCGTTTTGTCCGTTTATGATCTGCTTCTCTAGCGTTTACACTCAAACAAATTATTATGCAGAGATTTATAAACTTTATTTTCTCTTTTTTTCGCTTTCATTACCTGTTTACTAATCAAGTCAATGTCTAATCATGTATCAGTTATCCTGGCTCCAAGTATAATCACTATTTAGTGTGGTGATCTTTCTTTAGCCCTTGCTAAAGCACCTGGTTTAGTGTGACAAAGTTGTAAATCGTCCATGGTATTCATCGTTGCTTTTATTTCTTTATTTGTAATATCAAGATTGAAAACAAGTAATCAAGATGTCTAAGAACATTTTGAATGGTAAAATAAAGCATACAGTCAATGGTGATATCACAGTCTGCTATTTACAGATAACCTCAAGAGATGTTTGTCTTGTGTAAGATAAAAGAATTTGGCATGCAATGTTAAAGCTGGATATATCATCTTATGTGCTTAATAACGTCTTTAATTAGAAGCAAATCACAATGTCGACTGTATTCAAAGTCGTGAAGCCCAGATTGGCCAGCAATTGACTGGCACTTTCTGTCAGTTTAAGATGCCCTATACAAGTTTGGAAGGTAGCTTTTTGCATCAAACGCATGAGGTACATCTGCAGCAACAACTACAATGAAAACCTTCACTGTCTAATTTCATAGTTGATGCAAAAATGTAATTTCAGTCGTTCGAATTGATCTGCATTAAAATGTAACTGATTGTCTAAAAAACGGTCCTAGGTACAGTCACCCCTAAAGAACTTTTCAATACAAATCGAATGGAACAAGAGATTTCAGAACTTGCTCTGCAAATCCAAAGTATGAGACCTCAACAGCAATCTTTGAGAAAAGGAGGATACAAAAAACATGCACATACCCCAGGATCAACGCTTCCTCGGTCAATGCAGGAAGAACTAGATGAACAAGGTATTTTTTGGAGTTGCGTTGACATTTACATTGTGATTGACACTTTCCCTATGTAGAGACAGACGATCGTAAATTTGGAAAGAAATTCACCATCAAAGCTTCTACCCGAAAAGAGCTAAGGAAGCAAAAGAAGGCAGAGAAAGGCAAGCGTAATGCAGAGCGCCATCAAAGAAAAAGGCCCATTGAAGAATCTGTCAAAGCAAACAACCATAACAATAAGCGTCAAAAGACAACGACGACAGAGGTACAAAGCAAAAAACAACCACAAATCAAAAGCAACAACAAAGTGGAAAAGCCAGTTGCAGCCAAAAAGACGAAATCGTCTGCAGAAGCCATGAAGCGTTTGGAGAAATCCAATCCAGGTCTTTACAAAATGTTGCAATCTGATAATTTGATCCATAACGAAGCGGGTAAAGTCATTGTCGATAATGGAGATTTCGAGCAAGACGATCGTGATATTGCCTATTGGGAAAAGAAACTAGGCCTAAACAAGAAGAAGGATAAGTCTTTGGGCAAGGAATTCGAGGAAGATGGCCTACTGGAGGTCCTTGGTAATATTGAAGGCGAAGATGGCGAAAACGATGATGATTTAGAGTACCTCAGAAAGAAGAGGCAACGTCAAAACGACCAAAAGAAGAAGGCAGCTATGGAAGAGAAAGCCGAGGAGGCTATGGACGATATGTTTGCTGGATTCGAGAGTGATGAAGATGATGAGGATGAAGACGACGACGAGGATATGGAAATGGATGGCCTTTTGAATGAAAGCGATAGTGAAGATGACGAAGAAGCAGAATTGATTAATGAAGATGATGTGGATAATGACGAAATGACGCTTGAAGAAGACGATGAAGAAGAAGAAGAAGAATCTGAAAAGGCTGTTGAACCACCCAAGGCTGCCGAGCAGTCTAAAAGCAGTGTCTTGACCAAATACGTACCACCTCATTTAAGAAAAGCACCAGCAGGCAAATCAGAAATGCAAATCAAGTTGCATAAACAACTTATGGGTCAATTGAACAGACTGAGTGAAAGCAACATGGAGAGCATTCTGCTTGAAATTGAGAAATGTTACGGCACATATCCTCGCCATGGTAAGATTCTACTCTGGATGGCCATTGAAAAGTGTTCTAACGTATATCCGATAGATGTAACTGCCACTCTCACTGATATCATTCTGACCTCCATCTCACAAAAATCAAATTTACTGGACTCATTTGTCATTACTTATGCCACCATTGTTGCTAGTCTGTATCGTTTGATTGGTATAGAATTTGGTAAGCAAAATTTAAGGAGTCAAATTGAAGCAACACAAAGCCCTAACATGTGATTTATAGCTGCACATCTCGTACAAACCTTGGTTGAACTGTTTGAAAAAGAGTACAAGAAATGCAAAGCGTCGATTCAACGTGGAGACGACAATGGAGACGAAGGGCCAGAAGGGTCCAGAGAGTCAAAGAATCTGTTGACCTTGATCTTGGAATTGTACAACTTTCAAGTCTTGTCCTGTATTATCATTTATGACATTGTGCGTATGCTGATTGAACATTTGGATGAAAACAGTGTTGAATTGCTGCTTCGCATCGTTCGCAGTAAGTAGTAGTTGCACATGCTATTCTATACTACACGATCACTCACACACCAACACGTTAGCTGCTGGGCCTGAGATGCGCAGCGATGATCCCACCTCTCTAAAACACATTATCGATGAAATTCAAAAGGAGACAGCTAAACGTGATCCTGCAACTATATCGTAAGCAAAGAATCATGCACAAAAGGTTATGCACGCACAGTAACACGTTCTTTAGCACACGTCATAAATTCATGCTTGAAACAATTGCCAATGTAAAGAACAACAAGATCAAAAATAACCAGACTGCTGGAGGACACGGTGACAAGGAAATGGTATCGAAAATGAAGAAATTCCTAAACGGATTATCTAAGAAGCGTACAGTGCGTAGCACAGAGGCATTGCGTGTCAGTTTGGACGATATCCGTAATGTTGAAACAAAGGGTAAATGGTGGTTGGTAGGCGCTTCATGGAAGGACAACTTGGTTGGCACTTCTAGCAAATACAGCACAACCAAAATGCCCGAAGACTTGAAGAAGGATCAATCGTTGCAAGAGGCTCTCCTGAAGCTTGCAAGAAAGCAGGGCATGAATACAGATATCCGTAGGACAATCTTTGTCACCATCATGAGTTCCGAGGTAAATCCAGGGTGACATTGTCCAATATATTATATAATAATGCTGCGTTTTAGGATTATTTGGACGCATTTGAAAAGCTCATGAAACTGGGACTAAGCGAAGTACAACAACGTGAAATTTGTCGTGTCATGTTACAATGTACAGGCAATGTAAGTAGTGTGTATAATGTAATAAGCAGTGTAAGCTGATCGTATCTACTTCCTAAATAGGAAAAAACGTTCAACCCATACTACATGCTAGTAAGCAAGCGATTATGTGAAGTAGATCATTCATTCAAGGTGACCTTTCAATACTGTCTGTGGGATTTTCTCCGAGAATGCGGTGAGAGCGAAGTGGGTGGACTAGAGCGAAGTGCGACAGAGAACAGCGTCCACGATGAAGGCAGCAAGAATATCCGTGTCAGCAAGTTGTCCAACATGGCCAAATTTTATGCGTCCTTGATTGCTGATGGAGCACTTACATTAGCAGTTTTAAAGAGTGTTAATTTCATGTCTGTGCAACGTAATGCTCGTATCTTCTTGGAGATTTTGTTTGCTAATTTATTGTTGCAATTGCATTCTGGCGGTGCACAAGCCATTGCCAACGTGTTTGCAAAGATCCTTGAGCTGCGAACATTGGCGCAAGGCTGCCAGTTCTTTATGCTGGATACCGTGGTCCACGGCAGACACACTGGGCTCGATCAGGCTGAATTGGACAAGGTGCAGTGGTCCTGCAAAATAGCTAGAGAGGTGCTTGGTGCTAAATAGAAATAAATTCCCTTGAAGCTTAATATTAGATAAGTTTTTCTTTCTGCAGAAAAGTAACGTTTCACGTATACTCCTAGACATTATTACAATATAATATGATGATGTTACATTTGTTTCGATCACTTTGTACTCTTAAAGGAACATTTTATTTTCCTTTTTGATTTAAGGGTATATAAACAGACGTTGATTTGGATTTCTACTGCCTTCTCTCAACAGCCAGAAATGAAGAATATCTTTGTATTGGCCTCTTTTGCAATCATTGGCATTGTCCATGCCTATAACGTAAGCTTCAAAGTATAAATGCATATTGTCCAATCACTGACATTGCCTACGCTGTATAGAACCAATGCAATGACAACATTGTTGACTGTATGTATATGATAGTATGTGATTGATCCGCTACTGACACTCAATGTCCAGATTGGGGTCAAAACTCGTACGGTGCTGCTAATGGCAGCGATGTCTCTGGTTGGCAGCAACCTTTGAAATTCTACTGTGATGATGATACCGTTGATGTTCTTCCAATTGCCTTTTTGACTACCTTCTTTGGCGTGGGTGGAGAGCCTCAGATCAATTTGGCCAATGTATGTCGCTGAGCTCATAAAGATGCCCATCTAATAGACTATAATAGTACTGTAACTCGGTCGATAATGCCACTTTCCCTGGAACTGGTTTAGCCGATTGTCAAGACATTGCGCCTGAAATTGCCTACTGTCAAAGTAAGGGTAAATTGATCACTCTCTCATTGGGTGGCGCTACTGGATCCACAGGTATGGTGTGAAATCGAATATATAGACTAGCTCTAACACATGATGATGGCAGGCTTCCAAACTGAAGCGCAAGCTACTGCATTTGCTGACACTTTGTGGAACCTCTTTTTTGGCGGAAGTTCCAATACTCGTCCTTTTGGTAACGCTATTTTGGATGGGTAACTACTGATGTGTATGTATGCACATATCTCTCTCTATACTTACAGTGCTCTGTTTATAGTGTTGACCTCGATATTGAAGGTGGTAGCCCTAGCTGTAAGTGTGTTATTGTATCACATGTAACATCAGATTTGCATAATTTAATTTGTATATATCGATCGCATTATAGATTATGTAACCTTCCTTAACAGACTCAACTCTTACTTCTCCAAGGCCAACAAAAAGTATTATGTAACTGCTGCTCCTCAATGTGTTTACCCTGATGCTAGTCTTCAGACCACATTGAATGGCTATCCATTCGATGCCGTCTATGTTCAGTTCTGTAAGCAGCTAAAAAATCACATGTAGTGCCATTATTTAATGAATCTGGTAGATAACAATCCTTGTGGTCTCCAAAACTACAACTCTGCTTCTCAATGGAACTTTGGTATCTGGGATATATGGGCTCGTACCATCTCTCCCAACAAGAATGTCAAGGTTTATATTGGTGCTCCTGCCAGTGCATCAGCTGCTGGTGGTGGTTATGTTTCTGCTAGTACTTTGTCCAACATTGCTGTTACTACTCGCAACAATTTCCCTAGTTTTGGTGGTGTCATGTTCTGGGGTAAGTGAGCCCATTATGGATTCATTTGAAAGCGATTTGCTTATCCAATGTACACATAGATGCTTCTCAGGCTTACAAGAACAACCGCATTGATAAGGCCCTGAAGACTGCGCTCAAACCAGGCGAGAAATGTGATGGTTCCTTTACTTTTCCTACATGTACTGCTCCTGCTTTTGTTCCTGGAAACAGCTACTCGGGTGGCACCACCGTATCGTACAAGTAAGTGATTGTACACTGTCATAATGTTGTGATTCAATGAACTGACGTTGTTTGCATAGTGGGTAACTAGCAGCATTCAATGGAGAACATATAGACTTGCACTAACACTTCCTTACCCTAAAATCCCAAATATAGTTACATGTGGACTGTAAGTGGTAACATGGGAACATGATCTTGTATTGCATAGACTCATCATCTAATAGGCTAAATGGTACGCTACTCAAGCGCCCTCTGGTAATGTCAATGGTGATTGGTCTCCAGGTAAACAAGCGTCTTCCTAATTCACAATCATATACAATCCTCACACAATGTACAATAGTAAGCAGCTGTGCTGGTGGCACTCTTGGTGGAGGTAGCAGCAGCAGCAGCAGCTCTTCTATTACTACAACAAAGACAAGCACTACAACGACTGCCACTACTACAGTCAGCCAACCCGTAACATCCACTACTACCGTTACCATTACCGCTTCTTCAAGCGCTACAAAGACTACTACTACTACTACTACCACTGCTACTGCTACGTCAACCAATGCTTGTTCAGGCGTCGCTGCTTGGTCATCTACCGCTACCTATGTCAAGGGTAACCAGGTTACCTACTCTGGCTCTATTTGGACGGCTCAGTGGTGGACATTAGGCGATACTCCTGGAGGTTCTGCTGGTGTCTGGGTCAAGGGAGCTTCATGTCCCGCAAGCCTTGCTGCTAGATCAGTTCAGAGTAAGTGTGAATACCATTGAAACCTTGTAGCGATGACTTATCTGACTGTATTTCGTAGATCCTGTCGGAACAAGTATCGATTGCAAGCACAACAGTAGATGGACCAACACCAGAACCTACAAGACTGGTTCCAAGGTTGTATTTAAAGGATCTGTATACATTGCCTCCTCATTAAACTTGGTAAGCAGCTTGTAGCATGTGGCATGGCTATATAGTGTACTAAACTCTATAATAGAACGCATCTCCCGAAAGCAATTCTCTTGTTTGGAAGAAGGATGTTGTTTGCTCAAACCAACTCACTCGCTAAGTTATAAGAACTCACTCCCACTCGACAATCTATCAAAAAAGCTTGATGCTTATATTTACTGTAGATTGACTCTACATATATTATTACCAATTTTAATTACAATATTAAAGACTTAAACTATTCAAATTTATACTACAAAAGATTGTTTGTTGCATATAGTTTTTCTCCAACTCATGGGACGAAATATTTCGTACAACTGTTATCTTATCCAAAGAAACTCATCTCAGCTGTAATTTGAATGTTCGTTCATAGATCCAATGTGTATATGAGTGTGTTTTTTATGAGTTGTAGGTAAAAGAAATTATAAGGAAAGATTGAGTGCCAATTGACAATGATAGGAATAAAGAGTAACATTAGAGAGCAGTGTAAGGCTCAAGAAATCTATATCTGCCTAAGTCTATAACGTGCTGGTGTTCGACACTAATTGACCAATGATGTCTACAACATCTTCACTATGCTCTACGCAATATTTTGCGAATGTAATCTTTGATAAGGGCCCGACTGAAACACAAAATGCCTTATCATCATCTTTGAGAGCGCTAAACATGTCTTCATCTGTTTGATCATCACCAGCACACATAATAAAATCTGACTCTTGCTTCTGCTTGATGCGTTTTACGACTTCTCCTTTGTTCACAAGCAAAGATCTCACTTCCAAATTCATCTTGCCCACTAAAATGTCAACACCAGGTATCTTGATCAGCTCTTGATGGCATAATTCAGACTGTTTCTCACTGTCGAGAGTAATTCACATTAGATGCTGCCCTCTCCATCTCTCTCTCCATGAACAAAAAACTTACGCTTCTTGAGTATTGCTAGCATTGCGGTAATGCCAGGTGATGGATGATTTCTTTTGTTCAATCACAGTGCCAGGGTTGCAGTTGGTATACTTTTCAAAGATTTTCAGTGCAGTGTCCTTCCATGACATATCAGCGTCCTTGAGCATGTCGGTCCAATCATTCAAGCCTGCCTTCTTCATGAATGAGCCATGTTCGGCACTAAGGCCTAATCGAGGAATTCTTCCCAAATATGTGTCCAAAAATACTTGGTCTCTACCAGAAATAATCCACACAGTGTTGGAGGGGTCTTTGCAGAGATCGCTCAGGTGGTTTAGCAATGTTGGTGTAGGCTGAGCATCTGCTGGGTTGCTTACAATAGGTGTTAAAGTCCCCTTTTTTTTTGGATTCGATCAATTTCCGAGTTTGTATTCTTTGGTTGAGGAAACACTTACATCATAATCAAACAAAAACAAGCGTCTTTGAGTGTTCTTGTAAGCATTGAACAGCACGGAGGTATTCAACGGCTTTGTTGACTGTTGGATCATGAAAGAGAAAGAGGGTTTTTTTTTAGTGGAAATGTAACAATTGATGAAAAAAAAAGCCCATAAAAAGAAAAACTTTTTTTCCAAGGTTTTTCAATCAGAAAAGCCCTTAGTTGGCGATTTTTAAGATAGCAGATCTCTTGGATAAAAACCAAATCCCAGAGAGCCCAGACGTGTGTCTACTTACCAATGAATGGTTCAACATGTCTGCCATCTGCTTGAAATTTGTTGTATCCACAGCAATTTGATTTGAACATTGGGCGTGATTCAATGCAACAAGTGTAGGAATGGTATCATTTGTGTCTAGTGACGTGGAAAAGAGCGAGATCTTCGTAACAGCCAATGCCTCCAAAGTGTCACGAACTTCTTTATCAAGATTGGGATAAAAGTAAACATTCCTGGCGTGGATATTGGACTCGTTTGCAAAGAATACAAGCGCAATGCTACTAGACCATTGAGGATAGGTAGCAAGTAAATGGTTGAATGCCAATACAATATTTTGCATTACAATCATATCCGTATCATAGCAGATAATCAATTGCTTTGATGCAAACTGATCTTTGGTATAATATGCGGTGGCAGTGGAAGCAGTTCTAGCTGGAATAGGCATGGTGCTGGTAGGTGACATGTTGGGTTGTTGAATGTGAGAATGAACAAAGAAAAGAGGCAGACACTTATCTACAAAGCCCATATTTATACAGGTGGCGGTGTCTAGAAACATACTGATAATGACGAATCTGGCATGATACGCTTGATCAAGCAATGATAACCTGCTTTTTCGCCTCATTTTATGTAAGCAGAACCATCGTAGATAATTGAGATCCAACCTCTCGAAACAGCTCAAACCTTCCCGTTTCAGGTTGATCTACTCTTTCCGTAGCATAGCAAATAGTGGATCGTCTTCTCAACATCTACACTATACGTATCAAGATTTTATAAAACCACGTTGTTTTCAAGGCGCCATTTCAGTATTCCTGAAGGAGCAAACACGATTTCTTCTTGTTTAGCATTCTCCCTGTTCGTCTATTAACTGCCTCGAACCTTCAAGATATTGAATAAAAGGTATCAGTTTCACCAAACCCTCGTTCAAGTTGACCAACTTGGGAGAACGTAAAGAAACTGCTAAAAGCATCTCATTTATTTGAATGACGACAAGAAAGTATATATATCTCTTTAAGCGCATTAATAATCCAACAGCTAAGGGAACACAGGAATCCGGAATTTCAGTAAAGGAAAAAGTCGACATTTTAGTCTTGACCAAATAGATTGAGAGTGATGATTATACGTCTTGCCCTGTGCTACTTGGTCTCGGCAAATATATAAGCTGTATGGTAAGAATCTCACTGTGAATATCCCAAAATGTAAGTCTCTTTTACCAACGATTTGCATGTTGTTCATCTCATTGGTTGCATGGCCGTGATTCCCATTATTACAGTTCGCTGATCCCAGGTCAGAGTTATAAATGGAGCTTCAAAAATCTCAGATCATAAATCACAATTCTCAGAAGATATCTGTTTACGTGTACAGTAGGATAGCAGCAAGTATAAACGGCAGAATAAATTTCCCTCCTTGTATGGGCATTTTCCTAAAAAGTATTTTAAACAATGAATGACATGTTTGCAACCATAGGCTTTTAATCAATTACCATATCATAAACATCTGATCTCATGTTTTGCAGCTGTAGTAAATGCATAATAATCGCTACTCAATACCTACATCGCGCTTCCACTTGATATAGCCTGTAGTGCCTTTATAAATAAAGGATTGTAGTAGACAGCAGAACCTCTTGTTCAAATCAGATCAACGACTTTACATATATATCACAATGGAAATGAATGTTTTTGATTCGTGGCTGAACAATACGACCGATTTCTTTTGATCTCTGTTACACGTCTTGTTTTCCACCAATTGCTTGTTGAATGTAGTCGGCGGTACCTTCAACCGGTACAACATTGGGATCCTCATGTTATTTTCTCTCACTCTGCACTGAAAAAAGGTATAAATTGATCTGGTTCTGTAGAAGCAAAATCAAGTTTCTCTCTCTCTCTCTCTTTTTTTTCATTCAATCTCTTTACAGAAACTATTCAAAGATGGCTTCAGTGAATACTACTGACGAGAAACACACCACAAACAACTCGGTGACATTAACCGAGCAGATCAAGGTGCACAAATCAAACGAAGATTTATACCAAGGCAGAACATCGTCCACTGATGATTCGCAAGAAAATGCAGATACCTTAGACATAAATAACCAAGTCGAAGCAGCTGGCAAGGGATCTAATTTCAAATCAAAGCGAGAACTATTTGAATTTACTCTTGTCATGACTGGTATCATCTTTGCCATGTTTATGATGTCGCTGAATTCTACTGTGGTGGCACCTGCAATGAGTATCATTGCTACTGAGCTCAATGCTATTGAGCAGCAAACTTGGATTGCTACTGCTTATCTTGTAGCTGTAAACTCATTCCAGCCTTTAGCCGGCAAGGTAAGCATCTTACTCTTTAGAAATGTACACAGTTGACTAATCCTATTTATGAAAAAGTTCTCAGACATTTTCGGAAGGTACTGCAGTACAGTTACCGTATTCTTTTCATATTCTGTACTAACTTCTAGTACTTGTATTTTTCAGAAAAGCTGTGTTCATGTTTGGCATCGTCTTTTTCTTTCTTGGTTCCCTGATCAATGCTCTTTCCAAAGACATTAGAATGCTGATTGCTGGCCGAACTATCCAAGGCTTTGGTGGTGGCGGTGTCATGTCAATGACATTCATCCTTGTCACTGATGTTGCCCCTGTGCCTTTGCGTCCTCGCTTCCAATCTATGCTTGCTGTTGTCTACGGCATAGCTAGTGTTGTAGGCCCTCTCTTGGGTAAGTCTACTTTCTGATCTGATTTACTTTACTGGGCTTTGTATTAACAAATGTATTCACAGGGGGTGCCTTTGTGGATCATGCTTCCTGGCATTGGGATTTCTGGCTAAACGTCATTCTTGCTGCTGTTGCATTTATCATCATGTTCTTCTTTTTGAAGGAGCCTACAAAGACTGGCGAAGAATCATTTATGCACAAATTGAAGCGTATTGACTGGCTAGGCACTCTTTTCTCGATCGGCTTCATTGTGTGCTTGCTGTTAGCCCTGAATTGGGGTAGTCCTTACGGGTATGTATTTTGAACATGTAACATGTACGAGCAACTTACTAATCGCATTACAGATGGGGAAGTGCTCATTCTATTGGACCTTTCGTTGCTGCTGGTGTGTCTTTCATTGGGCTGGTCATTTCTGAAGGATGGATTTCCAAGGAGCCTCTTTTACCTGGTAGAGTCTTATTGAATCCTCCCGTTACGCTTGTGTATGGTTATATGATGTGTTTGGGTCTCACTTTTATTGGTACCTTATACTTTGGCCCTGTCTATTATCAAGCTGTGTTTGGTGTCAACAGTACTGATTCTGGCCTTCGTCTCATTCCTTTCATGGTCTGTCTCATCGGCGGTTCGGTTGGCTGTGGTATTTTGCTCAGAAGATATCCAAACACAAAGTATTACCTCGTCATTGGTTCTGCTTGCAACCTGTTGGGTTATGGTCTTTTCTACACTGTCAACGAGAATAGCACTTGGGGCCAACAAGCTGGTTACCTTGCCTTCTGCGGTTTCGCTTTCGGTTTGTCTCAACAAAATGCCATCTTGACTGTTCAATCCTGTGTCGAATTGAGAGACATTGCTGTTGCTACTAGCTCAAACAACTTTTTTATGATGATTGCTTCTTCGATTGGCATTGCTATTTACCAAGTGCTCTATCAAGTCTTTCTCAAGAAAGAGTTTGCCAAGCTACCCATGGACGTGTTAGCTGCAGCTAATAAGGCCGGTGCTCTTCGTAATTATCTACTGATCCGTACTACAAACTTGCCTTTGGAAGTTCAAACACTGGTCATCAAAGCATACTCCAACGCCCTCCATACCGTCTTCATCTTGCCTATCGCTGCTGCTGCTATGGGTTTCATCCTTACTCTCTTCTTTAAAAACGTTCGTTATGGTGCTCCTGCTGATGCCAAGAACGATGTTGAGGTTGCCTCCATTCACACTACTGAGAAGGCTTGAATATAGACATCAAGGGTCTTATCATTCACTCTATTTACAGCAAACTTCATAGATGCATTACAAATCATTTAAAATATTCATTCAAGTTACGGTTAACCTAATTTTTTCAACATGTACTTTTACACTATTCCACCTCTATCTGATTGTACTATAAACAAATATTAATAAATCAAAGAAATCAATTACTGAAATATGCTGCAGAATAATGATATTGGAACAACTTATAAGTGGGAACCTTATATTGGAAATGCCTTCTTCATGAGATAATGGACATTGGGGATGCTATTTTTAAGCGGGGGAATATACATACTTTAAATTGGAAAATTTGTTACAATCGAACAAAGCAAGATACAGTTGTCTAGTCTCAACAGCAAGGTTTCCCAACATGTCAAGTATCTATTGATAATTTGAAACCAGCAAGTTAATATATCCTTTTTCGTACGCTCCAATTTTTAAAATGCTTGGTCAAATGCATAATACTTGTATGGTGTACACATGCGGAAGGTCAACGGAGATTTAATTTCTGATATTCTGAATGAGGATCCATAGGGTTCCGAAATCTATCGACTTTAAAATTACTTGATTCTTGATAGTGAACACCCCCTCAAACTTATATGAAACTTGTAGAGAATTCGAAGGAAAATACAATGGCATTTATATCAAGTATCTGGTATACATTGTTCAACTGATATTTGGTACGATTGTTTTTACGATTTTTTGACTGTTTTCAAAAGATTAATCAGTATCTATCATCAAAACATTTTGTTAAGCATTACTAAACATTGTAAAACTACAAATTTCCTATCGAATGAGCTATTGATTGAAGCTTTGGTATAACTCTATCATGAAATATTGACAATCTTGTCCTGACCAAAAAATCGTCATCAGATTTTTTGGTTGCTATATCGCACGTAGATTTTGAAGAAAAATCCATGATTTTGCATGATACTCTTTTTTGACCATATCTCGACAAATACTCACTGGATTCGCACAAAAAAAAAAGACCATTCGATAACTCTACGTTATATCCATTATAATATAAGAGTTTCAAGTATCAGGTGTACGTTCCCTTCATAAATTTGCTCAAAATCATATATTTTATGAGCTACAAGCAGGGGGGTTTTCAACTTTTTATTTTATTTATCTATAATAACCATACCATCGTATAAAGAATTGAAAAAGAAACAGAAGCTACTAAGCTTTAAGCTCACGTTCACTTAATGAAATCCTGCGCTACAGCCCTTTGAAAATTGTTCATTTCTACTATCTTTCCTCGTTACTCACCCACATTGTTCTAAATAACCCCGAGTCAAACGTCCTCTACTCAAACAAAGTACCCTCTATAACTCTTAATAGACGTATGATCCAGGCTTATATACTAATCTAGAAGTTTTACTAACAGCATCTGTCCAAAATTTGCAAATTTCTCAAATCTTGGTTTCTCATCATCACCGCATCCAATCTAAAATCCAATTGCACCATCATCTTCTACGCAAAAAACTGTCATAGGAACATGCTACTTTCAAAGCTCTAGCATCAATATTTCAAAAATCGATTTTCGATCGTCCAAAAGCTGAAAACCTCAAAATCAAAAAACATTTTCTACATCCAGGTCCTCATAGGTGAATCATATAAAACGCTTTTCTCTATACATTGAATGTGTATATGCTGCACTAGCAAAACCAGTTTTGTATCATTTGTATTTATACAGACTTACTCGGTATCCAAATTCAGTGCGTCTTTGGCCTTTAGTACACAATAACCACAGGCTCTTATAAGATTGATAAAAGTGTTTATAAAAGCAAGTATTGTTATTGTTACAGAAAGAAAATATAAGTGGGAATACATAAGAGATTGTAAGTATATATATATATATATATATATAAATATCATAAGAGGGTCTACTTTTCAAAAAGGGAAAAAGTCATCATAGGAACAAATGAAGGATAGGTAGTATACATAGAGCGTGAATTAAAGAGAAGATTATCAGCAGAAAGAGTAGGACCGACTTGTCTTGTAAACGACACCATCACCTCGCACCAACAGTATCCTGATACTGTAGGGCATTCTAGGTTTTCTTTGGTCGTCGTCGTCATCTGCATGCTGCTCATTTGCTAATACATCATGGACTCTATTGAGACCTACAGATTGCATCAATTCTTCTCGAGGAGGCAAGCGGCATACCAGCATTTCACGGCTACGGTATTCTGTAAATGGAGCTTTGATATCACCAAACCAGATCTGCAAATCGCGTGTAAAGTTCTCGCCAGATACTGTCATCAGAGTAGACAAATTGTAGTCATCATCTGAATGGCTCTGGTGATGGAGCTGCTGTGGTTGATTTCGCTTATTGGGATCCACGTAATGATCATTGGAAATGACAAAATGAGTCAGGCAAGGGAATGGCGTGCTCAGTGGTGCTGTGATTTGCTTTTCTTGCTGCTTGTTCTCGTCCAAATGAGGAGGCGTCCAGAAGGTGTATCTTGCGCATTCTACATGAGTTAAATCGAATATTTAGCTGACATCAACATGAAACGATTTCTATCAATCTAACCTGTGCCAACAATTGTCCACACAGCAGCATCTGTCACATCCTCTGACCAGTAGGCGCCAAATTCTGCTAGAGCTTGGCCGCTGTTAGCAGCAATGCTGCTCTTACGATTAGCCGTTGCCGATTTATCTTGGTATGCTGCTGATGGGGTGGAGATGGAATGTGATCTTTGCATAAGCGTGTTGTGATGTGCCGATGGATTGGAGTTGGGTAGCTTGTGAGTATCATTCAAGCTACTGACACGACGTCGCACGTTACTAGATCCATCCAAATCTCCCAGAGAGTTGTTATACATCTGCTGCATATGTGGACTCGACATCATGTTATAGTTGGATTGGTCATTCATCATGGACACTCGTCGTTTACGATTATTTGGCGTCATATTCGAATTCAACGTAGCAGACAAAGCACTGGCAGTGAAATTGTAGCATTCAGCAGCAGCAGCAGCGGCAGCAGGATTGATATTGAAATGAATGCCTTTGATGGGGCTTCTCTTATCTGTCGTTTTGTGCGTTCCAACGAGGTCGTTCAGACAAGCGAGGTAGGTCACTGGACCTTTCGTCATTTGAGGCATCATTGTATTAGCATCTTGTGGCTGCAGTTGCCGTTGCTGTTGCAAATGCTTTGCGGCATTGATATTGAAGTGATTCTGATAGGCACTGTTGGTATGGCTGTAACTGTTCTGGTAGCTGGCTTCAGCCTGTTGTGCTTGGTGTTGAATGACATTCTCATGTTGCACTATCTGTAAAGCGATTTTATGTAACTGGGATACCGGATCGCCAAGCACCTCATCGCCATACTCACCGCCACCTGAGAAGGAGGGATCAAACTCTTCCGGACAACGAGCGCCGCCCACTACCATGGAAGCTTTGTCTACCTTGCGAACAATCATCACAGGACTAACGAGGCCAGTCGTCAGGCACTGAAGCACTACATGTTGATTGTAGCGAATCGCTAATGGTTGATTTGTCTTGTTTTTGAGGGCAATGGTAGGAGGGTTAGGATATGGTATAGTAGGCACAAGACTCGGACATCCAATGTACTCGTCAGCACGAGAGACAGAAGTAGACTCGTCTGCAGTAGTGCCTTGGGTAGGGTCGACGATCCATATGACGAACGGGTCCCATGAACTGGTTCTTGCCACAAAGCAGGTATCCGTATTGGCTTGAGGAGACTTTTGGCTCTGAAGCCTGCCTGGATAATCAAACAAGGAGGATTCGCCCGATGTGGATGACACACCCAAATACTTTGTCGACACAGTTTGCGATCGAATACGGTTAAATAGAGACACAGTGGTGCCATGGTAGATGCAAACTATTGTATTCAATAGTTAGAGTGTGTAAGGGCCTTGCAGCGGATACTTACGTTCAATGTTCTTGACACTTTGACGCTTCTTGCTAGGCTTACTAATCACTTTAATGCCTCTACTAGAAAGAGTGCCCAGCATGAGGCCGTTTGCAAGCTGTACTTTGATCAGACATTCGACCTTCTTTCGCTTTTCATCTGCATCATTGATATAGAGTCGCTTTAGAACGCAACGACCACCTGCCAATGTTTCTTTTCTGCTATTGCGATACCAATCATCGTTTGCGTTTGACTTGCTTTCACCGTTAGCAGTGTTTTCTATTGCCAATGCTACTGCTGCTGGTGCTGTGGATGTGTTTTTATTGCCTTTGTTAGCAGGCGCAGTGGACGCCGTCTTTGCATTGTTCAGCGTTCCACCCGTCTGCCCCACCACCGTGCCGGATAAAGCATACCATTCGATTCGTCCTGATTGCTGTCCAGATGTCTCACCAGAAATACATATGGTCAATGAAGGAGGGGCTCGAATGACATTGTCCTTGTCGCAAAACAGTGCATCTTGCTGGTGCTCTTCGTTCTGTTGACTCGCTACTGACGGAGGCGTCCACCAGCTAGAACCAACCAAGATGGTAGTAGGCGGAGGGCACAGAAATCTATGGATTATCTGTTTCAGCTCATGTAATGAATAATCCCCAACAAGCCAAGGATTACCTTTTTTCTGTTCCATAGCTTTTCTGAGCAACTTTACTTGTCATGATAATGACTGTGCGTTCTCCAGCCTCAATTGGATCGTCGGCATGAAGGTACGCTTGGATCGCTGGTTTCATTTTGACAGCATTTACCATACCTTGCATCATACGAGAAGACACAGAGGAGCTAATGCGGCTTGGTGCTGGTGATTGAAACTCGAGAAACGCTGGCTTGTTTGCAATCTCTTCAGTTGCATTGGATTGCTGACTCTGCTTAGCATTTCCAAGAAGAGAGGGAGTTTGAATGTGTTGGTTCTGCTGCTGTTGCTGATGCGGTTGCTGTTGTTGATTAGGCTGATTTTGCTGTTGCTGAACAATTGATAAATTTGAGATTCTGTAAGCAGGAGAAGAAGAGCTAGCGGTAGTTGTAGGCGAAGGAGATGCGGTAGTAGTAGGAGAAAAGGCAGCAGTGAGATGCGAATGCTGTGGATCATGAAGTAGAAGATGAGCATTAGACGACTATATAAGAGTTATTTCTAATCATGTATCTATCGTGAGAAAAAAAAAGAGAAAAAGAACAAACATCTTACCAGCAAGGAGCTGTCTTTTGGCTGATTGTAATGCTCATCAATGCCATCAAAATATGGTATAATTGATCTGGATCCATCGCCATTACTGTCGTTGTGGTTGAACGAAAACAAATCATGTTGGTCCTGTCATACAACATGTTAGCAATTCACTTGTGCTTGCGATTGTGCCAGAGAACTTTACATTGAAACCAGAAATAGTATGATGAATACCGTTTGACTCTTCAGGATTGGGATGGCTTTGTTGCTGTTGATCGGATGGCATGACGAGCCCATGCGTCGATGGATCACTAAACGGCAAGAAATCAAACAGAGGGTGGAAATCATGTGTAGCAGCGGGAGCAGTGTGATGTCTTGTGTGATTGAAGTTTGGCACATTGTTCAGTATGGAATCTAAGCTTTGGAACGTAGATGTATGGTGATGGTTTGACCAATCGATTTCATAATTTTGCTTGTGATCTGAGGTCAATGCTAAAGGCGTTGCATTGGGATCATTCAAACTGATGACTTCTGGCTGTTGATGGTCGTTTTTCTGGTTGAAATTATGCTGATGGAAGTCATGCTGCTGCGGGTTCTGTAACTGGAGATGTTTGCCAGTATTGTTCAGTGCATTATTAGTGTTTGTATTACTTTTTATTGTATTCTTATTAGGCAAATGCTGTGTCAATGAAAATGAATGATATTCCGACATCCCTCCTGCTGTTTATAATATATATGTGTGGATATATACTACAAGTGTCCTGTGAGCCCTCTTACTTTAGAATGGTAAATAGTAAAGCAAAGAGAGAAAGGGAGAGAAAGGGAGAGAGAGAGAGAGAGAGAGAGAGAGAAAAGAAATACACAAAATAGATGGGAAGAAAAGGGGACCTGAAATGATGGGAAAAAAGTGCGGGGTAACAGGCGTATATATACAGCTATAATCCCTTCGTTGGTTTGTACGCGGTGCTTTAATGGCTCAAATATACAGCAAACATCCCCTCATGCTTTGCTCTGGCAGTTGTATCTTGCTCACCTGATGCGATATATATATATATATATATATATATATCATATGAGCAAATACAGTTTGCAAGTACTAATTCGGTCAACCTCACCGGGGCTTGTTCTACAAATATATCTGGAACTTGCCCTCAAAGTAACATTTTATTTCACATTTCCAACTTATTTACCCCACATGTACGACACTACTGTCATACAAGGAAAAAGCTACACCTACAAACGCCCACAAACATTTGAACACTATCCTCAGGAACATACTATCACTCCATTGGTTCAACACCACCAATTGTGCCTAAAACAATACTCTTAACACATTGTGTAATCTACAATCTGTTGTTTCTGCAGACATTACCTTGATGGACAAACTCCAATGTCGACATGATTGTCTTCATATCATGCTCCATGATCTCGGCCCAATTCCTGACATCTCCCAGTTCCTGAATCATTCCATGGTCAATCGTCTCCTTGGGTGCAAGTGGAGCCTGTTATTTACCTTCAACGACATGTTGAAATCATCCACCAATGTCAACCATTGCTGCGTTTGGTTAGCGTACTTGGTGGTTTGATTGGCCAACCTTCTTGATTGCTGCTCCAATTCTTTTTGCCTTGAAAATATCTCTGTAACTCTAAAATCAAGTTGTATTGTATGAGTTCAGTCGGCAGAAACTCCAATGGCATGGCATATTACCTATCATTGACATATTCAGTTATCGAGTCTGTGAGTTCGTTTGTTGATTGTATCGCATTCTTCTTCAATTGCTCTGCATTTTGGTGAAATCAATAAACAACCTCGACAATGGACATGTGCAATCTACCGTTCTGCTTCTTCACTTCGCTTTGCTTTTGATTGTGTGATTTTAGCAGCTGCGATAATGATTCAGACATGTTGTTTGTATTTCTAATGGTTTTCTCTGACGATAAAGGCTAAAATTGTTGTGTAGAGGTGTAAGGAAAGTATGGGACAATATCAGCGCGCGTTTTTTGCTGAGATAATAAAAAAGAACCCAGAAGAGTTTCATCACTGTATACCCATACTTGTCATAAATGTGCTACATCAAAGAGTTTATTTTACCTGTGAGAACAACTGCCTTGAGTTTGCATTAAAATGTAGAGGCATTGCTTACTAATAATACATACTGCCAGCAATATCGGCTAGCACGCAGTAAAACTGCTGCAAGATGTAATTTATTGGCAGTAGTCGTTCAAATCAGTTTTGATAGTTGGCAGTACGCTTGTTGCACCAAATGTATATGAGTGGCATTGAGGGTGTCTAAAACGATCTGCCACTTTGGTTTTATGCAAATCTGCGCTGTACCCGGTCGCTTATTTGCAAAAGAGCTTGCTTCAGATCATTGCAACACATTTTAACATGGATCGATGCCTTAAAAATCCGTAAAAACCGCCCACTACTTGAAATTGGCATATAAAACAGTGCAGCACATCTGGACCATTGATTACAGCTTGCTTTCATCCAGAAATCTGACGATTCAGCGTCTTGCTCCTCACTTATCCCTCATGTGGGGACACATTTGGCTGTTTCCACGCACTGATTTCTCTTGCTACAAGCCGTTTTAGAGCTTCAGAGTAGCACCAAACCATTTCTCTCAACTAACACAGACTTGCTGATACTTTTGCTCAACTTTTCTGAGATCGTCAAAAATCGATCAAAATCCATGAGGTACCATTCATGATTTTCATCAGAAATCAAACGATCGTGTTTTGACCCCAAAAATGAAGGTTTATACTATGATACATATTAGAGCAAAATGTTTGTATAGACCCAGAGCAACCCTTGAAACATTGTTTATAAGACTTTTATATGTGATATTTCAACATTTTGGCCAAAAACCTCATTTCATATTTTCAAACTTTGCTCGTTAGACTTGTTCAAAACACTTGTTATAAATGGTACCGTTCAATGCGCCTTGAAAAATGCTCCTAGAATGCATTAGGAATTAAGGGATGATCATTCAGCTTTATATAGTCGAATTTGACACAATAGTTCAATCAAGTCGAAAAGCGTCAAAATGTGTTCGATTTTTGTAATGTCGATCTTTAAAATATTTTGCACTTTAAATAAAACCTGGAGCTCGACTCCCCTACAAAATATATATATATATATATATATATATTTTGCTGCTTGGTTGCTCATCAAAGTATTTGATGCTTTTGCGAATTAAAAAAAAAAAGAAAGTACCACGGCTTATCCTGATTAATTTTTATTACGTCGGTTGCATACATACATCTATGATATACCCAATTGTTGCAAACTGCTTTCGAATGTGGCTTCTAACGCGAATTGCGACATTTCTCATCTCATGCAATGTTTCCAGTTCCAGTGTGAGTACTACTAATAGCTATAGTGCATCAAAACAAACACCACTGTACTTTTATCTAATAGGCTTTACAGCAGCGACCGTATTGTACATGGTATAGAGCATAAAGCCATATACTTGATGTTGCTTTATTGAAATAGAACAACCATCCATACAATATCAAATTTCAGTAGGTTAATAGCATACTCATTAACAATTGTACTACAGCATAGAAAAGATAAAAGTCTAGTAGAGCATGCTCCCCCAACCTGCTACAATCTCAAAGAGATCGAGGATATATGACAGTTCGGAAGTGGAATAATATTTATGCAATTCCTCACAATTGAAAGTTCGACACCTAAAACAGGGGTTTGTGGCATCCTTCATAATGATTCAAAACCTGTTTTTCGCAGCGTTTCCATCTCTTTCCATTTTTTTTTTAATTCTCTTCTCGAAAACCAATGTACCGTTTACCACACCTCACAAAGCAAACAAGTCGTATTGCCAGATCCAATGTAAGTCATTCGCGATCACTATTTCCATCTACCATCCTTCTAACTGTATTGCTGTTGAATGTAGATTGGCGCTTCAACTCGACTTTACAGTAGCGCACCGAAAATCACTGGTCCAGTTATTGGTATCGATTTGGGTACTACAAACTCATGCGTATCTGTCATGGACGGTAAGGATCCTCGAGTCATTGAGAACTCTGAGGGCGCGAGAACAACGCCATCGGTTGTAGCATTCACCAAGGAAGGTGAACTTTTGGTCGGTCAAACAGCCAAACGTCAGGTATATAGGGGCACATCAGCCATTGGATAGTGGAACTTGCAGCTTACAATATTGCCGTTTTGTAGGCTGTTGTAAACTCTGAAAATACCATCTATGCCACCAAAAGACTCATCGGCCGAAAATTCAAAGATCCAGCCGTTCAAGCTGATATTCCTAGTGTATCATACAAGATCATTGCTCACTCGAATGGAGATGCTTGGGTTGAAGTAGCTGGAGGCAAAAAGTACTCACCCTCGCAAATTGGTGCATTTGTTTTAGGCAAGATGAAGGAAACCGCCGAGGGATTTCTGCACAAGAAAGTGAAACACGCTGTTGTCACTGTGCCCGCTTATTTCAACGATTCTCAACGTCAAGCTACCAAGGATGCTGGTAAAATTGCTGGCTTGGATGTGCTGCGTGTTATCAATGAACCTACTGCTGCTGCATTGGCTTATGGCCTCGATAAGTCTGGCGATAAAACAATTGCTGTCTATGATTTGGGTGGTGGCACGTTTGATATCTCGGTTTTGGAAATTCAAAGTGGTGTATTTGAAGTCAAGTCGACAAATGGCGATACAGCATTAGGTGGCGAAGATTTCGACTCTCATTTGGTTCGCTATGTCGTTGATGACTTTAAGAAGGAATCTGGGGGCCTCGATTTATCCAAAGATCGCATGGCTATTCAGCGTATTCGTGAAGCTTGTGAAAAGGCCAAGATTGAATTATCATCCACGGTGCAAACAGACATCAATTTACCATACATTACTGCTGATGCCACTGGCCCCAAGCACATTAATATGAAACTGACTCGCTCAAAGTACGAAGGCTTGGTTGCGGATCTCATTAAGCGCACAATTCCTCCTTGTGAAAAGGCCATGAAGGATGCTGGTATCACTAACAAGAATGTGCAAGACGTTATTCTGGTTGGCGGTATGTCCCGTATGCCCAAGGTTGTGGAGACTGTCAAGTCTGTCTTTGGCAGAGAGCCCTCCAAGTCTGTTAACCCTGATGAGGCTGTTGCCATTGGTGCTGCTATTCAAGGCGGTGTCCTTGCTGGCTCAGTTACTGACATCTTGCTGCTCGATGTCACTCCTCTCTCCTTGGGTATTGAAACACTTGGTGGTGTCTTTACTCGTTTGATCAACCGTAACACAACTATTCCTACCAAGAAGTCTCAAATCTTTTCTACTGCTGCTGACGGTCAAACCCAAGTACAGATCCGTGTCTTCCAAGGTGAACGTGAGCTTTGCCGTGATAACAAGCTGTTGGGCGATTTCAATTTGACAGGTGTACCTCCTGCTCCCAAGGGTGTTCCTCAAATCGAAGTCGAATTTGATATCGACGCTGATGGCATTGTCAATGTGCACGCAAAGGACAAGGCAACCAACCGCGATCAATCCAGTAAGTAGAGCTGTTTAGTGCTTGTAGTCTATACTAATCCATCCTTTTATTAGTTACTATTGCTGCATCCTCAGGCTTGAGTAATGATGAAATCGAAAACATGATCCAAGAAGCAGAAAAGAACGCTGAAGCCGATCGTGCTCGTCGAGATACGATTGAGATGGCCAATCGTGCCGAGTCTGTCATGAGTGAGACTGAGAGGGCCATGGAGGACTTTAAGGAGCAAATCGACTCATCAGAGGCCGAAAGGCTGAAGCAACAAATCGAGACATTGAGAGCTGAAACTGTCAAGGCTCAAGGCGGTGATGAGAGCGTCAAACCTGACGACATCAAGGCCAAGATTGACCAGCTTCAATCCAGCTCACTCAAATTATTTGAAATGGTCTACAAGAACCGTGCTCAACAAGAGGGCGGAAATGATCCCAACGCTAGCAACCCTCAGCAATAAATGGTGGATTAATTTATTAATATGATGAATTGAAGCAATAAAGTGAGAATTGTATTAAAAAAGAGAAAGGGCTCTTTTGATGGTAAAAAAAAATCTTTAAGCAGAGGTAGTAACGGGGGCAGGAGAAGCATCTTTGTTTGTTGTTGTTTCAGCGTCTTCTTTGGTGGTAGCTTCAGATGGCTCTTGTGGATGAATAGCAGCAGCAGCAGCAGCAGCAGTAGCAGTAGTAGTAGTATCTGTGGTAGCATTAGCAGCAGTATGGTCTTCTCCAGCCTTGTCGTTTGACTTTGGATGCTTCTTGTTGTAACTTGGAATCTTTTTGGCAAAGAATCCTGTTACACGACGACTCAATGGAGGCGATGCTGGACGTTCCTCAGATTCGGGATCAACAGCAGTGGCGTTGGGAATGCTATCATTCGTCTCTGCTTCATGACTTGGCGTGGTAACTTCTCTCGTAGTGTGATCTGTAAAATTCTATGAGCGAGTTTGTTATACAAGCCTAGTCAACAGTGGTTACCTGCTTCAGCTTGCTCTTCTTCCTTCTTTTTGCCACTGCCACCAAACAATTTACTCAACAAAGATTGACGCTTGTTCATGTTACTATGGCTGACTGATGCGGATGGCGTTTCTGCTTCATGCGCTTGTGCATGACCACCTTCAGAAGAGGAGGATGAAGAAGAGGATGACGAATGGGTGGGTTTCTTCTTTACAGCAGCAGCAGCAGCAGCAGCTTCCTTCTCCTCAGCAATAGGGTGTTCAGATAAAGTTGTAGCGGGAGGGGGAGAAGTTCCTGCGGCATCTTTGATGTTGTGGCTACTAGCAGTTTGCTATATACAGATCAAAATATTAGCGTGCCATTTAGCAAGCGTTAAGATAGCGCTCACCTTGATTCTGGTATACAGGTTTCCTAGACCTTTGCTAATCTTGTTTTCTCCTGTACCAGAGGTGACGCCAGTAGCAGTGGCAACAGCAGCCTTCTCCTCTGCATGAGCATGCTCCTTGGGGATATCTGTCGTATGTGCTGTAGGTGTATCAGGTGTGTTCGCTTCCTTCTTGGGTGCTTTGAACGGATTGTTGAAAAGAGCCCTTCGTTTGGCACTGGTAGGCTTCTCCTCATTGGGTGTAACAAGATCCTCGGGGCTCTCGTTGTTAGCAGTGGGTGGTTCGATCTGAATGCTCAATGTTGGCTCTGTCCTGGTTTCATCGGGTTTGGCTGGAGTTTCTACTACAGTGGTAGCAGCAGTTGGAGGTACTTCGATAGTCATGATGGATCAAGTAAGAAAGAGGAAAAGAGAATGGGAAATGTCTTGATTTATATAAACATGGGAAATCAAGGAGGTTCCCGGTATCCATACAATAAATAAGACCATGATACTCCACAGGGGGGCGTGCGCCTGTGGAAAATTGAATGTTGCTATGAGAGTTGTAACAAAAATAACAACAAATAATAATACAGCTTTGCTCATTTCTTGCTTGCATTTGTTTACATCAAATGATTGTATTTGCCGACTAAACTGACCAGAAGGACGAAACAAGCACAAATTGAAAATCTGTCAATGCTGTGTGCCGTAGCACAAGCCTAGTTGCTGCTTAAGCTTATTGTCCATCCCAGAAGCACGTTTTTCCAACACATACACATAGACATACAGGAATAGATTTATTGCAAAAAAAAACAACAACAACTCTAGATTAGCTGCGATGAGTGCCCATCACAAGAGCCAGCAAGGCCATTCTGACAAAGAGGCCATATCTCATCTGTCTAAAGTAGGCAGCTCTCTGATCGAAATCAACTTCAGGCTCAATCTCATTGACACGAGGAAGAGGATGCATGACAATCATTTGAGACTTGGCCTTGCTCAAGACATCATTGTTCAGAATGTAGGCATCCTTAACACGACGATACTCTTCTTCGGTGCTGAAGCGCTCCTTTTGAACACGGGTCATGTACAGGACATCCGTAGTACCAATGACTTGATCCAATGTAGAATAGACGTTCTGCTTGATGCCAGCAGCAGCCACTTCTTCCATGACATCCTTGGGCATGGCCAAGGAATCTGGACACACGTAGTTGATGGTAACCTGATAGTAGGTCAGGATCTTAACCAACGAATGGACAGTACGACCGTTCTTCAGATCACCCACCAAGGTGATGGTCAAGCCATTGACAGTACCGAGCTCTTCACGGATCGTAAATGTATCCAAGAAGGCTTGCGTGGGGTGCTCGCCAATACCATCACCTGCATTGATGACAGGCACCTTGGAGTATTTAGCGGCAATCTGAGCACTGCCTGGTTGAGGATGACGAAGCACAATGAGATCAGCATAACAGCCTAATGTGCGCACAGTATCAGCAAGCGATTCACCCTTTTGAACAGACGAGGTAGTAGCACTGACAGAGACTACTTGACCACCCAAACGGTACATGGCAGCTTCAAATGACGACGAGGTGCGAGTAGAGGGTTCAAAAAACATGGTGCTCATGACACGGCCTTGCAACAAGTTGATGGAGCCATAGAGTTCTACCAGATTACGCATCTCATGGGCAACGCCAAACAGTAAATGAAGGTCATCACGGTCAAACTGAGCAGATCTCAAAATGTGCTTGCGATAGAAGGGAGAGCGACCGACAACACGAGCGAGAGAGGCGGAAATCTCGAAACGAGGTACTTGAAGAGACACCAGTTGTTGGCCAGCGGCACCAGCTAATCTCACAGGGTCAGAAGAGCGAGGAATGCGGTCTTCTTGGACAGCTGTGCTTTCGAGGGCTACTGAGCTCTGCTCAATTTGCTGTTGCGTTTGCTGCTCTGCTTGCTTATGCGCCTTGCTCTCCTTTTGATCGCTCTCAAAGGTCTTGCCAGTCTTGACAGCTTGAGCTTGAAGAGAGACATCGCGACCTAGCTTGGCTCCATCAGTAAAGGATCCATCCATGAACATGGTTGTTTCATCCATAATGACTCTTTCCACTGAACCGTGTACAGTGCGACCAGCGATAGGGGACCAGTTATTTACATCGACAGGCCACTTGATCTTGCGATCAACAACAATTTCAATGGAAGTATCAGGCTGAGCAGAAATACCAAAGATGGCTCTGGGATTATCGTAGAGACGTTCAGAAACATCACTGATGGTCAAGCGGCCTTGAGAAACAGCGCCCAAAAGCAGAGGCAATGCTTCGTGAATACCAGCCGTAGCGTCAGCAGGTTGGCCGAGTTCAGCAGCCAATTTGCGAGGGACAGAGCCAATAGTGAAGCAATCAATGACATCCAAATTCTTCCACAAAGCTTCTTGCTCTTTTTTGGTAGGCAGAAGCTCGGTGTTTTCAAAGTCTTCAGAATGAAAGAATAGAGAATAGATGGCAACATCACAGGTAATGGACATACCCTTCTTCTTACTCATCTTGATCAAAGCCAAATCTGCCTTACTAACCACATTGGAGACGTGGATAACGCGGTTATGAAGGGAGGCCAACAGCAAAAGAGAGGCAAGATCAGTTCCCTTGGCGTCAGTGACAATCAGTTGGGAGTTGGGCCATGAGGAGAAGGCAGAGTCAAACACAGAGACCTTGCCAGAGCCAATGCGATCTGTATTGAGGTAGACAGCAGCGGCATCCGACGCATAGTCGCCCACTTGAGCAGCATTATCAGCGGTGGCAGTAATATTCAATAGATAGTCAGCGTAGGCTTCCTTGCGAGCCATATCACTGAGCTTATCTAACGTAATATCGTTGGTGACATCCTTGACAAAAGCAGAGACAGTAGTGAAGCCAGCAGACAGAGAGGCCTTAGCAACAGCAGCAAACTCATCGCTGTTCTCCAGATAAGCGTTCATGTTGAACAAGCCAGGCAATTGGGCTTGCGTATGGCTTGATTTGCAGTCGATGCTCAAGATCTCATTGTCCTTGTTACGGGCAAGTGCTTCAATAAAGAGCTTAGCACATTTGACGTTGGTTAACAGAGGGACAGAGTAATCAACAGCCATACGACGAGAGCGATAACCCTTGGACATGTAGGAGGCAGGGCGACGGAAACGGTTGCGAGAAGGCAAGTTGATGTACAAATCAATCAAATTGTTGGACAAGTGCTGTTGAAGAGAGTACTCGGCCTTGAGCTTGTCATCGGTATCAGCATCCAGCGTATCCAAATGCTTAACTGGTATGTTGTGCTCAGAGATGAAATCAGCAGTACCCGTGGTAGCAAAGATGTTGTAGCCCAGTTGGTGCAACTTACGGACAGAAGGCAGCAACTCTTGCTTCTCCTTGTATGAGCCAATAGAGAAGAGAATGTTCTTCTTGGGTAATGTCAGGCCAGTAGCCAACAGTGCCTTGAGGTAAGCAGAGAACTTGTCTTTGCCGAAGCAAGCAACTTCACCCGTAGAAGCCATTTCGACACCCAGGATGGGATCAGCGCCTGACAAACGACTGAACGAAAACTGAGGCACCTTGACACCAACATAATCCTTGGGAATGTCCACCTTGGGATAAGGTGTGACAGGAAGGCCCAGCATGGCAAGTGTAGCCATTTCGATCAAATCTACACCCATGACCTTGGATACAAAAGGAGACGAACGAGCAGCACGCACGTTGCACTCAATCACCTTGATCTCATTGTTTTTGGCAATGAACTGAATGTTGAAGGGGCCTGTGATGTTCAAGGCACGACCAATCTTGGCAGTGGCAACTTCAATCTTGCGGATGGTCTCTGGATCAAGATCCTGAGGAGGCAAGACGAGCGTAGCATCGCCAGAGTGAACACCAGCATTTTCAACGTGCTCAGAAATGACATGCATGATCAGCTTACCATCGAGAGCCACAGCGTCCATGTCTACCTCCTTGGCTTCCTCAATGTACTTTGTAATGACAACAGGATGATCGCGTGAGACGGCAGCAGCTTCTTTGAGGTAAGAGGCAAGATCATCCTTGGAAAAGACGACATTCATAGCAGCACCAGAAAGAACATACGAGGGTCTGACCAACACAGGGAAACCGACATTCTCGCAAAAGACTTCGGCCTCTTCGTAGCTAGTCAGTTCTTTCCAGAGGGGCTGATCAACACCAATGCTATCACACATACGAGAGAACTTGTAGCGATTTTCAGCGTTATCAATCATCTCGGGAGACGTACCAAGCACCTTGACATTTTGACGGTATAGTGGTAAGGCAATGTTGTTTGGTGTTTGACCGCCCATCGACATCAACACACCAGAGGATTTCTCGATTTCATAGATATCTAAGATACGCTCCAGGTTGATGTTTTCAAAATAGAGACGATCTGCTTCGTCGTAATCCGTCGACACCGTTTCAGGATTGTAGTTGACCATAACCGTCTTGAGACCCTGTTCACGAATAGTACGAATAGCACGCACAGCACACCAATCAAACTCGACAGAAGAGCCGATACGGTAGACACCTGAACCCAACACCATAATGCCCTTGTCTTCAAAATCAACGTCGTGCTCAACTGCATTGTATGTCATGTACAGATAATTGGTGAAGGCAGGGAATTCAGCAGCAACAGTATCAATTTGCTTGACAAAGGGAGTGACACCATACTCTTGGCGAAGTCTACGCACAGCCAGTTCGTTGCTGTTGATGTGAGAGGCAATTTGGCGATCTGAGAAGCCGAGTTGTTTCGCAGAGCGGATCAAGTTGCCAGGCACGTTGGACTTGCTGAAGCCATTTAAACGATTACCCAGGTTGACAATGTGCATCAGCTTGTTCAGGAACCATTTATCAATTTTGGTCATCTCCCAAATCTTGTCGACAGTGTAGCCCTTGTTCATGGCGTTGGCAATAGCAAAGAGACGCTGATCAGAGGGGTTAGTCAGTTCGAAATCAATGTCGTCCGCAGCAACAAATTCGTTCTATGTAAAAAGACAAAAGCTGTAAATTCCCCTTTCTTTCTCTTTCATTTTTCTACTCTCTGCAAACATACCTCACTGAAACCAACAAAGTTGAAATCAATGGCACGGATAGCCTTCTGAATAGTTTCTTCAAATGTGCGACCAATGGCCATCACCTCACCCACAGACTTCATGGAGGAAGAGAGAGCAGTGCTGACGCGGTTGAACTTTTTGAGGTCCCAGCGAGGAATCTTGACAACAACATAATCCAAGGAAGGCTCGAAACAAGCGCATGTCACCTTGGTCACACTATTCTTGATCTCGTTCAAGGGAATACCCAAGCCAAGCTTGGCAGCGACAAAGGCAAGTGGGTAGCCAGTGGCCTTGGAGGCAAGAGCAGATGAACGAGACAGACGGGCATTGACTTCAATGATGCAGTATTCCTTGGAGAATGGATTCAAAGCGTACTGAATGTTGCATTCACCCACAACACCCAAATGGCGAATGACATTGACTGCAGTGGTACGGAGCATGTTGTAATCCTCGTCAGAGAGCGTTTGGGAGGGAGCAATCACAATCGAATCACCCGTGTGGATACCGAGAGGATCAAAGTTCTCCATGTTACAAACAGTAATACAGTTATCTTGACAATCTCGCACAACTTCGTATTCAATTTCCTTCCAGCCCTTCATAGATTTTTCAATCAAGACTTGAGGGGAGGTAGCAAATGCCTTGTTACAAAGAGCAATCAACTCCTTCTTGTTGTCAGCGAAACCAGAGCCAAGACCACCCAATGCATAGGCAGCACGGCAAATGACAGGATAGCCGATTTCATTGGCAGCAGCGACCGCTTCATCCACAGTAATAGCAGAGGAAGATTGCGCACACTTTTCATTGATTTCATACAGGGCTTGAGCAAAAAGATCACGGTCTTCGGTGGTGATGACAGTATCGATAGAAGTACCAAGCACCTTGACACCCAAACCCTCAAACTCGTCCTTCAATGCAATACCTACGCTCAACGCAGTCTGACCGCCAAACGTGACATAGATACCATCAGGCTTCTCAAACTGGATGACTTTACGGACGTATTCAGGGGTAACAGGCAAGAAATAGACCTTGTCAGCCAAACCCTTGGAAGTTTGGATAGTGGCAATGTTGGGATTTATCAGCACAGTGTAAATGCCTTCCTCCTTCAACGCCTTGATGGCTTGAGAGCCAGAGTAGTCAAATTCACCAGCTTGACCAATAGACAAACCACCAGAACCCAAAACGAGCACCTTGTTGACATGCACTCTGGGATTCTTGTTGCGATTCTCAACAATACTACCACCAGGCATATGGACAGGAACAAGTGTGTTCTTTTCGAGACAGTCCTTGACATTGTTGATAAAGACGTCAAAGAGGAATTCAGTATCACGAGGACCAGGGGTGGACTCAGGATGGAATTGAACAGAGAAAAAAGGAAGCGACTTGTGGATCACACCTTCATTGGAACCATCGTTGGCATTGACAAAGAGCTCTTGGTAGTTTTCAGGAAGAGATGCAGCGTCGACAGCATAGCCGTGATTCTGAGAGGTAATGTAACAACGGCCAGAGAGCATGTTAGTGCAAGGAATGTTCTGACCACGATTACCATACTTCATCTTCATGGTTTTGGCACCTGCAGCAAGAGCCATCACTTGATGACCGAGACAAATACCAAAGACGGGTTTCTTGATATCCTTGAGAAACTTGGCAGTATTCTTGATGGTAATGTCAATTGTGGTTGGATCACCAGGGCCATTGGAAAGAAAGAGGCCGTCGTAAGAGTCAGCAGGCTCAGCATTGAAATCATAATCCCAAGGGACAATCTTGAGCTCAACGCCACGAAAGACAAAACAACGGATTTGATTGTACTTCATACCAATATCAACAGCAATGATACGCATGGTGCGACCAGAAGGAGTCTTGATGGCCTTGGCTGGATCTGGATAGTAGATCTTGGGCTCCTTGATGGAAACTTCAGCAACCAAATTTCTCTTGTTGGGATCCACCCAATCCACATCTTGATAGTCCACCATCCAGCGTTCAGAGGGCATTAAGTCGGAAGGAGCACTCAGCCCGAGAGCAGAAGCAGCAGCATCTACCGTGCTATTGGCAAGAGACTTGGGGAACAGAATCTTACCCAGAAGAGCACCTTTAATACGGATCTTCTTGGTCATTGCACGTGTATCAATACCATACAGACCAGGAACATTGTTCTCTTTGAGCCAAGTAGAAAGGGAGGATGTAGCCAAATAATGCGAGTAGTCCTGGGCATAGTTGCCAACGATCAAGCCTGCCACATGAATTTCACTCGATTCAAAGTACTTGGGGACGTCTTGGAGGAGCTCATCCATCTCAGTGCGAGAAGGCACACCGTAGTTGCCGACCAAGGGAAACGTCAAGACCAGGATCTGGCCACGATATGAAGGATCCGTCAGCGATTCAGGATAACCCACCATACCTTTTGTTTGTGAAACATGTCAGATCGGAAAGCAATCTCTCTTTGAAACCGTAGCTTACCTGTCTGAAATACACATTCACCAGAAATACTTTTGCTTTCTGCGCCAAATGAAATACCCTGATAGCTGGACCCATCTTGCAAGACCAAGGTAGCAGTAGTAACATCCTTATCCTCAAACGCAGTAACAGGGCGATGGGGAGCAGAGGGCGAGCGCGGAGAGAGTGTTGGAAGCGGAGTGGCATTGGCAGCAGGAGCAGGAATGTGTGCACCACCTACAGAGCTAATGATTGCAGGAGCAGTGCCAGCATTAGCAACAGAAGGGATAGGAAAGTTGGAAGACATTATATTTGAATAGAATTTAGGCTTTCCCTACAACAAGAGTCGAAAATTCAAAAAATTTAATGCATACATTCACAGAGTCCAATGTGATGGATATTCTTACGTGTCAAAGTTTACAGAGAGATGTTAAGGTAAATTCTAGATGAAGTAAGTTTTTTTTTTTATAGGAAAGAGAAAGTTTTATTGAAAATATAATGCAAAAATATAGGGTATTCCAAAGATTGTCAGCTAAGGATGCTGAAAAGTTGCATGGTTCCAAGAATTTAGAGCCTTTTTATACTCTAAACTGATGGATAAGCCCCGTCTGTTTGATAAACAAAGTCCCTCAGTCATATCCAATTAGTAGTGTTGATCTATGAGACACGCACGTCATGAAAGAAGAATTATGCGGCGGAGGTCCATGAGTAATCTATAATGCAATGGGAAGCTTAGGCTGGGAACACCAAAATCAATCTTATGGATGAGATCTTTTTTAGACTTTGCGAAATAGGCTTTTCTAAATATATTCATCATGTCAAAAGCAGTTTATAATAGTAGATAGAAAAAGCCATCTTGATTCTCAGTAAGCACCATCTTCACGAGCCTAAATCATAAAAAAATACGCACATCAATGTAAATGTTTACTTCATTATACATTCATGGTGCTTTGAATAAGGTCAACTCATTCATTTTGGCATCAGTATGCGTACTAGAGATCCTTAATGTGCTTGGTAAATACCAGTAATTGTGTAGATCACACTTTAGTTGACGGGTGTCTGGATTCAAGCACCAGAACAACTCAATGTAGCTCTCACGCTTCCTACGACACTGGCATGAATGCTTGACACATCATACACTGATCTATTCGCGCTCTACAGCTAAATTCGATGTTATAGTCTTGAATTAAACCACACTAGTCGAGAAATGGCCTATCAAAGAGTGCTCCAATCTCATATAGTACATTTGATACGTCAAAATCCTCAAATAAGCTCATAATGTCAAGAAAGATCAGCCAGCAACATTCATTCTGCGGAAGATGAACGCCAAACGGCTGATTCTGGACGGTGTGATACCCTTGAAACCCGAGCATGAGTTTAAATCTCTTGGAAGTTCTGATTAAATTGCAGTGAATGAGGAAAGTCTTTAATATTTTATCAGCCTTGTGTTGATTGCCTTGAAGGCAACATTTATTTTTAGCATTTTTGCGGTTTTAATTTGTGTTTGTCTAATTGTTTTGTGGTGTTCTCTCTTTCCCCTTTTTTTCTTCTTCTCTCTTTCAATATTTTTTCTTTCGCTTTCTACTGAAAAGGAGAGAAGAAAGAATGACAAATGTCTTTTATAAGGAACAAATCTGTAAATAAGCGACCGTTGTCTAACAGCTCGTATACACAAATGAACAGCGATGAGGATCCGAATCAGCAAAATGAAAATGGAGAGGCATCATCATCTGCCTCACCTTTCATGTCTTTCAGTCCCAAGCCCAATGTCGATGTATCTCGTCGCTACACACAAAAACGGCAACCACCATCCATGGCAGAATTCATGACAGAATTTGAACAAGAAAGAAGGCCTTCCTTTGTAGTGAGGCCACCAAGTGTCAGCTCCAATCATTCAGTCATCTCTGATGCAGAAGAAAACAGCATAGCATCATATGATGATATCGAGGAGTTCTCGGATACAGCAAGATTAACAGTAAATGCATCTGATGTAAATGGTTTCCATGGCAGCCAGGGGAGCAACAGTAATAGGGATCAAGAGCGACATGCTGTTGCTATGCAACCAAATGATGATCTGGATCTACAACAAATTTACAATACAAATGTGAACAGCAGCAGAATCTCTTTCCAGCAAGGTCGTCCTACAAGTAAAATATACGAGCCAGCTCTCATTGACCCCGAAGTGGATCAACGAAATAGGAGACTGCACAAGCTTCTCCACGTAAATAGACGAGCTTTGGCGAAAAACGTATCTAGAACCATTCGACGACTATCCAAAAGAGTGGTCAATGTGCATAACAACTACAGTCCAGAAAATGGCACAGCTCAGCCTCAACAGCCACACTCACAAGATCCACGCCCACAGCAAAGCCCTATCACTCCATCCTCAGATCAAGAGCAACATGCATTAACGAACAAAAAGGCTAGATATAATGAGGATGGAGGTGAAACAGATTTCTCTTCAGATATCAACGAAGTGATACCCATGACTCGAACGCCATCCAATAACCTCAAACCCACATCGGATACCACCCCTTCACCATCCACATTGCACAGCGGCAGTAGCAGCAGTAGTAGTATACACCAAAAAGATACCAAACACAAGATCCAGCTAGCAGGCAATAGTTTGAGATTGCTGTCACCCTCAAATCCACTTCGACTCTTCTTTGCTAGAATATTATACTACAAGTAGGTCGAGTATACAACTGTCTATTTCTATGCAAATCTAACACGTTATCTTGTAGATGGTTCGAGACATTTATCATGCTCCTGATTGTATTGCATGGAATAGTGCTACTCGTAGTAGGATGGGGATCAAATCCATTTCCAGAGCCACCAAATCAATGGACACCAACGTGGGATCAGATCGTGCTGCTTGTTATATTTTCATTTTATACCCTCACAACAATCTGTCGTATCATTGTGTATGGATTATTCGTTAATTCCACACCTGATTCGAAAACAGCCTTTCTAAGACATAGTTGGAACCGTGTCGATATTGTGTCGATTGTGTCGTATTGGATTGATCTAGCATTGCTATTGACGCAACAGGAGATTATAGGCGAGGACAGGCGGATATTGGTATTCAAGATGTTGTCTGCTCTCGTGCTCCTTCGATTATTGAACTTGACAGATGGCAGCCGGGTGATTCTGAACAGTTTGAAAAAGGCAGCACCTCTCTTGGTCAATGTGCTGTTCTTTGTATTGTTCTTTTTCGTGATATTTGCGTAAGTAAACCTGTCGTTGTGATGAGTTCTGATGTATTCACAATGGAAGCGTAGTATTGTAGGTGTCCAATCTTTTAAAGGGTCTTTCCGGAGACATTGTGTGTGGCATGGTAAATAGATGTGTCAAGTATACTTGATTTGACAGATGACTCACTCGGCGGATAGATCCCACCAATTCAAGTAATGTCCAGGAACTGCAGCAGTATTGCGGCGGATACATTAATGCTACAGGTGATGTGGTGCCTTATTTGTTGAAAGATGGATCGGAAGCACCATGGTCTAAAGGATTCATTTGTGAGATTGGCCTGACATGTGAGGTATAGAGTGTATTTAAAGTTTTTGATCGTATCACCTGTATTCAAATCCTTATATAGGAAACCGAGAATCCCTTCGGAGGCACAATTAGCTTTGATAACATCTTCTCATCCATGCTCCTGGTGATGATTATTACTGGTGGTAAGTGTGCCCACCTGTTGTGGTAGGTAGCTTGTCAACTGATTGGTTGTGCAGTGCAATCCTGGACCGATCGTATGTACGATATGATGGATGCCGAGTACTTTGTTGCTAGTCTCTACTTTGTCATCATCGTCATTGTTATGAATTTCTGGCTGATCAATCTTTTCATTGCCGTCATCACCGAGATGTTTGCCAAAGTCAGAGAAGACTCACAGCATTCAGCATTCACAAACTCAACTGCACGACCGGTATTAGCAGATGCTAACGAAGAAGGCGTTTGGGCCTATTCAGAACAGGATGAAGCGCAACGAAAAAAGCTGAAAAAGAACTCACCTTTAGCACTGGTAGTCAAATACATGAACCCGTTTTGGATTGTCTTGGTGGCTGTGGACCTTTTGTGCATGGCATTCAAGAACAACAGCATGTCCACTGAGGAACTGGAAGCGCTGAATATGGCAGAAACCATCTTTTCCATTGCATTCTTGTTTGAGATATTGGTCCGCATACTCAACTCGAGAAAGGACCTCAAAGGGTTCTTTAAGAGCAAGATGAATGCGACCGATTTCTTGATTGCAGTGATCACCTGTATCATTCAAATACCTCCTATTCGCCAAAACGTGTATGTGTATGTCTGGTTTACTGGATTTCAAGTGCTGCGTATCTACAGACTGGTTGTCGCAGTGCCGAGACTGAGAAAACTGATGGTAATGCAGCATGTAGAGCTTCTTACAGCTATAAATACTGACCGTTCATGTAGTCTCGCGTTTTGGGCAGTGTATATGGTCTCATCAACTTGTCTTTCTTTATTGTGTTGGCCACATTGCTATGCGCCATCATTGCATTTCAGCTGTTTGAAGGCGTCATTAATGATTTGGGTGAAGAAATGCGGTTCTTTTCAGTCTACAATTCGTTTGTTTCTCTCTATCAAGTAAGTTTCTGTCATTTTTGCCAACTGACCTGGCGCTCACACATGCACCCAGCTATTCTCTGGTGAAGATTGGACAACAGTTCTGTACAATGTGATGGAGGCAGGATCAGAGAACAACAATGCCGTCATTTACGCTCTCTTCTTGGTGTTTTGGTTTGCTTTTTCCAACTGTAAGTGGACCATGTTAGCTATGAATTGCGCAACTAACACTCGCTCCCATAGTCGTCCTGGTGAATCTGTTCATTGCCGTGTTGATGGAGAACTTTGAAATTGCAGAAGAGGACAAGAGAAAGCGCCAAGTCATGCAATTTATGGAAAAGACAGAAAATGAACTGGGCCAGAAGACAGTTGTGAGTCGTTGGAACATTTATAGGTACTTTAAGCCCAAAGCCAAAGGCCTCGATGTCAAGAATATCCCCAGCAACCTTGTCCTGTCTGTGCAAAAGAGCATTGTGCGTGAATTCATGAATGAAGCTACCGATGTCAATGCAAATGAGCCAACACTGCAGTCAACAAAAAACCGTAGTCTAGCAGAACAGCAGCAGCAACAAACTGGTGTCTTGTCCAAGGTCAAGAACTTTTTAGACAATCTGTATTCGGACAGCAGCAGCAAGAAGATGGAGGAACAGCGCAAGCAACGGAACAGAAACAGCGTATACATTGATCCAGTCAATGCATTTGATCAGGTTGGCACATTTTACGATTTCAAGAAAAGAGGTGGTGTTCATGATATCAACGAGCCTCGATCATTGCGCTATTTAGTGGATCCTACCTTGAGAGAGACTGTAGCCAACAGATATCAGCAAGAAACGACAGACCTCGACTTGGAGGAACGAAAGGCTCTCAAAAGGGACTTTATAAGAGCACATCCTTCCTACGATAAATCGCTTTATCTGTTTTCACCTAGCAACCGTGTTCGCAGATGGTGCCAACTGATTGTGCAGCCTAGTCGTGGAGAGCGTATTTTTGGTACTCCTGCGTCGAAATGGGGCAGCATCATCTTCTTGACCATCATTACCTGCTGTGTCATTATCAATGTGGTATTGACCATCTACAACTCGCCAGTGTATCAGTTTGAGAACCGCCATAACCCATCAGCTGTGATGCCATTTGTCTATGTGGATTGGGCATTTACTGTCATCTTTAGTGTTGAGTTTGTTGTCAAGGTGATTGCGGATGGTTTGATCCTCACTCCCAACGCATACATGCTGAATGGCTGGAATCTGCTGGATCTCTTTGTCTTGATTACTCTCTACATGTCTAATTTCGGTAACTTTGCTGCTGCTACTGGCCTGGAGCGTGGTTTCCGAGCATTCAAAGCTTTGAGAGCATTGCGCCTGATCAATTTACTTGGCCCTGCCAAAGAAACTTTCACTGCTATTCTTGTCACTGGTCTTCCACAAATTCTGGACGCTGCTGTGCTGGGTTTGTGTCTCATTGTTCCGTTTGCTCTCTACGGACAGAACGTCTTTATGGGTCTATTCTACAACTGCAATGATGGCGATAGTAATAGGCCCGAGTGTGTGTATGAAGCAATGTTGGGCACTCAAGAACCACTGCCAGAGGACTCTGAGGTGTACATGCCTCGTATATGGAACAACCCCTACGTGTACAGCTTTGATTCTTTCTGGAAGTCGTTACTGATTCTGTTTGAAATTGCAAGTGGCGAAGGCTGGATCGATGTGCTAACTACGAGTATGGGCATCACGGGCAAGGATCTGGCACCGGAGCAAGATGCAAGTCAGCTATGGGGCATCTTCTTTATGGTGTACAATCTCGCAGGCTCTGTCTTTGTGATTTCGCTGTTTCTAGGTGTGGTGATTGAGAATTTCACAAAGAGAAACGGAACAGCATACCTCACCAGTGATCAAAGACGCTGGCTAGATCTCAAGAAACTGCTAAATCAATTCAGGCCTGCCAAAAGACCCAAGACTGTGCCTGCTAATCCCATTCGAAAGTTATGTTTCAACCTGACAGTCGAGAAGAGAGGCAAATTCTACAAGTTTATGACATTTGTGATTTCCTTAAACATCTTGTTCTTGTGCACAGATGCTGTGTATGATGTAAATGATGTTGACAATGGAGAGACTGGATGGAGTCGTATTAAAGGTACTGTCATGGATGTTATGGCTTTGGCCATGTTGCTGATAACCACTCTTAGTGTATGTTTACTTGCTGTTTGTTTTCGTGTACTGGGTGGAAATTGCCATCAAACTGCTGGGTCTTGGATGGAAATCCTTTCGTAAAAACCTCTGGAATCTATACGATTTGACAATGGTTATTGGCAGTTTTATAACTGCAATTATAACGCTGGGGAACCCGAATTTGCAAGTAAATGTCGAATCGCAAAAGCTATTCATGACAGCACTCTGCTTTAAACTGGTTCAGAGAAGCGACAGTTTGAATCAACTGTTCACCACCATGGCGTACGTATACCAGCATTCATGAAAAGACAGCATACTCATCTATTCTACATAGTGCATCGTCTTATCAGATCCTGAACGTGTTTGCTGTTTGGTTTGTGGTGCTTGTGACCTATGCAATCATGTTTATGCAAATATTTGGCCTGACAAAGTATGGACCCAATGCTACAACAGAACACATCAACTTTAGATCCTTTGCTAATACTCTGATTTCACTGGTTCGATACTCTACTGGGTGAGTGCGTGGCATGCTTACATACTAGTCGAGCTGAATATCACTAACATTTACTGTAGTGAGGGCTGGAACTCGATTATGCATGATTTCACTATCGAATACCCCAATTGTGTTGTAGCAGACAACTACCTCGATTCTGACTGTGGATCGCTTCGATGGTCGTACTTTTTGTTCTTGACATTCAACATTATTTCTATGTACATCTTTATCGCCATCTTCGTCGCTGTGGTTGCGGATAACTTTTCCTATGTGTATCAAATCAAAGCCAATTTCTCCTTGGTAAACCGAGATGAAATTAGAAAGTTCAAGATGACCTGGGCATCGATTGATACAGAGCGAACAGGCTATGTCAAACCCGGTGATTACATGACATTATTCAGAGTAAGTGTAGATGGAACGAAAAGCAGCTATTTATACTCAAATGTCTTGCACAGAGACTAGATGGTATCTTTACAATCCGCATTTTTGAGCCCGAGTACTCTTACAAGAACCTCGTCAAAGAGTGCAGTATAAACAACGGCAGCGTAGGCAAGGCTGACAGTGATCCATATCAGCATCATTTGGATCTGAAGGCGCTAAATGCAAAGCTGAATTTACTCGAAAAACGAGATCTTCATGCAAAGCGCCAGAATTTAGAAAAGATATACTGGGTAAGGGACTAATGAGAGTTCTTTAATATGTTGCACATTCTGACAAGATATACAGGAAACTGCACTAGTGGAATCTGCATCCAGGGGCGTATCGTTTAATCAAATGCTACTGATGCTTGCACAAAGAAAATTAATTGTTCCTGAGAATGCTCTTATGTAAGTAGATTGTCTATTGTGCAAAGAACAATCCTAAAGTTGACACTATCCACTAGTTTGGAAGAGTTGCTCGAAAACCAGAAAAAGGAGGAAGCTATTCATACGCTCAGTTCCATTGATCGAGTGAGAGGCCTGATAGAGACCATCTCGTTGCGGAAAAAGTTCTTGAAACATCTTGAAAGCAAAAAGCAAAGAGATGGTAAGTCTTGATTTTCTTGTGTAATGTCATGGGATCTCATTCCCATTTGTTATTATAGTGCCTGCTATCATCATTGACAGAGGAGATGTAGGACAATCTTCATCACCAATCAGTGCAACCGAATTACAGTCTCACAATGATGGTTCTGTTATATCCGTAACAAACGTTGCAAAGTAAGGGATAGGGTCTTTTTGATGAATAACGTACCAACCCCTATTTACAGTAATAGCCGCTCTTCTTTCTATGATCTGTACCTTTCCAGTGAGGAGGAAGATTTCGTAGAGGATGACAAGGATTTGATAGATCATGACGATCCCGATGGTGGGGATAATCGTTCTCACGCCGATGATAGTATCGTTGAAGACACCTCCTCTCATGATATTTGGCAAGGTAAAAAGAACGCTTAAGCTGCATTCAGAACATTATGACTAACCCGCATATGATTTAGAGATGTTGAGGAATGAGTTTAAATAGATAGCTTGTGTTCAGAACCTTAAATCAATTAAAGCCAAACACATACTTCCTTCAATTTACAAGCCTATTGCAACAAAAAGACACGAGGGGTTCAGTATAAGCTGATTAAGACATATGGCATATTACCATAACATTGCAAGATGATGTTTTGCTATCAAGTTCACTAAAAGTACAACAAGAACAAATGCAATGAGCTTGATCCAACTCTAAAAAGACCTCTGTCAGATGCTGATCGATCAGAGCTATCGTTTTCAAGCCAACCTATAACTTAAACACACCTTGATAAGCCGCAAATAATCGATCAACAATGCTTAGATGATCAGATAATTAGCTGCTGCCAACACACATATATTTGTATTCAAATATCTTTCAAGATCCCAGCAAATTCCAAGCTACAAATGTGTTAAACAGTGATATGTAAATACAAGCAACACGACAACTAACTTTTTGTGTTACTTATAGACAACTTGACTATGTTTGCAAGATGTCTTCTGCTCTACTGACTTAAGACCTTCCTTTTCTGGAAGACATCTAAACGAATGAAGTCTTCAAAATCTGATTTCAAGCAATGTCTGAGAATGCATTTATGTTGATAGAGGTGCTTCTATCAAGTAATAAACTGGTAGTATATAGTCATTGAAACTGAATTCGCACTACTTGCCGCAGCTGCTTTGTTGATTCATATCAGGCCAGATACGAACCATCTGCTGGCTCCATACCTATGGCACTTGAGTGTAATATTATTAGTTACGAGCCTTTGACCAATATCGCAAAATTAATATAGCTAAAACATTGAGAGAATCCTGATTGTTGATTGATATAGAATTACTAATCATATGAGAGTTTACGCTTCGGATGGCTCTCCACCTTCGCTTCGCTTCGGTGAGAACCAACTTGCGCAGCGGCAGCTTGTGCTACTGATTGCTCCTGCGTATCTTATCAAAATACTGCTACTTTTATGTTGACCCTTCACTTACACATAAAAACCCTTCGTATTATCTGTAGATCTGATTCTTATGTGATGCTCTACATCCATATACACGTAGCTACTTCATATACGGGCAAGTAGCATACAAATATGATCCCTTTTTAGTCAAGAGTGTGCCTAATACAGCAAAATTTGAGTGCATCTGAGCTGCGTTTTCTCGCGTTCAAGGCCGTTTTAGATCGTCAGAATAGCCCCAAATGGTTGCTTTCATCTGGCAGTTACTTTCTGACACCCTTGCTCAACTTTTTGGAGATCAAAAAAACATGGATGAAATTTGACCAAAGAGCATGAGGTACCCCTCATAGTTTTCATCGAAAATCAAACGACCGCGTTTTTCACCTTGAAAATGGAGACTTTTACTATGGTATATCTTGAATCAAAATGTTTCTATCAATCCAAAGCAACCTCTGAAATTATCTTTGTGGGGCTTTGATATGTAAAATTTCGACATTTTGGCCATAAACCTCTTTTCATATTTCTACAAATCATTCAATAAGTGTATTCAAAACATCTATATAACTTGGTACCATAGGAAGCGCCTTGAAAAGTACTCCAGGAAAGCTTAAGGAAGCATGGGGTGATTATCATACTTCACTTAGTCGAATCTGCAAAAATAGCTCGATCGAGTCCAGAATCATCAAAATTTGTCCAATCTGAAACAGACTATGATTCTGGGCTTGAATTAATTTTGGCTTGTGGGGGGGCCAGCTAGCAAACTCAATGCCCTTTTCACCATGAAGGCAATACAGTAATAGATGCTTTCAAAGCGTATAAAAAGTAGGTGGCAAATCACAGCGCTATAGTTAATTATGCTATCTTCTTGCATTCTATATCTAATAACGTTAGTTTGGACATTGGCGATTCATGGGTTGCATAACATCTTTGCAGTAAATAGGGAAATCTCTGAGGCTTTAGGTCGTCGTTCAAAGAAAACTTTTGCAGCATTGAGCAGAGGAGAGAGGGTAGATATAACAGTGGCTTTTGTTGATTGATTGTAAAATCATTAATCATATATGAGGCAGGCCTGACAGATGCCTCAGATCTCAATTTCCATATTAGGGTTGTAAAAGTGTCTAGGGACAGGTCATTGGTAAATACAGGACTTGTGTAAGATCAACAGCGACTTGTTTGTGATATTGTCATTGCAAAAGGCAAGTTCATGAGGCAAACTCCCCAAAAAAAGTACTCAGGCTAATCAATTGTCCTTTCAAATCCATTGTTCCCATTTAGTCAGCATCGCAATCATCATTGTCATCGACAGAAAGGCATTTTGGTCAGCCAGCAACAGTGCCGCCGCCAAAATTGATTCAAACTCAGCCTTTTTTTTTGTTCAAGATTGGCCAGATTTCGTCTTTTCTCGACTTCTTTAATCTATTTTGTGATATTCGATTATATAAACTGTAATGATCACCCTACGCTTCCTAATACAAAACAGAAGAGATGTTACTCAACTCAGTCAGAACTCAATGTCAGATCTACGGACAACGACAACCGTCTCTCCTAGGTAGAGTCACCATCGTCAACAGCCTCATTTTGTCCAAGGTGTGATACAGTCTGCGCATGCTGAAGCCTACCAAACGGTTTGTAGAGAACGTAAAGTCCTGTGTTTATCAATTTGTCTGGAAGAAGAAGCGGCCATTACTACGCAAAGAACTCATATTCCTACCCAAGTCCAGAGGTGGTCTTGCTGTTCTCAACCCTTCTCTCCAACAATTGATCCTCCAAAAACGCTGGCTCAATTATCTTGTTGAACCGCAGAAATATCCGTCCTTCCTGCGTCCCTTCATGCTCTATCACGTATCACTGCTACCGGCGTCATCAGAGTTTCCTTACTTGGCCTTCGTCGATGCTGAATACCGCAAGTCCTCCCTGATACACAAGGATCTTCCTATTTGGCATTCTATCTTCGCCATGTATGACTATTTTGATTTCAGTGGACTTCAACAAGTGAATTTCCTTCCGGTCCAGACCATTCTGCAATTGCCTTTGCACAAGCTTCTCATAGGCCTCAGCGATGATCACTGGCTCCGGCGTCATCCCAAATTTCCAGCAAACAAGTTCCTAATCTTTGATAGCCAACAACAACGGCTGTGTCTTCGTGTTGCTTCTGAATATTCGAGCTGCTCGCTTCTTTGTGCCTCGCTCTATCAAGATATTCTCATGCTCAAAACCGTCAAACTGGTTCCTGGTGTGTGGCCTCACATTCTGCAGCCTCCTTCCACCTCCACCTTAGATTGGACGAGCTTTGATTTCTTCAGCAAATTGGGCACTAAAGACCTATGGACTCAGTACCATCCCGTAACCTTTCGTCAGCAGCAACAACAGTTGGTTCCGTCGGATCATCGTTTCAACAATTCAATGGTCAAGACATTATGGTCAGCACCTGCTCATCCAGCGGCAAGAACGGTCCTCTATCGGGCACTGTCGAAATGCATCCCTCATAAATCATACTTGTACACAACTGGCACTGTGGAAAACTCTATCTGTCCTTTTTGTGCCCTAGGCATCGATACATTGCGACATTTTCCTCGTTGACTGTCCCGTCAAGTGGCACCTATGGCAATCTGTGATCTCACAATACTACGCCAAATATCCTTTGACTTCCGAGATCATATATGGCACAATGCGGTATCTACATCTTCCTCGCTTTATAAGAGATCGATCCAAGTATATCGCCATCATATCTATTACCTTATGGCAAATGTGGAATCTGTATTGGCTTCACGGTTCACATAACCCTGTACCACTCTCCACCGCCTCCATAGAACACTTTTCCTCCAGGACAGTCTGTCTAATTGATAGACTGTTACCTACTACAACATAATTTAGATTAGGTGCTTATTCCGTTGCTCGAGGTCCACCACTCCGCGATGTGTCCCTCATAAAATAATATTTGAATAAAATATAATATTAACTACAAAAAAAATAAGCTTCCTAATACATTCTTAAAGTGATTTTCAAGGCGCTTCCAATGGTGCCAAGTAAAATAGATGTTTTGACTGAAATTATTAAGCAATTTGATAAAATACGAAATGAGGTTTTTGGCCAAAATGTTGCAATTTTGCATATGAAGGCCTCTGAAAAGTGGTTTTATAAGTTGCTTTGGATTGAGAGAAATACTTTGATTTAATATATGCCATAGTAAAAGTCTTCATTTTCAAGGCGAAAAACGCGATCGTTTGATTTTCGATGAAAACCATGAGGGGTACCTCATGCTCTTTGGTCGATTTTTGGTCATGATTTTTTTTTGGCTCAAAAAGTTGAGCAAAAGTGTCAGAAATGTACTACTACTCAAGTGCAATTGTTTGGCGTCATTCCGGTGGCTCGGAAAGATCTACATGTCAAGATAGGACGGCTTGAAAGCTGTCAAATTTGGCTTTGTTTTGTATATTAGCTTCTCAATAGACGCGTGTTTGTTACGAGACAAAGGCGTAACGACATTGTATGCATGAATCTAGAATTTGAGCATACTGTTACATCTAAATATTCAGCTGGAAATATTAGGCTGGGAGGCACTGTTGTATTGTAGCACTATAGCACAATAATACAGCTTACTAGTGAAGCCAAAACGGCTGTAAGACACGCTAGACATTTTAGACGCAATAGATAGTCTGCAAATATAGATTGTCCATAACTCGGTAAATCGAATTACTAGGAGGTCTGTACCATATCCGTTTCATCACTGGAGATCTCTGCTTCATTGTTGATCCTGTGCTGCTATCGATGGTATGTCAATGCTTTGTAATTAACCTCTGTACTCAACATCTACAACAGATACATCAGTACTAAGAGCCACTTAATTGCTATCTGCTTGCCATAAACCAGCCTCCTTAGTACTTTGGTCGTAATCAAATCAATCAAATGTCAAATTATATACTGTAAAGATTTACATTCATCAGACGATGATACAATGATGGGAGCGTTAATGTACAGAAATTTTATCCTTATATATTGCAGCAGTGCTAGAAATTGCGAATCTGAAGACGATTGATGAACAACATCAATCCTACTGCTCCATCATGCTAGCAAAGGGGCAGCATGCATGAGATCAATGCGAAACTGGAGAGGCTTATGCCACTTCAGGCGGTCACATCAAGGACTCTTTTTACCATTTTTTTTTCTTGCTTTTTGATCTCTTTCAGAACCACCATTGCTAAAGTAAAGTGCACATCTCTTTTCTGCTCTTTCAATTTACAGTATGGTTGCCATTGATAAGAAGAATAAGAACGGGCAGCAAGCTCAAAAAAAGTTCAGCAAGGACAAGAAATTTTCGGGCGGTCAACCTGACAAAAGCAGCGACAGCAAAAGCCCTTATGAAGCTCAAAACGATAAGCTCCGGGAAGCTATCATGGCATTAGGCGGAACCAAAGGCGACGTCAAATACTTGGAGAATGTCGATGTTGAGGATAATGAAAACATGATTACAGGGGATGATGTCAAGACAGAGGTAGGCATAGTTATAGTGAAGAGTACACAGTGAAGAGTACACAGTGAAGTTAACGCCGATTCATCTTAGGAATCACTTCAAAAAGAATTGATGAGCTTTATGACTAACATTGGTTTGTCTGCTGATAAATATGAGCAAGACATTGATACTGAAGATGAAGAAGCCCCTGAAGACGATGACGAGGAAGAAGAGGAGGAGGAAGAAGAAGAGGAAGACGAAGAAGAGGAAGAGGAAGAAGAGGAAGAGGACAATGAAGAAGAGCAATATGAAGAAGAAGAGGCCTCTGACATGAAGATCCATCAACCCAAGTTGATTCCTAGCAAGACTTTGGTAAGTCGTGTGTGATGAGATTCATTATGGATGATCCAACTAATGCAACTCTTTGACAGCTTGTTGAACCTACGCCTTTCTGGTACAAGGTTGCACTCCCTGTAGTATCTGTCGAAAATGTCAAACGTCTCTCGCCTGTCGAAACATCAGAGAAATACGCCTTTGCCAAAGAACTCTTGGCCCAAGAAAACACCAACTCTGAAAAGCACCCACTCCTCACATCCTCCAACCGTAGCTTCATGTCCAACATTATCACATCCGGTACCTTGAACGATAAGGTTTCTGCCCTGACTTTGATGTTCCGTGAATCTCCACTTCACGGCATCAAGACTCTGGATACCTTGATGGCAATGGGTAGAAAGAAGGGTAGAAATGAATCTGTCATGGCAATCACCAGTTTGAAGGATTTGTTTATTGGCTCCGTTTTGCCTGATCGCAAACTGATCTACTTTGCTGACAGACCTCTCGCCTCCAAAGATGTTACTCAACTTCATCTGCTATTGTGGATTTTTGAAGATCACCTCAAAAAGACCTACCTCGAATTCCTTCAACTGATCGAAGAGCTCTCTCGCGACACATTGATGCACGTCCGTAACAATATGGTTACTTGTTTGCATGATCTTTTGGCCAACAAGCCCGAACAAGAACAGAATTTGCTGAAACTGCTCGTCAACAAATTAGGTGATTCCGACAACAAGGTGGCTGCAAAGACCTCGCAATTGTTGATTGAATTGCTGGTAAAGCATCCCGGCATGAAGATGTTTGTTATTCGCGAATTGGAACAACTGCTGCTTCGCCCCAACACCAGCGAAAAAGCTCAGTACTACTCCATCATCACCATGAATCAAACCATCTTGACATCCAAAGACACAGCTGTTGCCAACAAGCTAGTTGAACTGTACTTTATCTTTTTTAGAAAGCTCTTGAAGATTGTTGAAGATGACGAAAAGGAAGAGCTGAAGAACAAGAAAAAGACGGAAGAAGAGCCCGAGCCCGAGAAGAAGAGCGAAAAGAGAAAGAACAAGGAAAAGGCCAAGGAGAAGAAGGAGATGGAACTCGAAGACCACCAGACCAAAATGATTGCTGCTATTTTGACAGGTGTGAATCGTGCCTTCCACTTTGCCAACATCTCTGACGATATGTAAGTTACAGCTTGCAAGGCGATGAAACTGAAATAAGCTGGATATTTATTTGTGTGTATGAAATAGGGTCGAAAAACATTTGGAGGTCTTGTTTAGAATGACGCATGCCAGTACGTTCAATGCTGCTATCCAAGCACTCTCCCTTATCTTCACCATCTCGCTCTCCAAGCAAGCCGTGTCTGACAGATTCTACCGTACATTATATGAATCATTGTTGGATCCTCGAATCAGCCATTCATCCAAACAATCCATGTATCTGAATCTGCTGTTCAAGGCTATCCGTGCTGATACAGACACCCGTCGCGTGAAAGCCTATGTTAAGCGTATGGTGCAAATCGCTGCTCGTAACCAGCCAGCATTTGTCTCGGGTATCTTTTTCCTTTTGAGTCAGGTATGTAGCCTAATCGTGTATATACATATCAACAAATATTGATTGTTTCCCTTCTCTTTTAGCTGATGGATGCTCAACCCGGTTTGAGAGCCATGCTGACGACGCCTGAAGAGGACGACGATGAAGAGTATTTTGTTGATGCACCCGAGGAAGACGACGATGACGAAAAGAAGAAAAAGATTGCCCAAGAAAAAGCCAAGCGCAGCCATGCAAAATCAGAATATGATGGCAGAAAGCGTGATCCTAGATTTAGTAACGCCGAGAAGAGTTGTTTGTGGGAACTGGTAATAAGAGACCAAGCAGCCAACATTACTTAATTAATACTAATTTGATTTTTCCGTGTACTCTACAGATTCCATTCAGAAATCACTATCATCCCTCCGTCGCCAAATACACAGAGCAATTGTTCGCTGGCGAGCTCATTACAAATCAGCCCGATTTACACCAATTTACATTGATGCACTTTTTAGACAGATTCGTCTATCGCAATGCCAAGAAGACCACCACCACCAAGGGCCAATCTATCATGCAGCCCTTGTCAGGCAGCAGGCGCGATGGCGGCATCATGTTCACCAAGGGCTCTGGCATCAAGAGCGATGCTATTCCTCTCAATTCTGAGCAGTTTTTGCAAAAGAAAGAAGACGATGTCGAGGCAGACGAAGTCTTTTTCCACAAGTATTTCAACCAAAAAGCAGTAAACACCACCACCAGTAAAAAGACAAAGAAGGACAAGGCAAATGCTGATGATGAGGATGGAGACGAGGATGAAGTATGGCGTGCCATGATGTCATCTATACCCGGTGGATTAGACAACGAGGACGACGATGACAACGGTTTGGACGATTCAGACGATGACGAGGAAATGAGAGCTCTCTTGATGTCTGACGATGATGAAGCACAAGACATTGAGCAAGATGGAGATATGGCTGAATTTGAATCAGATCAAGGCGAGCCTATGGACAACGAAGATGAAGAGGATATTGAACTTGAATTGATGAATGCGTCTAGTATGGATGAAGCAGAAGCCGACGATGACCAAGATGAGCAGCCAATGCAGACCAATAAGCGATCAGCATTTGACGAGCCAAGTGGATCCAAGAAGAAGAAGCAAAAGAAGGATGTTCTTCCTACATTTGCATCTTATGAGGATTATGCCAAGCTGATCGAACAGGATTTGAGCGATTAAATAAATGTATATATATATTTTCAATAAACAATATAATAGGGATCCAACACAACCCACATTATAGACGGAGATGCCATGTCAATATCACACTTAAACTCGACCAATGAGCCAGTAATACAAATGGTTTTTTATGAAACGGAAGCAACGTGGTACGCAGATGTCTCTAAACTGACGAGCCCTTTCTTTTTGTAACATTTTGGTATGCCGATGTCAATTTTGTTGCCATTATGGTTGCAGATGAGAGACCCGAGTTACCTTTTTTAAAATCCACTTTTGCTTTTTTTTGTCCATTATTTCTTGAATCAAATAAGCATAAAAGTGTGGAACGTTGTACTAGTTCATTGATTACAGCATTTTCAAGTAATTGTTTGTATTATTCAGGTCTCCTTGTGTAATCTTTGTTTGAAACAGGCGTATGAATTTTGTATGATAAAAGAGAGCATATCTTGGATGTACTGGCGGAGTTAGTGCGTTGGAGCCCAGATCAGGACCTGTGCGACCAACCAGGGCTTGGATATGGAAAAAGGTATAAAATACGAATCAGAGCAACCCTTTTTTTCCATCTCTCTCACTCTTATTCTCTTCTCTCTTTTTCATTATCTGTATTTCTCAATACCCACACACACACCCCTCATCTTTTATTACAACACAAAGGCCCCCCCCTTACATTTAATAAATACAGAAAAAGAAATCAAAAGAACAAGAAATGCCAATCCCAATTGAATATAGTTCCATCCGTCGCATGAGTACAATTACTGTGCCCAAACAAGATATAAACTTTGAGTGAGTTTGATTTCACCCTCTCCCGCCATGAGCAGTTTGTTTTAACCTTTCTATTTAATGTAGCGCTTATGATTTTCAGTTGTGTCAGCCTCAAAATGACATCAAAGGAGCATTTGAGTCGCGCGAATTGGAGGCAACATTCTGCCGTGATTTTGCTTGCTGTGGGTTGATTCTTGACGATCTTCATGATTTGTTGCAGCACTATGAAGAGTGCCATGTCAGACTGGAAGAAGATGAAGAAAGCAGCTTCTATGATGAGACAGAGGCATCATGTTCAGGTAGCTGGTCTGCTATCTCATCCCCCACCATGGAGCAGCAAGAGGTTGACAGTGATCAAATGGTGACACTCAAGAAAAGAGCGGCTGCGTATCTGTCTGATTTATACAACTCCACCTCCTCTGCATCTTCGTCCATGATCACACCGCCTATCTCACCCTCTATCTCAACTATTGTGGAAGAGGACATTGAAGAGCCATCGACACCTACAGCCGCCACAACCACCACAGCAGCAGCAACATCTGCCACAAAGAAATCCAACGGCAAAAAGAGAACATTTGGCCAAATGAACACACCCAATGCATTTGATTTATTGACTCAATCTGCCGCCAAAAAGATTGCCCTTGCATCTGGTAACGGTGATTTGCCTACACCTCTCTTGACGGATGAAGATTTCCTTGCTCAAGCTGGTGCCTTGTTAGCTTCTGCCAATTCGAACGCCAATGCTGATAAGCCATACAAATGCCCTGTAGGTGGGTGTGACAAAGCATACAAAAACCCCAATGGATTGAAATACCACAATCAACATGGACATTGCAACATGACAGCTGATGATAGCGATAATATGGCTAAACCCTATCAATGCACAATTGGCGACTGCGGCAAGCGATACAAGAATCTGAATGGGTTGAAATATCATATTGAGCATTCTCACATGGCTGCCTTGAACCATACATTGGCTGCATTTGGCTCTACTTTATTTTCAAATGCTTTTTCCAACCAAGAACCATCGCAATCATCCACCTTCTAATCTCCTTCATACTGTATACATATCCCCTTCCATCTTTTGCAAAAAGTCAAAAAGCCTTTCTGTTCCCCATTTCAAAATCCAAAAAGTTTATTATTTCCAGGATCCCCCCCCCCCCTCCCCTTCTACACTTTTCACTAACGAAACCGAAAATTACGACTCGATGAGTCTACTCCCTGTATATATTCAGTTTCTCTGTAAGGTGGTGGTTCCTATTCCAAAAGTTCATTCCTATTAATTCTTATTCTCAATAAAATTATCTACTATTATTATCCATTTCAACATAGTGTGGGGAGGTGCTGTCTTGGGTTTGAATCGTAGATGATGGATTCAAATGGTCGTAAGAGAAGTGTAACCATTTAAGAAAACAAAGAGGAATGTTTCCATGATTCATATTCCCCTTGCCATGCAAATTCAATGCGAATGACCATGCATTTCAAACTGCTGGCTACCCCTTGTTTTCTTGTTTTATATTAAAATATTCAGTATGAACTAGAGAAACAACGGTTCTGCTAGATTCATCCATAGTGGTACCGCACCCCCCCCCCCCCTCTCCTCCTTCTCATTAGGATTGTTTGAATCGGCGTCCCTACTTTATTTAGACAGGCACATACGAGTACTTGGTTATAAACAAACTAAACAAACCAAAAGATGCACAGATTTGATGCACTTGCAGTAGCTTATTTATCAGTAGCCTGAAACGGTGTCTTTATCAAGTACTTTATGTACAAAATGCGATATATACCACAGATGCGTTACACAATCAAAGGGTACACTCAACCCGGAATAGGCACACAAGAAAGTACACAATGTACATGAGATGTATACAAACAAGACATACATACTGCAACATGCATACGCAACATGGCTCTATAGTAGTATGCTGCATCATTTGCGAATGCAGCATTTGTTGTTATATATATATGGCTACATTCACCTTCTGGGACCAAAAGTAGAATGCTGTCTGTTTGTTTGTTGCTTCCTGGAAATTTCTGCCTTTGCCTTTATGTCTCTCTTCATGTGTCACCCTCATGGATAGCATATAGCATCATTAAAAGAGAGGAAATCTACTAAAATATAATGTGCGTTTCACACTGTAAATCCCTGTTTTCTTATTGTTGCCAGTCTTCTCACTCATCCCGATTTGCATGTGTGTAATGTATGTATTGCTTGTGTATCATGGACTAAACATTATTTTATTATTGAGCAATATACATGGAGCTGACTCTTTTAACTCTATCTATGTCGCTGCTAGCTGTGCTCTCTGAGGTGGGATACTCGACACAATGCTTGGGGAAGACACCCTTGGTATTTCCTCTGCTCAAGTTGATGCCTTGACACCATCCATCGTCATACTCTACCAAGATCTCGACTTGATCACCAGTTTGAATATCAATTTCATCACTCAATGTGGGTGTGTATGTGGCTGCTACGTAGAATACACCAACCGAGCCAGCTTGAGTTGGTGGAAGCAGAGCCTGTTGTTGATGTGGAACACTGCCAGCACTTGCACCGACAGCAGCAGTGGTTGCAGCAGCAGCAGCAGCAGTAACAGCAGCAGCAGCAGAAGCATTTGCAGGCACAGCGTTACCCGTATCATTGATGGTGGCGTGAGTCTCGGATTGCTCTTGCTGATAGATTGTATTGGGTTGATACTGTGATGGTTGTTGTTGTTGAGGCACAATAGCAGGCATCATAGAAGCAGTTATGATATGATTATTAGCATCATGGAATTGCGTACCATTGTTATTGTAATAAGGAGAAGAAGGCGATGTGGGCGATGTAACAGCAATAGCAGGTTGGACTGTACCATACTGGTGCTGATATGGTGAAGTGTTTACTTGAAGGTTATTCTGTTGCATTTGAGGTTGTTGGTAAGATGATTGAGTATTATGGAATGCTTGGTCACTGCCGAAACCCATCGTAAATGGATCAGGTTTAGACATGCGAGAATTCATGTTGCGTTGTGCGTTCTTTCTGTTTCTCTTTCTGCGAAGGATGAGATAGGCAATGACACCTGCGATGATAATGATGATGGCAGCGACAATACCGCCAATAGCACCGCCTGATATGCCACCGCCATTCTGAACGCTTGCTGAAGAGGCGTCTTTCTGTGTAGTAGATGTAGATGAAGGAATAGCACTGGAGGAGGATGCATTGGGAGTGGGATTGACCACCATGAGAGGAGGTTGCGTGCTTGTGGATGATGTGATGGCGGTGGATGAGGCAACTGCAGCAGATGAACTAGGCTGAGCACTGCTAGATGCTGATGCGGGTTTCTTTGATGCCGAGGTGGAAGCAGCATCCTTGGCGGTGGTGGATGTTGGCTTTTTGGTGGTAGATTCTGACTTCTTGGTGGTGGTTGTATCCGCATTTTCGAATTTCTGGGCTAATAATAACAATATAAACAATGAAAATCTATTTTGGATCTACTTTATTGCAACACACTTTACATTCAGCTCTTTTATCTACATCCCAAATGAATGGAGTCGCTCCTGTTGAATCAACTGCAATGAGCGCAATCGTGGTAGAGATCAGCAATGGCCAGCTCATTCTTGTTTTGTGTGTGTGTGTGTGTGCGAGAGAGGAAGAAGTGTGTTAAAAGACAAAATGAAGGGGAAATTGATATATATTATAATGAAGGAAAAGGAGTGGGATGCTCTCACTTAGGAGAAAGGCGGAAAAGTAGTAGATTAGGGAAAGAAGAGGGCAAGATAGATGTGCAAGATTCTCTTTTTCTTTATAATATGATACTAGACGCCTAAAATAAATTAAATGTAACTCACTAGCAAATGATCAATTTTGTGCTATTTTCATTTTCTGCTCATGTTACACTATACATTAAACTCGTGTATCCCTTCTTATATTACCCAGGAATCAAGTACCTGGGCATCATATTTATTGTCAATTGACTTTATCAAATCAACGAGCTCGCTGTTTTCCGTTCTTGTAGTGTTGTCTTTGATCTGAATAATAGCTGTCTTGTTATTAAAATACACTGTAGCATCTGATATCCATTCTGTTGATAGCAATGTGTTTTTGATACGATTAGCACATGCTTCACATCCTAAACCGTCTAAATGAATTCTATAATAATGACTCTTTGCTATGGATGCTGTTGTTGCAGACGATTGATTTACCCATTGCACTATTTCAGGGCTTGCCATTAACAGGATTGATACGATCAGAACAATCAGTTTTTGTCTAGTTTGCGAGGCAGTTGTTGTGGTAATCAGATTGTAGCTTAATAGCAAGATAGTAACAGTGGAGAGAACAGACCTGTAAGGTGTGAACACCGCAAAACCAGCACAAGACACAGAAAAGAAATTGAGGACTAGTTGAATTACACAGCAAGATGAGGATAATAAAGCTGTCAAAGCGGGAAGCTGCTGAAGAAACCGAGCCATTGTTTTCTTTTGTGTAATAAAGCAAATGAAGAAAGTGTAGAAATATCTTTTTTATACGTTTTTAATGTGATCAACTTGTCTATACATGATTGGCTCTTTGCTGTAAAAGTCTACCAGACAAGCATAAATTGCTCATCTCGCATTCGGATCCACATTTGAGTAAGCAATTTGTAGGATTAAATCAATCAAATAATGAGATGCACTGCAAAAGCAACAAAGCGTGGCAAGACTAAACTGTTGTACTTTTTTTTTTTTAATCCGCCTTCCCTTCCTATTAGCTTCAAAAGCATAGATTCCCTCCCTAGAAAAGGCATCATTTGTGGTCGTAGCTGCCAAACCAATTTATGACCCGATGTATTTGTTCTCCAGATTGGCCAGATCTAATCTAAAATTGACTTGATTCGTCTATTCTGCAAGATTCGACTATAGTAAACGTAACGATCTCCCCAAAGTCCTTTAAGCTTTCATGGAGCACTTTCCAAGGCGCATCCAATGGTACCAAGTAAGATAGATGTTTTGAATAAACTTAATGAATAATTTACGAAAATATGAAAAGAAGTTGGTGGCCAAAATGTCGAAATTTTACATATCAAGGTCCCACAAAGATGATTTCAGGGGCTACGTTGGATCGATAGAAACATTCTGATCCACTATAATCAAAAGGTTTCATAGTGTAATGGTTATTCTGATTCACTATATGGAGCGGCACTCCATCCCAAGTTGGATAAAGCATGTCTCTTTTGATTAGTCCGTTTACTACGGCACAGATTCAAATCTCGCAGTGCCTCGGTTATTCATATGTAGTGGATCAAGTTCCTAATTTCGTTCATCTATATCTCATGACAATTTGCATGTAAGGAGCATCTTGGTCGAGCTGACCTACTAGTGTGTCAAGTCTGCGTGCGCCGCGGGTGGCAGTAAATCCTTCTTTGTTTCCTGGCTTCGGGCCACAGTTCTTATATAAAATTCTTAGAGTTTCGATTTATCAGTTCAATAAAAGAAAACTTTAAATACAAAAAAAAAATTGATTCATTATGTACCATAGTAAAAGTCTTCATTATCAAAGTCAAAAACGATTTTCGACGAAAACCATGAGGGGTACCTCATGCTTTTTGGTCGAATTTCATCCATATTTTTTTGATCCCCAAATAGTTGAGCGAAGATGTCAGAAAGTAACTGCCAGATGAGAGCGCTTGTTGAGTGCTACTCTGGCGGTCCAAAACGGCTTCAATCATCAAAAAACACGGCCAAATGCACTCAAATTTCGATATTTTCTGCATATTTTAAATAGTAAAATGTAATGTTAGTATGGTGTCCTTAAATTTATGAGCTGTTTCCATTGATTCAGATCTGGAACATTATAGAGTATCCTTCTAATCCACAGCTATAGATAGTGTATAAACAATTTCAGGTTGAATACAGGAATTGCTACGCATACTTTAGCAAAGTCAACATCTCTTCAAAAGAAATAGACCAAGGAATAGCAGCACATGCCTAATTTACTTTACTCTAATAGAAATACTCTTACAGAATCGGGTCCACACTGCTTCTGTTGAAGGCTGTCGGCTTTGAACCATTAATTCCGTTGTGAATCAACTGTTATGTCGTTAAAATACAATGTAAAATTGAATCTGCCAAAGAATTTATTACACTCCCCTTATTGAGAATGCATCCAGAGGATGCATTTATACGGTAAACTCTTCATTATGCTAGAATTTATAGTATGATAATAAAATACGATACAAATAGGTTTACTACATACCCAGCAAATGATTTGTAAACCATGATTAGTATGATTTACCCAAAGGACCTAAGAAGAGCTCAAAACCATTACTGTGAGACCTTGCTAGGACATTAGATATAACAAGCCATTTAACCATAGTGCAGCAAGTAGGGGTTAAACAAGCAGATAGAATACTGTTAAAATCCTTTTTCATTCGTAATTAGGATAATGTGCACTAAAATGTATATTCTACATCGTCTCTATTCATACTATTTGGTTTATATCTCTTATCTGTCAACAGCTTAGTAGTAGTTGCTAGTGATTCCATTATTTTGTATATTATTGTTCGGTTGTTGAGCACAAAAAATAAATGGATTATTATTTGTAGCTTATAAAAAATGTTTGATATCAAAAAAACAAGAAAAGGCTTATTAGAATAAGATCAGAAACAAAAACTAAAAATTTATTGATGAAGACAAAAGTCATCCTATTTATACTACTAAATTCTGGATGCCAGGTAGTAATTTATCTTGTATAACGCTTATCACATCTGGTGAACCTCAGTGCCTAGATAACTGAGGTGCACTTCAATTATCATAGCTTGTCCATGCTGTTACACAACACAGACATATCTACCTATCTGTTTAGGATATAGATCATCTCTGAGAGGCAAAGAAGTGAGAGGTCTTTATTCAAGCAGCACGAAGGAACATAAGTGGTGCCATCAAATGGCTAATCTATATCTTGGTTCCTGGAGAGTGGTAGCCTATGGCCTTTCGTCCCTGGAAGTGGGTCTCAATTCCGACAAATGTTCTTCCGTCAAAGCTATTAGGAAGAACATTCTATCCTGGATCATCTTTGCTGTTTATCCTTGACTGGTGGTTCATGAGTTCTTATACAGCACATCCTCGTTAACTGGTTCAAGGCTTATACAATTATCCCGCATTCAATATCAAGGTCCTATTGCTGCGGCACTGTCAAATAACTATAAATACTTTAGAAATCTACACTAGTTTTGATCCTCATTCAATCTGGGAAAAACTTAATAAATGTATTCAGTTCTAATTGTATTTCCTCTGTCTATATTTCGCTATTCTAAACACTATCAAGAATACCTTAATCTTTATAGACACTTGTAGCCTTTCTGGCGCAACATCGGTTATTTAGTTCTTGATCTGATGGATCAAGAAAGGTATTTTATTATATGCTCTACGAAACATGCGTAAAGAATAGCTCGTTATTGTTGAATATGTATCTTCTTAGATTTATTTATGTTACGACACATTACAATATTACCCTTGACATTTACTTTAGCATCTGCCATCTCTATTTTAGAGCTTTTTACACTTGCTATCACCATACTAATACTATTATTATATATGTTCGTTTGTTCTTCATGGTAGCATGGATTGATTGAGATGGTATTATTGATTTCGGGTCGTTTTACGATGGGAATTTAGTCTAGTATATATATAGTTCACTTCAGTGTCTAACAGCGTATATCAACTTTAAGTTTCTTGTTGCAGCTAGATATGGCATTTCGGTTGTGGACAGCTATCAAAAGTGACCTGCTAATCTGATAAGCATCTCATTCAATCTGAGCAACGTGTTAAATTCAAATTTGCATAATATCATTGACACTTCAGTTGTAAAATCACTGTGCTCGCGCATTTCAAAAAGAAAGATGTAAGCCTTAGACTTAGAATAAAAGCGTCGATCACTTAGAGATTCAGTTCCGTACAATGCAGAACATCAGCGACATTAGATAGAACTGTAATTTACTTGCTTCTTTGGCAGCACGACATACTACGCCTTGTTTTTAGGCCAGATTCTGTCCAAACTTGGGCATTTTGAAGCACAAATAACTCATGCTACAGAGCGTCGTGGACGCTCGGAATAGGACCAAACATCTCTTCTTAGCCACGCTTTACTTACTGATGCTTTATCTCAAATTTTTTTGGGTCATTGCAAAAAATCCATGAAAATCCTCATATTTTCCATGTGTACTAGTAAGGGAAAATTCTTGAAAATCATGCCTTTCTCCGCTAAAGATCACAAAATAGCAGAAAAAGGTGGACCCTCCACTAATGGAGGCTCTACGCTGGATTCTAGCCATAATCCAGGCAACAACATTTTTATTACCTATGCATCGCTTTTTCAAGATATCAAGAGTCAGAAGAGAACAACTTTCAACATTGCTCCATTTATCGACAACAACGCATCCACAAGCGGAAAACCTTTGGACTACAGTTCAACATTTGTAGAAGCTAAAGACGACTATTCCTTCGTCATTGACTGTGCTCAATTTGCTGGGATGGTGTTCAGAGAGAAGCCTTTGCTCATTTGTCTTCGAGAACACTACTCCAAAGGTCTGGGCATTAGACAGCGCATCATTGGCAAGAACCATAAGGTCCTTGAAGTCAATTTCCCAAGCCAGGACAATTGCGAGGAGGCCCTGAACAAGGAACTCGTCTTACAAGGGAAGATAATCAAGGTAAACAGAGCTTTGGACAAAAACGCCAATGTTCTCAGAGTAGGTGTCTCTGAACTCCCTTACAAATCTGAAGAGGTTCTGAAACCTTTGATGGTGGAGACCTTTCAAAAGTATGGGGATATTCTCAACCTTGGCCTTAGCTACACTAAGGACGGTGGTTGGTTCACCGGTTGTGGTTTTGTCACTCTAAATAAGGACAAATTGAAGAATTATGCAGCTGAGCTTACCCCTCAGATCCAATTTGGGAATTTCAAGGAGAAATTACACTTGGTTTGGAGTAACATGTGTTTAGGATATAGATCATCTCTGAGAGGCAAATGTATTAGGTGTTGTATATTACATAAGAGGATCTGAGAATGAGCTGAGATACATAGTAGAAGTGAGAGGTCTTTATTCAAGCAGCACAAAGGAACATGAGTGGTGCCATCAAATACACTACGGCCCAACTGATGTTCTCATGAGAACATCGATGTGCTCATATGAGAATCTATTTGATGTTCTCAAATGAGCACATCGATGTTCCCGAAAGGTGAAAAATGCTTTCATATGGGAACATCGGCGTTCCTAAAGATCTATTATAAGTCGGCCGATGTTGTTATGAGAACATCCGAAATGTTCCCATGTGAGCACATCCATATTCTTATATGAGCACATCGATTTTCAGAAATTTGAAAAAAAGAATGCTCCTACCGCGGTCGAACCCATAACCTATCGGTTGTGGATCTGACGTTCTTCCCACTAACTACTCGAATATCTTATTGAATATATTCTTTTACTTTAATAAGTAGTTATTAGGTAATTTTAAATTGTCATTTTCTCGAGCAATTTATAATACGATTAGTAATTTTATGAATCTTACAGATAATAAAAGTCTCTCTGTTGCCTACAATATTATAGTTTAGCTATTAAAATCATTTTATTCTAGTGGAAAACTACACCTTCTCAAATGAGAACATCAATGTGCTCATGAGAACATCGATGTTCCCAAAAGAGCGCATCGATGTTCTGTGAGAACATCAGTTGGGCCGTAGTGATGGCTAATCTATATCCTGGTTCCTAGAGAGTGGTAGCCTATGGCCTTTCGTCCCTGGAAGTGGGTTTCAATTCCGACAAATGTTCTTTCGTCAAAGCTATTAGGAAGAACATTCTATCCTGGATCATCTTTGCTGTTTATCCTTGACTGGTGGTTCATGAGTTCTTATACAGCACATCCTCGTTAACTGGTTCAAGGCTTATACAATTATCCCGCATTCAATATCAAGGTCCTATTGCTGCGGCACTGTCAAATAACTATAAATACCTTTGATATCTACACTAGCTTTGATCCCTATTCAATCTTGGAATAACATAATAAATATATTCAGTTCTAATTGTATTTACTCTGTCTATATTTCGTTATTCTAAACGCCTACTTCTGAGGAACAATGCTTGGACACTAGCTCTAAACATGACGCCGCCAAAGTCTTCTACCAAGACTTATTATACACCGAGGAAGAAATTGATCTTAATTGTGTGGAAGAAATGCTACAATACATTGACTAAACAATTACAGATGAGGACTCACAAGACATCATCGAAGAAATCACCTACAACGATATCATTCAAGGATCCCGAAGAACGCCAAATGGTAGTAGCCCAGGTCTGGATGGTATATGCTATGAAATTCTGCATCTCCTAGTTATCAACCCGAGTTGTGAAGCGATTATCGTGCAAGTATTCAATGATGCCCTATTACTAGGCAAATTTCCAAAATCCTGGCAGGAATCATGTATTGTGTTGCTACCAAAAAAAAAAGGGATATGACTGATCTAGGCAACTACCGTCCAATAACTCTGATAGCCTCCGATTGCAAAGTGTTTACCAGACTACTCAACTCACGAGTCATACAAGTGGCAAGCGACATTATCGGACCTCACCAAAGTGGCTTCCTGAGAGGGAGATATATTGGAGACCACGGGATGGCACTGAAAGTGATTGTAGACAACGCACGACGTGAAGCAAGATGGAACAATCCTGAAGAATTGGTCGAGTATGCTGGGACTATGCTAGACAACGCCAAGGCGTACGATAGGGTACATCCCCAGTACTTATCCAAGGTCCCGATGAAGTTCGGCTTTCCCAAACAATTTGTCCAATGTGTCTGCAATTTATTCTTCAACAGTTCAATCTGCGTGAATGTCAATGGTTATTTGACAGCCCCTATCGAACAAAGGCGCGGCATCAGACAAGGAGACAGCATATCACCAATGCTATTTAACCTGGCTATTGAACCATTTTTACTCTCAGTGACTAAAAGTACAACTATCTCAGGGTATAGTCTTCAACAGGTCAGGTCTATAAGCAAGAGAACAAACTCTTGGGTAGCTGCTCTCCCGCTGAAAGTACTTGCGTACGCGGATGATGTCCTCACATTTGTCAAGTATCGTGCCGAATTACTGGATTTGGAAGAAAGACTAAAGACTTACAACATGGCCTCGAACTCGAAGATCAACTATGACAAGTCAGTGGCCTTCCCTCTTTATGGTGGTAAAATGACAAGTCAAACTGGAAGTCTAATTCAAGAACACGCAACAAACAATCTGAATATTAAATGGTATGATTCTACGTCTACAGGTTTCATTAAGTATCTAGGTTATCCAATTTGGTTCTGCAGTCAAGAAAGAGACGTATACATTGCTAAACTTCTGGGTAATATTACTACCGCTATCGAAAGATTTGCAGCGCGACAAGTCTCACTGTACAGCAGGGAAAATATTGCCAACACAATGATACTATCCAAACTGTGGCATGCTATTCGAATCGTTCCCCTACCCAAAGACGTAGTCAAGAAGATAACCTCAGTCATATACCAGTATGTAATATCCGGCATGTACCCGCCTTTAAAGGGCAATTCTTTCTTTCTACCAAGGATTCAAGGCGGCCTAGGGTTAATCGATATAAGGGCTCAACAACAACACGTCCTGCAATTCAGATACCTGAAGGCACTCCTAACTGAAAACAGCAACAACATACCTGGGCTCATCTACAGGCTTCTAGTGGATTATTTGAAGACACTATGGCCCAACTGGTGTTCTCACAGAACATGGATGTGCTCTTTTGGGAACATCGATGTTCTCATGAGCACATTGATGTTTTCATTTGAGAAGGTGTAGTTTTCCACAAGAATAAAATGGTTTTAATAGCTAAACTATAATATTGTAGGCAACAGAGAGACTTCTATTATCTGTAAGATTCATAAAATTACTAAACGTATTATAAATTGCACGAGAAAATGGCAATTTAAAATTACCTAATAACTACTTATTAAAGTAAAAGAATATATTTCAATAAGATACTCGAGTAGTTAGTGGGAAGAACGTCAGATCCACAACCGATAGGTTGTGGGTTCGACCCCGTTAGGAGCATTCTTTTTTTTTCAAATTGCTGAAAATCGATGTGCTCATATAAGAATATGGATGTGCTCACATGGGAACATTTCGGATGTTCTCATAAGAACATCGGCCGACTTATAATAGATCTTTAGGAACGCCGATGTTCCCATATGAAAGCATTTTTCACCTTTCGGGAACATCGATGTGCTCATTTGAGAACATCAAATAAATTCTCATATGAGCACATCGATGTTCTCATGAGAACATCAATTGGGCCGTAGTGAGATGTCCCACGATTCGCCTTCACACATAATCCCACTGTTATTCAAGACTGCTAGATACAAGAGTCAACTGAGAGGCTTCCACCCCTATTACATGATGTTCGAAGCAATCGACACCGTTACTAAGCACTCACCGTTCTCACTAGCTTGGTCCACAAAGCCCAACGCCATGACACTCTTGCCATTGCCAGTGCTGGAAGTCCTTGACTTTGAAAATGATGAAATAGCAAAGGGATACACAAGCAGATTATCAATCAGGGAGAGCAAGGTTCAAGACTTCTTCCACATTGATCCGAGCAGCACAAGTGCGCTACAACTAAAGCCAAGAAGTGGATGCCAACGACCAAACATCCGCAACCAGCTAGAAAGAGGCCTCCATGGTGGAAACATTAAACTGAAGTGCTTTGTCGATACCAGAAACATTGAGACTCGCCTCGATCTAAAACCTTTTGTTGCAATGTTGAAACACCAAGAACGTCCACTACTACAAATTTTAAACAAAGCGTTAAGACACATCTTGCTTGACATCAACAACTTGGATATTGGACGAAAGTTCAATAAGAACATCAACAAAGCGCAGTGAAGACAATTCTACCGACAAAACATGCACTACTCAGCAAGAAATGTCTGGTATAGAATGATCCACAAGCAATGCCCATGCAAATCCGCTCTTTTCGTCAGACGTCTCAGGAACATCGAAGATGACAAATGTACTCTATGCAACGATACCGAAGATGCCAGACACCTCATGGTTAGCTGCCCCAACAAAAACGACATTTGGTCCAATATTTTCAAACAATTCCTGGGATACCCTAAATAAGCCATCCCTCACGAAATATACCAATCTATTGTCAACTTGAATTTGAAGCAATACTTCATCTACAACCTAGACATCAAGTTTACAATATTTGATCTGTTTGCTGCAACCATTCGCATGATATGGAGATTTCACTACCTAGAAACATTTGAAGGAATGTCCTTTGATACAAACATTGTCACCAGCCAAACCTGTACCGAAGTGATGAGATTGTCAGATCTCAAGCATTAATAGAAATAGAATTAAATAGTTAACATATATGACAAGTCACTTTGTTACATACACTTGTCCATCATTTGATGTTCATATTATAAATATATTCTGATAAATATGCAGCATCCATACAAAAAAAAATCTTGAAAATCAAATGACCGCGTTTTTCACCTCAAAATGAAGACTTTTCTTATGATACATATTAGATCAAATTGATCGTAAAGATGGAATGCAACAGTGGAAACCCTTTCTATGAGGCTTGTATATGCTAAATTTCGACATATCCACAGAAAACCTGTTTTCATATTTTTGCAAATTGCTCATTATTGTTGGTGTGGAAGCTGAATGGAGCCAGCATCATCTGATGCGCCTTCATTGACACTTTATAAATGTATTAGAAAGTAAAGTATAACAATGCCAATTTTCATAGTCAAATTTAGCAAAAACGTTTAAAGGATGTCAGATCAAGTCAAATTCGAATACAAAAATGACAACTGCACAAATCCAAATTTGAGTGCCGCAGCGTCAGCTGTTGTGGCAGAAGACTGAGGCCAAATCCACTAGCTGTGACGTCGGATAGAACGCCCTCTCATTTTTCCATACGCCCATTTTTTTTCCTTTTGCAAAACGCGTTTAGTATCAAACCATCATGTTGGTTTTGGAAACCGTTGAAATGATAATAGCACCCCAACTTCCAATAACACTGCCTTGTATTGCTAAAAGAACTTGATACTGCTTCTTTGAAGTGGAATATAGTAAGTAAAATTCGATAAACGAGCACTGGAAGACGTAAGATCAGCACTAATAATCGAATTTGTTTATTAGGTTTCGATATTTTTTTTGCTTGTTTGTCGTGGGTGCTGCTGCCATTACTTCTCTACTATCTCTGCTGTCTACTTCTTTGGTTTATTATGTCTAGTAGCTGCTTCTTTGGTCTCAATCTCTGGCGGTTGCTTCTTTAATCTTTGTCTGGTCTCTGGTGTCGCTCGTTCTTTGGTTTTTCTATGAAGTCGGTGTTGTTGCTACTGGTGTTGCTACTGCTAATATGGTCTTTCCTGGTCTACTGTCTTTGGTGCATGCTTGTTTTCTGGTCTATCTCTGGTGGCTGCCTATACTCTTCTGGTCTACCTTTGGTGGTAAGTGGTAAGTATCTTCTTTCTTCTGGTCGCAATGATATAAAACTTCTTTGAACGTTTGTATTACTGCTTCCTTTCTCGTGATAATGCATTTTATCATGATGTTTGTTTTGTTGCGTTTTTCTTTTTCTTTTGTTGGTTGTGTTGCCTCTGTGGCTTCATATGAAACAACATTAGTAGTCATTATGTTCTATTGCAAAGTTATAATACCACTGTTGCTTTTGCAGTTGTGCGTGTTTGTGTTGCTTTACATACGACTATTATTCCTATGCATGTTGCTCATGTATGCATTTTTGTTGCAACAACAACGAGCTGTTTTGAACATCTCTGATGTTGTATTTGTTATACTTTTCTTTGACTCACTTTGTGTGAGCATCCCTTTTTTGCCCACGTACTGCTATACTCCTATAGAAGTATGTTCTTTTCTGTACTTTCTTTCCTTTTATTATGTTTCTTTGAAGCATACCTTTTTTTTTACGTTGTGTGGATGTGCCTATCCCTGAAGCTCAACAAGACTTTATCCGAGGCTAGGAGGTAGATAGGCCGCCTCCACTTGGTTATCACTACTTACTTTAGTGATGATTGAAGGTCTCAACGCCAGAATCTAAAGCTAGGTGGTGTAAGTAAGGCATGCTCTAGCACCTGAGGGAAATTTGATGATAGTTACAGCTATATTGCTATATATAGCGGAGCTTAAAATTTTGCCTCACATCAAAACAGGGGGAAACTCTCGCAAATTTTTTTTCAGGTCAGCGGAGTTTTCAAGCAATCTGATTGGCTCAGGGGTCAAAGCACCGAAGGGTTATAACTAGTTGATCTCATGTTGATCTGTCATTTATAATAGTTATGTGTTTGTAATAAAAGAATGACCAAATGAATACAGTTTAAAGCCTTTTTTATTTAAAAGCAAGATAAGGTGCAATTATTATGTAATAAATAATCTTTTGGACAAGAGTTTAACGTGAGGAATGTCTTTTAAAGCTATTAGATGGGAAAGTTATATAAATATTACAGTACTTCGTCACAATGATCTTTGTTTAGAATAACGGAATATAGACAGAGGAAATACAAATTTAATCTGAACATATTTATAGTTATTCCAAGATTGAATGAGGATTAAAACTAGTGTATATTTTGAAGGCATTTATAGTTGTTTGACATTGACGCATGTGAGGAAATAGCCACCTGCTGAAAGCAACCTTATTGAAAGCCCAAGTTCATCAAACACCATTCATTCAAACTCATGCTATTTGAATCTATTATTAAGCGCTTAAATAATGTACACCAACAACCACCTAAGCATACTAAAGTAAAGATGCATTATTATCTCGCACATTGTGTGAAAGAATCACACTTGATCACAATGTATTTCATCTCACTCATGATGGCCGCAACAAATGATGTTATCTTTTATCATTATTATCCAAATAAAATATTATTGATTTCTATTGTATTTTACTATTGCTTCATTTTTTTTTGTGAAATCTCTTAATGATTTCACTACACCGCAGCAATAAAATCTTAATCGTGAATAAAGGATAAATGGATAAGCCTTGAAACAGTCAACGAAGATGTGCTGCATGAAAGCTCATGAACCACCAGTCAGGAGCGAACAACAATGAAGATCCAGAATAGAATGTTCTTCATGAAAGATATAACGAAAGAGCATTTGTCAGGAATTAACACCCACTTTCAGAGACAACAGAAGATTGTAGGCTACCATACTTGAGAAACCAGGATATATATTAGCCATTTGATGGCACCACTCATGTTCCTTTGCTTTGTCTGAAAAAAAAAAAGATCTCAATATACAACGCATCTATGTTCCTGCTCAATCCTTTTCATGTATTATACGTTGTATGATACATTTGCTTCTCAGGTATAATTTATATCTTAACCAAAAGTGGCTTGAGGAGAAAGTGAATGTAGTTTGGGAGGAGGCAAGCTTGTATGCAACATTTTGAGCGATTGAATTTCAACAACTTGGCTGGAGCTGATCTTTTCGTCAGTGTATTCAGCAAAATCATTTAAACCCGATATCACTACAGTTGGTTCATGTCGACTCTTGTATCATAAAATTTGTAGGTATCATGAAGTTCTGTTCAGTCCACTTTGATACATAATTTCGTTGTTTGTCCCCTCCAATCGTGCTGACATTGACTTAACGTGTCCAATAACAGCCATTTCTCCTTAATAATTATAAGAACTCAACATCGTGAATAGACTTTAAGTCTACTTAAAATGACAATAAAAGTGTCTATTACTTAGAGACTCAGTTCTGTACAATGCAGAGCATCTGTATCATTAGACAGAACTGTAATTTACTTACTCTTTTGGCAACACAAACTACTGTAAGTCGCTTCAAAACCTCGTAATCTTTTGTCTGCTTGAAACCTAAAAGCTTCCATTACATGGGAGATTCAAGTTTGATTTCAGCTGTTGCAATCTTGCTTCTGTCAGATACCCAAGTGCTATTAAATATAGCAGTCTTGACGCGATCCCATTACTTCATGCAGTTCCAATGCTGAAATGTTGGCGAATTGACGTTGGTGAAACCGTTTTGACTTCATTAGCCATAGAAAGAGGCTTACTTCTTTGGAGTAGTTTTGTAGGACTCTCACTGAGGCCAAAGCTTCACCAGATTGTCGAGGGCAGAGGCTGAAAGATTGCAGCCAATTCAGAACCTTAGTCGGAAGGTTTGGGTGAGCTTTTAAAACTTCATCGCGCTAGCGAAAGACTATTGTTTTCAAGAGAGAACTGACATTTAATCACAATCAGAAAGCGATTCAAAGTATAAAAGCAACTTCTTATCACATTTTATAACAAATAAAACGACACCACCGTATGATTTCATAAAATACACAATGAGGCAATTTGCACTGATGCAAAGAATTCTGCTGAATAGCTTAGGCCCAATCTACTTCGAGGCATTGAAGAGTGCTTTTTGCAACTACATATAATAAAGATTGGGATGAAAGAATTTATTCAAGAGCAACAATAATGGCAGTTTAGTAGTAGTAATAAGAACAATAATAGTAATGATGGTAATAGGCTTTCACTCACTTCTTTGTTAGTGATTTGCGGCTACTCTGTGATTCATGTAAGGATGAGGTGCAAAACGCGCTTTCTGACGATGCACCATCATCGCATTTGTCGAGTGTTGTGATTTTAGAATCGTTACGAGGTGTGAGTTTGGCTGGCATGTTGGTGTGATCTGTGAAACCATAAAGCTCATTGATCGGCGTATCATCGAATCGAGTAAGTTGATGGTCGTTATCGAGCTCGCTCAGTTTACGATGGAAAGACTGATCAGGCTGCATCGAGTGATTAGGGTTGGAGTTGTTGAGGTTTGCATTGTAGTCCATTTGGCTGGCATCCTTGGGTCTTCGCACAGTGGATTGTGATGTGGTGACCCAATGAATGGTAATCACATTAATTGTAACATCAACTGGTTTTTTCTTTATTAGTAGGGACGATCGACCAAAAAAAAATAGCCAAGATTATTACCTGTACAGCATGTCAAACACACAAGTCCCCGTTCTCTGCCATGAAGCATCTGCAGAGAAAAGATGTTTGCAAACGAAACAACAAGACATACAACAGATGCAACCAATGTTCGAAGAGCAACTTCGCGCAGTCTTGATTGCTTTCGATCGCTTGTATCGTGTGATTTTCCTAATTTCAACAATGGCCGAACAAAGAATATAGTCATGTACAGATTGATGGCCTAAAGAAAATGGTCAGCACCTGCTCCATCCACGTATCTATGGACACTGTTTCTTACAAAATCATAGGCCTATTGAAATGTATTAGTAAGAAGGCGTCTGTGAATGTTGACAATGGTATATGTAGCCTTACTATAAGCGGGATCGCTGCAACAGATTGAAGGCCGATAATGCACACGCCGGATGCTTCTAAATCTGCTGTATGAAATATAAGCTAACATAATGTTAGCCTTCTGATGTATGTGCATTTTCGAGATCAAAAGTACCATCAGTGTTAGGATAGCAACATACGGCATCATCAGCAATACATGTACTCTATACGACAAGGTTTTGAATCTGCTTTGCCTAGTGGATGTTACAACGTAGACCTTCTCGATCAGCCTAGCATAAACGTCAATACGACATCCGGTCTGTATTAATGTTGACATTACCAAGCATAGATAACAAGCTTTGTGCCCGAATAAAAGACGTCGCATACCATGATAGACAGGAGACACGAGGTGAAATTAGCTTTACAGAAGTGGCGTTAGATGGCATTGAGTATCATGCAACTGATGCTTTACCATTATTTGTTGTAACAAGGACCATACTGATGGCAGTAAATGCCCATGATAATATGTACAATGCCAATACAAGCCATCTTGAATACGATAGGTATTTAAACTGAATATTGAACGTCTTGGTGCCAAACAGTGTTGATAGCACAGTGATTGACAATAGAGACACTATCTTAGCAGCTATTTCTGAGCTATCTGGTTGAGGCGTCTGGATAAAGTCTGGCGAATGAGTTATGTCCATGCGAACCAAAGATGAAGAAAGACGATGAACAATGGTTTGTTGATGAGATTTATATAATCATGTCAATTATCGTCATTTGATTTCCCTCCCTCCTTCCAACCCATATAGAAAGACTCTCCTTAAATTCTTTTGTTGCCTATCAAGTTCATATGACACATGAATGGAGAAGTCCAAAATGAGCTGATGCCATGTCTTTTGTTAGACGGTGTGTGCGTGTGTGTGCAATCATTTTTTTTTCTGGTGCCACAATGCCAATGTAAACATCACGGAATCAGCTTGATTTATCAGCTTTTGTTTATCATAATACTAGCTCTATCGTCACTCGCTCCCTCAGCATTATAATGTAACCCTTCGCTCAAGGTTCCATGAGTACCTTTCAAAGGAAAATCTTGTTTTTTGGCCACTTTCTGGCTCTATTTGGTAATTTAATATTTTAAATTATACATTGCATGCAGTAAGCAAACACAACAAAAGAGTCTCCCTAATTTGACAGTTTTAAGCGGGCAGATTGTGGTTTCCAGCGATCCTATATTTAGCAGCCGAGATTTTGAATGTATGGATGCTTCTCTCCTGAGTGGTATCAACTGGGAAAGTAGATTTTCCATACATACACTACCTGGAGTTCATGATGATTTTTAATTCTAAATGACAATTGAAATTCCTTTCATACGCGGGAGGTATGGGTATCAATGCTGCAATGCTATGCACTAAAATCTCATCTTGGATCAGATCAACAGCTATGCAGTCCAGTTTTCCGCAACCCTTGGTAGCTTTGGTTATTACTTCCATACTTGCTCGTTTTATTTTTCCTACATTTAGTTAATTTATCCTCAAGTCATGGATTATTGTTCTTCTCGCTATTCCATCCATTTATAAAAAGTTTCATAGATCGGCCCAAAAATAGTTAAAATAGGGTACTGCGTTTTATCTACCGGGTGCAATCCACAGCACAGTGCTCTTTCTTTTATTTCTATATTGAAAATAGGCCTTAGTGATCAGCGAATAGATTCCATGTATTCTTGAGAGCATGTAAATTTCAGACATCTGATTGGCTTGTGAACAGAGCAAATCTAGAATGATTAAAATAAGATTGCCCAACAGATCAAACATGTAATCTTAATTCTACACTTCCGGATCAATTATACATAACAAAATAGAATTTGGGCCATGTCAATAAATGTAAATTCTTTTTTTTTTCGTATGCGGAAAAGCCAACAAGAAAAGGATATTCGCAGATCAGAGTAGTAGATCCACTTGGCAGTAAGGAAATGCCACTACCAATGAGATTATTTCACAATCTACACGTTTGATACAAGGAACACAAAAGGTGCACATTTGAGAAGTACCCAATGCCAATTGATGAACCTCCCAGTGAGCGCATCTCCGACCCAAATCCCAAAAAGCAAAATAGAAAACATGCGACCACGCGAGGCTAATACATTGTTTTTATTGGCTTAAATGTTGTTGGAAATGTTGGAATCAATCATGAAGAGTGCCATCAATACCAATGATTTAGACTCACACGACCTCACTTGACACTAGATCCCAAGTTTTATATAAAAAGGGGCATCAGGAATGTTCAAATTCCATTTTCTTCATTACTCTTCCTCTCTAATCAATACAACAAAAGACATCCCGATCTGATGGCTGACACTATTATTTCTCAACATGAGCAAGAGCGCATGGCTGCTGCTGAACGAAAGCTCCAATCTCTCGAGAAATTAGACGACGCTGGTGCTGGTGGCTGGAATTGGTTTACTGCTCGTACCATTCTTACATCTGGTGCTGGCTTTTTTACCGACTCTTATGATGTCTTCATCATCAATTTAGTCACTCCCATGCTTGGTTATGTCTATTATGCTCACAATGGCAACAAGATTCCTTCTGATATTGAAGGTATCTTAAAGGGTATGTCCTCTGTCGGTACATTCATTGGTCAGCTCTTGTTTGGTTTCTTGGGCGACATCTTGGGTCGCAAGATTTACGGTTTTGAATTGTTGATCATCATCATTGGTACCATCAACTGTGCCACTGCTTCTTCTGCTGTTCGTGGTGTTGGTGCTATTGGTTTCCTTGGTCTCTGGCGTTTGATTCTAGGTATTGGTATTGGTGGTGATTACCCCATGTCTGCTACTATCACTTCTGAATGGTCTTCTGCTGGTAAGCGTGGTATGATGATGGCTCTCATCTTCTCCATGCAAGGTGTCGGTAACTTGGCTGCTGCCATTGTCACTTTGATCCTTTTGGCCATCTTCAAGAACGCCATTATTGCTGATGTGATGAACTTGGATTATGTCTGGCGTCTCTGTATTGGCCTCGGTGCTGTTCCTGCCGTTGGTACCATCTACTTGCGTTTCACCATGCCTGAATCTCCTCGCTACTCTCTTAATGTTGAACACGACGTTGAAGCTGCTGCTATGGCTAAGGGTCAAACCGTCAGCACTGATCTCGCTAAGCAATACACCAAGGTTGAAGAGAAGCGCGATCACTGGGCCGAATTTAGAGCTTACTTTGGCCAATGGAATAACTTCAAGGTGTTGCTCGGTACTGCCTTGTCTTGGTTCTTGCTTGATGTTGCTTTCTATGGTCTTGGTCTCAACAACTCTGCTATTTTAGCTGCTATTGGTTATGCTAAGAAGCCTACTCCTTTCGAGACTCTTTGGGCTAATACTGTTGGTCAAATCATTATCACTTGTCTTGGTTCCGTTCCTGGCTACTACATTACTGTCTTTACTATTGAAAAGTTGGGTCGTCGTACTATCCAATTGATGGGTTTTGCTGTTACCACTGTTCTCTTTGCCATTCTTGCTGGTTGTTACAACATCTTGATTGAAAAATCTATGCCTGCTTTCATTTTCATCTTCACTTTGGCTCAACTCTTCCAAAACTTTGGCGCCAACTCTACTACCTTTATTATTCCTGGTGAGGTTTTCCCTACCAAGGTGCGTGCTTCTGCTCATGGTATCTCTGCTGCCTCCGGTAAGGCTGGTGCAATTCTTGCTTCTTTTGCTTTCAACGCTCTTGTTGATATTGGTGGTCCTCAAGGTGCTCATGCTTTCTTGCCCGAAGTTCTTGCCATCTTCTCTGGTGTCATGTTCTTGGGTTTCATTGTTACCTATCTCTGGATTCCTGAGTCCAAGGGCAAGGATCTTGAAGAATTTGAGGAAGATTATGTTTCTCCTACTAATATCCAACTCTCCAACTCTGCCGAAGATAGCATGACCAATGAATCTGTCTGCCCCGAACAAGAATTGAAGGTCTAAGCTGCTCATATACTCAACACAACACAAAACATCATCACATTATAACATAGAATGGGTTGTACATTATATTATCTATCAAACATTATTTTACTTTTTTTTTAACTCATGTAAATAGCATATCCGTAATAAAATTTAATTCATATCGAAAAATTTGTCTTTGTAAAATGCTTTATCTTTAATTCCACTTTCCGCATTTGATTGAGCAACTTGAAACGAATACATCGACTAGATATAGAAAATGAGTTACTATAACAGCATAAAGTAATCTTCTAGCTAATAAGCTTTAATACTCTTAGCCGTAAATATCTCCTTATGAGCGTTCAATAGCATTGATTATTATCTTTAGGATGAGCAAGGGGTTATATTTTGTCTGCCTACCTGGTTGAAGCTCCGCTTTTTTTTTCTCCTGATTTGTTCATTTCTCATCAAGTTACGACTTGATTGAACTATTTTGCCAGATTCGACTATATAGAATATAATGACCATCCTATGCTTCCTTAAGCTTTCTTGGAGTGCTTTTCAAGGCGCATCCAATGGTACCAACTAAGGTACATGTTTTGAATAAACTTATTGAGCAATGCATGAAAATATATAAAGAAGTTTCTGGCCAAAAAGTCGAAATTTTACATATTAAGGTTCTACAAAGATGACTTGAGGGATTACGTTATACCGGTAGAAACATTTTGGTTTAATATATACCATAGTAAAAGTCTTCATTATCAAGGTCAAAAACGCGATTGTTTGGATTTCGATGAAAACCATGAGGGGTATCTCATGCTTTTTGGTCGATTTTTGGCCATGTTTTTGTGGTCCCCAAAAAGTTGAGCAAAGATGTCAGGAAGTTACTGCTACTCGAGTACAATTGTTTGGCGTCATTCCGGCGGCTCAGAAAGGTCTACATGTCAAGATATGAAGGCTCGAAAACTGTCAAATTTGTTTATGTTTTTGCTGTGTAGCTTATATTTACACGGCATGAATTACATCTTTGGTAGCTGAAATCTTCTGGAAGGGCAGTTCTGCAGCCGGTGCAACATCTCATTCGAATAGGAGGCAAATTGACTTTGGTAAAGCTAATTCATGCAAATTTTGATGCGTTATGTTGTTGGTAAGACAGTTAATAATGAAAATAAGAAGCCAAATTTACTGCTTGATTACTATGGATTTGTACGTTTGCTTTGTTACGGTAAACCCTTCTTAAGGTCAATGTTACCAAATTTTGCCTTAAAGCCACAAATCTCTCAATCCACAGCCAAATAGCAGGCAAGAAATCGTTTGAATTAGATGTTCTTGGGAGAACGGCTTTTAATCTCTGTTTGGCTACGACGACGCTTTTAACAAGTTTTCTAGTATAACGATGATGCTATTGCTGCCTGTCATTGAGAGCTGGTAATCTCATACCCTCGTTTCTTCCACTGGTAGGCATTCACTATCTTGATGTAAATGCATACACATAATCACCAGATAATAGGTTTTGACACTACCTAGGTCATGTTCCATTACTATGATGAGAAGAACTTTGATAAACTACTTGGTATGGGATAGTTACAAGGAAATAAACAATCGACCTATAATCTATAAACATCAGCTCTAGTGAGATCGAATTGTTCCCACAACTACCTTGAATCTTGCCATAAAAACCATCGCTTACATAATGAGGCTCACTGGTAGTATTATGGCAAGTGATTCCATGTGCGCATTCATTGTTACAACTAACATACTAGTATTAAACATTTTACAGCGTAATCAAGATCTACAGGCTCTTGGAATTATGTAGGACTATAGAGGAGCCCGTTCGATTGATAATACAGTTGCTTTCAGCAGATTTCCTAAATTTGATGGTTGGAGATGAGGACTATTTCGCTCAATTTTAGGCTGGTTCTTTTTACATTGATTTTAACGGGGTTAGCCATTAGTAGAAAGGTATATATTATTTTTTTTACATTAGTCGTCGCCTCCAATTAACCATGAAGATATACACTCTAGACATTGCTCATAAAGACCAGCAGTACCTGCTTACTTTACAAAAAAAAAAAAAAACGATAAAAAGGCATGAAATAATAAAAAAAGGGGGTCGAGTTTATTGAAATTACAAAAAGATGTGTATGATGGTGGAAATAGAGCAAAATGGGTGATGATACAAATATATTTACAAGAAGAATCTTTTACGACTTGTTTCCATGTCAGGCTTAAACACCCATTCATACTCGCCATCACGCTTGTACACTCCTTTCTGTAGCCAACGAAGCTTCAATGTGAATTTTGGGCCTAATTCCTGTAATCCCACCTTTTCAGTATCTCTAAACACATAACGATGGCGACGCACAAAGATGAAATCACGCTGATTGTGGAAGGTAATCACTTGTCTGCCTTGGAATTCCGGTACCTGAGGCAAGAGAGCTTGGAACATACGGCCAATTGTATGACCCAATCTGGTGTTGAAGTTGTTCAAGATCAATTCAGGGTTGTGAGCAGTGACACGGCCATGACCCTATCAGCACCATTAGCACAAAAGATAAGAAAAGATCAATATCCACTTACAGAAATGGCTTTGGCAGGTGTGAAACTGGTAAGCTTGAAATAAGCGGATGGACCTTCAGGTAAATGTATTAAAGTAATGGCATCTGCATGTTGCAATTAGAAACCATTTCTCCTTATCACTATCCCAGACCAATACTTACTGGGCACTTTGCGATCCTCATTGACAATGATCAGATCAGTAAATTCCTTCTCATTGGCAATCTTTATCACTTGTCTCAATTCATGCTTGGCGCCACGCTTAGCGAACTGTGCTTCGGGGAACATAGACACCAACTCTGCACAGAAATCGTAACAATTGGGCGAGGGGTTTTTGCTGGATGTAATGAGCACCTTGGGTGATTTTCCACTGAAATAACTGGCTAACTCATCCATGGCTTCGTCCTGAGCTACCTCATCGTCCTGATCTACCATGGTCTCATCTGCTTCTCTGGTATTATCCAATGTGTTGGGGACATTCTCTTCTAAACGTTTCTAGCCCCACCTATCAGACACTATGGCCATCCACTGCTGCAAATCAAAGAGCTTACCTTTTTTAATTCGGGATTCTTCTCTTCTGCTTTAGCGAGCTGCTTTCTCTTGATCGATTTTGCCTTTTGCTTTTCTAGCCTTTGCTTTTGATAAAGGTTTTCTCTCTTGTGTTTGTTTTTCAGCTCGGAAGGGCGTGATACTGGTTCTCCCATGTTGAATGTACTGTATTTGTATGTTTAGAGGAGGAAGCAAGTGTCAGAAAACATTTTTTCATTGAGTGTTGGAGCAAATCTTTGGGAAAAAGGGTCACGAAGCAGTCCATCAGCCATAGCACTGATGGAATGCTGATAATTCAGATGAAACTCGACATTTTGACTAGTTCTCGACTAAAGGAGGGACAATTTGAGCATTTATTACTGCTGTGAAATTTCTATTCATCTTGTAAAGCATCATTGCTATATGTTTGATGCTGGAATTCGTTTGAGACAGCCACAAAAAGTGGAAATCCGGTTTACAGATTGAAGATTTTGTCTCTATAAAATCAATTTATGTCAGCATGCTTATCAGGTGTATCTACGTCAATCTCATACTTATATAAATGCAGGTTTTCAGAGGTTAAAAGGACTAATCACTTGTTGAGTACAGACATCGCTCGATAACAAGACTGAAGATGCTTACCTAGATCCCGTTTTGTGAGTCTTTGCTTAGTAATAGGGCACACATTCTTTGCTGATTCACCTTGCCAGTTACTCAAGCAGCGCAACCAAGTATCATATCTTTGGTGTTCGATTTAGCATTCACAAGTGCAAAGCAGTAAGACGTAAACACATACCCCATAATATGACCATATTTTGAAATGGCTGGCTTCTCTACCTGATCCAATGTGATGGGATCGATGAATCCAGGAAGAAGGCACTCAGATTCATTTGCGGATGCCACATCTTGCGTGGCAGCAGGGTCGTTTGACTCATGGCACTCTTTGGTAGACAAACATCTTGTTTGTTTGTATTTCTCGCTTTGCACTTTGTCGGCACGAGTTCTATAGTAGTTGCGAGGCACGAAGTTGCCAGAAGCATCGTTATCGTAACTCTCAATCTCGCTATCACTGCTCGAGTCATTGCTCATGGTCAGTCGATGACGACGACGAGCTCTTTTCGCAGTGCCTTTGCAATTGGATGTCTTTCTTTTGGTGGATTTGTTTAGCTTGTCGTCCGAAAGAGCTGTGTTTGATAGTACTGCATGGCTCTCACTAGTGTAATTTTGATTGAGGCTTTTGTTGTGTGTTCTCAATCGCTTCTCAGTTGTTCCATCTTCCAGTTTCTTTTCAAATGTGTATAGTGGTTTTCCATTCGGTGCAATCACATAATTGGCGTCTTGCAACTGCTTCGTTTCAATCAGAAATCGATAGTAGTTGGAGCACTATCAAATAGCGTGGGTTTTCATGTGGAGATTGTGAGTGCGTATAGATTGTACCTGATATCCGACTCTGCCTGGAATACCTTTTGAGAATAGCCCCCATTGTCCTTCTGTGCCCATTACTTTAAGTCGATCAATGAATAGTTTCTTTTCATCCTGTCACTAACGGTTATTTAACTCTGCTGCCATGCTCACCGCATATTCATTGTACGTTACCTCTGTCCAGGGGCCTCTCTTCTGCTCTTCGCCTGGTTCATTGAATCGGTAATAGTAGCTGTTTGGGTTCTTTTCAATCATTTTAAACGATCTAATTCGAGCTTCGGACCATCCCTCAAATGCCATCTTTGATTTAGGGTTGGTGATTTGCTTCAATGCTGCATCCAATCCAAGTTTCGTACGGGGTTGTCTGTCCTCCATCACCTTAATACTAAGCTTATCCGTAAAAGAAACTGCTCAATGTTACCTCTTTTTTGTACATGCTTGCTTTGATGCTTTTTGGACTGGAATTTGCCCTGGTTTGTTCAGTGGGACGTAGGATGTTTCCTCTTTGTTGTACCTCAGGGCAATATCCTTTCGAAGCTGAGCCAAGGTGCCAGGCTCTGATAGCCGACAGATTGCCTTTTCCTAATTTAATGCAAGCCTAATATCAGAAAGTATGTAAGTCTATGGTTACTAATAAACCCAACCTCGTTATTTTCGCATTTTTTCAAAATGTCACTAATTTCCTCATCACTGAGGTAGTCAAACACCTCTCGAATGGCGCTGTATATTCTGATCTTTTCTCTCAATTCATGATTCGCAAATTGACGCTGTTGAAGGGTGATCCGTTCATTGATCTGAGCGTGCTCTTGATCAGTGATTCTTTCCTTATAAAAGTTTTTAGTATTAGGGCTGCTAGTTGGTCAAGGAGGTTAATAATTTTATAAAATTTAAGGGATGGAAAAGAAGGGATATTAACCTTTGTTTATAGCTATTGCTGTCGAACAAAGCCATCGTCGAATGCGTGATGTCGTCTTGGTGTTGCTGAACGCTTAGCTTAGGCAAAGGTGTTCTCAGTTGTTGCTGGGTAAAGGATGAGTACACTCTGGCACAGTTAGCGTAATGGAAACTCACCAGAAATGAGGCATTGATTTGAACACTAATTGGAACAGGTAATGCTTTCCATGACAGAAGTGGCCTCGTGCCCCTGTCACTTATATCATTATTTTTATTAGCTAAAACAATGATGAGTAGGGGCTTTCAATTCAAACTAATGGACCAAACCTAGTTTCAGTGCATGTATCTCATCTTGACACTCCTCTGCAAAGAATGCGCTTTTATTTAGGCCATATTGAGTCATTTTTTCCCTTTTGCTTATCAAAAGACGAAAAAGCGAGATGCGCATACACCCGCTTAGTTTGTAACTTGTGTACACGCCACTTTTGGCGTTCTACTTTTTACAGTAACTGAGCGCGTACACACACACACATTCAGGAGTTGTTGATAATAAAGGGACCGCCGCTTATAAAGATGCCTCTGTACAGGTGGGGAATGCAATAAATGTCAAAATGGGATATATAGTACTCCACATGCTCTTGAGTTGATTCTACTTTCATCATCTTCCTTTCGTTTTACATATACCATTCATTCATTCAATCTCACTATGTTTTCTCATATTCAACATGCGCAGGACGCACACAACCCACAGCCATTCCTTCACCCACACGACCCAAATGTCGAAAAAGAATACGAAACGCTCATTCAAGCATGGAAGAATCAACTGATAGAAAAAACACCCGCCTCACCTAGTTATGAATACATTCGATTTGCCTGGATGAGACTCATGGACCACTATCTCGATCAACAGTGGCTCGACTCAAAGCAAATGCTGCAATGTGCCCAAGCATGGAGTGCCCGTGATTCAATCGGCATTACTGAAGCCGTTCATACAATGAATATCCTCAGCCTCAAGTCCATGCAAAGATCATTGGATGCACGTCAAGAGCTGCTCCAGGCATTGGGAGACCCTGATTTCATGGCAGGATTTGGTGTTACTCCAATTGATACCACATTGGACCCTCTGGCTGGCATAGAGGCACAAGACGAGGACGATGATGATGAAGAAGACCGTCAAGTGCACGCTCCTTTACTTGTCACGCATAACAACACACCCATCGAAGAATCCTCTAATACCTTTCCTGGGGAGGAAGATGAAGCCATTATGACAGATGACATCAAGCCAGAACAGACAGACAGCGAAGAGGGCTTGAGTGAACCGGACCAACAGGCATGTAAGCAACAAGGCTTTCGGTTGACTTCATCTACCTCTACGCCCAACATTTCCATCAGATCAAGTCAAGACGACTTTTCGTTCAACAAAAGCGGGTTCAACCGAAAATACGAGAGCTACTACCAGCAATTGGACCAAGCATCTTGTTGGAGAGAGATGGAAATGAAACATGAGGAGGTCAGTGTCATGTCGGACGATCAAAGCATCTACAGCGATCATAGTGATATCAATGAGCATGTTAATGGAAACGGCTTTCAATGGAAGAGCTGGTTTGTGGATGAACAGTCTGACCACCAGCAGCAACAACAGCCATTGCTAGCACCTGACGAACCCATTATATTTGAGCAAGAGTTTGCTGATGAAAAGGTGGAGACGGACGCATGTTTAGCAGAGTTATACAACCCACAGCCCAAAAAAAACCAACCGTTTCTTATGGTCAGAAGTGAATCAAGTATCTCAGCATTCAGACCCATCAGCAACAATCTAGCGCCTCGATGCCAGCAATTGATGAAAAGATCCTCGTCATCCATTACCATTGAAAAGGCAGAACCACAGCATCAGCCACTGCAACTGCCTGCTGCTGCTACCATTACAAAGAGCAGATCCTTTCCCACGAAAGCGTCCTTGTCTGCCTCTTTCAAAGCCGTTCCTTCATCGTCATCTGCCTCCTCCCCGCCTTCAATGCCGACAAATTCCACCTCCATCAAAGAACGTAATTTCATGATTCGTTCCATTGTAGGCAAAAAAGTATCTTTGTCCAAGCTGTTTGGCAGCAGGAAATCCTCGTCCTCGTCCTCTACCTCCTCTCATCATTAATCTTACTACTAATAGCTTAATCTACTATCTCCTTTAATCAATAAAGTATCATACTATCGAAATGAAACATGTAGTCATGGAACGCTAATGCTTGGTTTTTGAATCAGCAAACTTGAGCCTCAGCTTAATTTGCTTTTTTTTTCTTCCTTTTTACATTTTTTTTTTTTTTTTTTTTTTTTGGCAACTAAACATGTCGACATTTACAAATAGGTTGATCAACAAGAAGAGTCCTTATCTTTTGGTAGTTTGAGATCTACTCATATGTCAAATGCGAGTTGTTAATCCATTTTTTCTGCATTTTTATAGCAACACGGTAATATAAATTATGATTTTTTTTTTGTAGTCTTAAACACTAAGCATCTTGATCTCCTTCAATAGCTCATAACCCCGTAAGTACATTAGAATCTGGTCAATGCTGCTGAACTCAATAGAAAACGGTAGGTCGATTGGTATCCTTGGGGCGAAGAAGCTTTCAACAAGGCCAAACAGGAAAACAAGCCCATCTTTTTAAGCGTGGGTTACAGTACTTGCCAGTAAGTGAATTATGTAACCAGCCGAAAATGGTATTAAAGTGCCTCCTTCTCAGTTGGTGTCATGTCATGGAACATGAATCTTTTGAAAACGAAAGCATTGCAGCTGTTATGAACCAGAAGTTTGTGAACATCAAAGGTAATTTGACTGAAAGATGATAGCAGAGAGTGTATCCATTCTAATTGGCTTACAGTGGATAGGTCAGTGTATAGCACGAATGGACATTTAAATTTAACTGCTTATATGACATCAAAAACAGAGAAGAGAATCCTGGCGTGGATAAATTATACATGGCGTATGTACAGCTCACATCAGGTCAAGGCGGTTGGCCCATGTCTGTCTTTTTAACGCCTGATTTGAACCCTTTCTTTGGTGCTTCCTACTTCCCTCCCCAAGATCAATACGGTAAACCCGGATTTAAAACTCTATTAAACCGTATTGCACAACTGTGGGAAACAAATCCACAAAAGGTAAAAGCAAGTGGAGAAAATATGACACAACAATTGCGATCTTATATCCAGGTAGAGTACTTTTTGTGTGATGGATAGATGCACCCCCCTATTGACATGACATGACATGACATGACATAGGCGAAACCTGCCGAATTGGCATCAGCATTAGATCCGGTTGCAGTTGCCGCAGAGGCCTACCATCATTTTGAGAATTCTTTCGATCCTGTCTATGGTGGATTTGGTCCTGCACCAAAATTTCCTACACCCGTGCAGCTGCAGTTCTTGATAGACTATTACATGTACAACAGGCAGAAAAAGACCGCGGACGCACAAAAGGCACTTGAGATGGCATTATTCACACTAAAGAAGATTGCTGCTGGTGGCATTCATGATCATGTTGGCAGTGGATTTCATCGCTATAGCACCGACAAGAAATGGCATGTGCCTCACTTTGAGAAAATGCTGTACGATCAGGCGCAGTTGCTCTCGCTTTATTCATCAGCTTATCAAATCACTGGCGAGTCTGTGTTTGCAGAGGTAACAAGAGACATCATTTTGTATGTGTCGAGGGATTTGCACCACGCACAAGGTGGCTTCTATTCAGCTGAAGATGCCGATTCACTGCCACACGACAAATCAACGAAGAAACTGGAAGGCGCTTTCTGTGTTTGGGAGATTTCCGAGCTGCAAGACATTCTGGGCTTGGTCAACTCGTACGTTGTGGGCGTGCATTATGGTTGCAAAGAGGAAGGAAATGTGGACCCAGCGCAAGATCCTCAAAATGAATTGAAGCACAAGAATGTCCTGTCAGAGTCTCAGTCGATAGAAGAAACTGCTAAAGCTGCTGGAATGACACCAACGGAAGTCCTTGAGATTTTGAATCTTGCAAAGATCAAACTATGGGAATACCGTGCCAAAGTTCGTCCTCGACCTCATCGAGATGAAAAGGTTAGATAAAGTCGATGCACCTTAAACAATGAGCTCACCCATAGACTTAGATTTTGACCTCTTGGAACGGCCTGATGATCACTGGCTTAGTACATGCTTACGATGCCACTCAGGACGAGGATATCATTAAATTAGCAGTAGAAGCGGCTGAATTTATTTACCGCGAACTGTATGATTCTTCAACACATACTCTACTGAGAAGCTACTGCAACGGTCCTTCTGATATACAAGGTTTTATCGATGACTATTGCAATCTGATCCAAGCTCTTTTAGATTTATACGAGGTGACTTTCGATGAACGATGGATTGAATGGGCATTTGCACTGCAAGAAAAGCAAAATGAACTGTTTTACGATGCTGAGCAAGGAGGCTACTTCAATGTTACTGTCACTGACACATCCATCTTGGTTAGAATGAAAGAAGGTAACATGGTAGAACTTTGTTATCTATTTGCAGACACTCAATCGATTGTTACTAGAACAAGATGGCGCTGAGCCTTCAGCGTAAGCTTGATTTGGAAGAGTAGTACGAGTGTATGTCTAACCTCTTTTATGAATGCTTTCAGGAACGCTGTCTCTTTGAGAAATCTAGTTCGTCTTTCATCTCTTTTAGAGGAGCCTGGCTACTTTAACAAGGCACAGGAAACAGTGCGTGAATTTAGATTGTCTTTGAGCAAATTTCCATTTGCTATACCTGCATTGGTCGCTTCGTTCATGTTGGTTTCCAATGGACAGAAAGAGGCAAGTATCTGAAAAGCATAGAGTGCAATTGAAAGCTAATAGAACGGCTCCCTACTAGATTGTTTTAGCAGGTAGACTCACAGATCCTACCATGTCTACATTTAAAAAGATTGTCTCTCGTGTGTTTATGCCAAACAAACTGGTGGCTTTGGCCAAACCAGAGGGCTTCATCGCATCCAAAAACTCTGTCATCAGGCAAATTGCAGAGCAATCTCAAAGCGCTGTGAATGAGCCAGCAGCATACATTTGCGAGAATTTTGCTTGTGGTTTGCCTATATACGATGCTGAGCAGCTCAAATCAGCATTAGCATAATTTCTCCCGTTCCGAATAAACCAAATATCATATATATATTTATATAATTCCCATAATTTTATTGAATCGAGGGAAACAGCTTCTTACATTCAGAAAACTTATTGGGCAGACAAGATATCAGAGTCACCGGCATCAGTGATGGAGAGAACACTGGTACGGAAGAGCTTACCACAGGCGGTACCGAGATCAATGTTGTTACCGTTGTAGTGGTGGACACCAGTCTTGGACAACATGGCGTAGTATTCGATCTCGGACTTACGGAGAGGAGGACAGTTACCAGCAATGATGATCAACTTGGCTATTCAATGATGTATAAGCATAACATGTTTAAAGGGGGACGATCTCTGCCAAATTGAATAAGACAAAAGCCAAATGTATGCAAAAAGAAAAAAAAAAGGCTCCTGTCCCCCCACGCAAAATAACAAACAGAGATCGCTTTCGTATGGTTGTCCTGCACTTACCCTTTCCTTGACGAACAGTCTTCAAAGTGGTCTTGTAACCGAGAGTATACTTACCAGACTTGGTAACAAGTTGGAGACGAGAGTTGATGGACTCGGCGTTCTTCTTGGACTTGACAGTAGGGGCCATTTTGAACTAGTTGCTAATGTCAATGTCACGAATTCAATTGATCCGTAAAGCTTCCCACTTACAGAAATCGAAATATAGACGAAAGAGAAGGTTTAATATAATCAAAAGTCAACTAATGTTTAAAGCTAGAAAAAATTTCGTACATGTTTCCTAAGCCACTAGAGGAGAAATGTCAATTTCCAGTTTGATGGCTCTCAAATCTGAGACCCAATGCTATAAACATTGCAAATTGATGCAATGTGCCCCTGTCTTTTGTCTAATCATTCTTTCATTCGACATTCAATAGAAAAATGAACAAGCTCAGTGCCTTCCGCAACATTCCTCGCACCTTGACAAGAGGTTATGCTACTGAAGTAAAGCCCAATATTAAATTGTTAAAGGAGCTTCGTAAGGAAACCGAGGTTTCCATGACCAAGGCAAAGGAGGCCCTTGTCAAGACCAACAACGACTATGCAAAGGCATTGGCTTGGCTATCCGAAGATGCTCAAGCCTCTGGTGCCAAAAAGGCACAAAAAGTTGCTGGTAGAACAGCTAGTGAAGGTTTGATCACCACTGCATCCGTTGAAGTCCCTGTTGTCAATGGCATCAAAAGCAAGAGCACTATCATTGAGGTAAAGTTACTTTTGTATGCTAGATTAAAGAAGCCACGCATACTTACTCTAGATTTCAGTTGAATTGCGAAACTGATTTCGTCTCTAGAAATGATGTTTTCAAGAATCTCGCCTCCAGAATTGCTGCAACATCCTTATTAATGCATGATGGACCTGTTACTGGAAATGCCCGTGCGATTGAATCTATCCCTGTTGACACTCTTCTCAATGCACCACTCATGCCTCATCCTACCGACAATACAACCAACAACCTTGGAAAGACAGTTCAAGAAACCATTGTGGAGACCATCGGTAAGCTTGGTGAGAACATTTCTTTGCGTCGTGCTGCTATTGTAGCTCAAGGCGCCTCTGCTTGTTACATTCATGGCGGAGATGCTTCAAGTGGCAAGATGGGTGGTATTGCTGTTCTCCAACCCAAGAAGGTCAAGTTAATAGAACTTGACGAAACCGCTGCTGCAACATTAGCAAAGACTGCACGTCAGATTGCTCGCCAAGTCGTTGGCTTCAATCCTACCTATCTTAACTCTGAGGATGTACCAGAAGCTGAACGTCAATCACAATCTAATCTGGAAGAGTTTGAAGAAGCACACGTTTTGAACAAGCAAAAGTATCTCTTGAAGCCAGAGCTAACTATCGCTGAATATGTGCAACAAACTGCTGATGCTGAGGTTGTTGATTTCATTCGCTGGCAAGTGGGCGAAGGTATTGAGAAGAAGGAATCTGATTTCGCTGATGAGGTTCTTAGCGCTGCTCGTGGTGGTAATTAAAACCTGATCTTTTGGATCTGATATAGAAAAAGCATTATATTATTGACATTATTATGGTTCGCCTCATTCAAATTGTACAAATAAACAGAATTAATAGAACTGGTATTTGGATTGGTTCAAGTAAATCCTTGCGTCTTCAAGTGATCCAGCAATCACCGCGACAATCGTTTTTGGTGTTTTTGGAGCAAACGCCTAGCATTGAACGACCATAACTTAACAATTAGAGAAGCTAGAACAAATTAGTTACTTGCAATAGAATCCCCTGCATTTTGGCTCTCATTTGGTGCTATTTTTGTATCTTTAGCATGTCTAGGCGTTGCTCGCTCCGATTTTGAAAAACAACTTTTCAAAAGAGCCAGGCATTATGTCTGGCAATATCTGATGTGTAAGTGAAAATGCAGAAACAGTAAACAAAAAACAGAAATGCGGTATCAAGAGAATCCTTGAAGACCAAAACATCATCTAGGACTATTTTCGGCTCACCTTGAGCATGTTACGTACAGTTTCTTTATAGTTTCTCTGGTTTTCTTCTTGTCGCGCGCTTCAAAATTTGGTCACAAAACGCTGTATACAGCTCTGCTGTTGCATGATTTCAAACAAGAACCAAATTACACTAATTACAGGCTGCCTGCAATACTGCGTACCCCAAGTCAAGTATTCTGCAGCAAATTTTTGAATCATACAAGCCTAGTTCTCTTGGTATTAAATAGCAGTTGCGATGGTGGTTATCATAATGATGCTGGCCTATGCTTTGCTAAATATGCTGTTATTGCTGCTGACTGCAAATTCTGAAAGGTACATCATTATTTGCTCATAAATGCATCTTATTAACACTAGGGTGAATGAGCAACTACTTTAGAATGTCATGTTGTGAACAAAAACTCGAGCTTTTATTCATGACATTTGATATAAGAAAGAGAATTGCATTTCGAGTAACACAGGTACAGATTTAATCTTTAATACCCTATACATTTGACATTTAGTGGAGGTCTGTGCCAAGGAAAACAAATTTTAGCTTACTCTGGCCATCTTGACAGCGCCCCAAAGCCCACCGACAAGACCTGTGCCTAGAACAAGAAATGTGCCATATACAAAGAGCTTATCTCGGGGCCCTCTAAGGAAGAGCAATTTATTGGAAGGTTGCTGATGTATCTGTTAGCCAACAAGTTATAGAGAATTGGTTCTGATTACTTACTTGGAAGTATCTTTGTTGCTCGAGGACACGATTTGGTCTGTTTACAAGTGACATTTTGTAAATATTTATATTAAACTGGAAAAGAGAAGAGGACAATAGGTGTCAAGCCCTTGCATTATGTACCTATTGAGTGTCAAAAAAGTGGAGAGATGTTTTGACAGCATTAGAAAGGCGGTTGAATGATGTCCGAACCGGATGCACGTCGACCCACTTTAGCTTTCAGTATCACCCTAGGTTTGGCAAGCAGAGAGAACTGGGTGGTCGTCAAGTAAAGTTGATGTGAAGATCGTTGTTGTAATACCTCCTCCTCTTTAACGTCAATAATGCCTGCAAACTCAGGTTCGTACATGGATGCCAAACACTGATAGGAAACGAATGGATGAGGACAATGGATGGATAGATGTAGATGATTAATCGCCAATATGGGTTGGGTTTAGATTGATGATAGTATATTACACATACAACTTACTATTCAAAGTGAAATATCTACAGTATTAAAAATGGATGAATACCACCTAACCACAACCATTACCCCTGTCCATTCGTTTTCTACATGTATCAAGTCAACAAAACCAACTAAACATATACATAGCTCCCAAGGCTAAGGCTCAAGCCGCCAAGAAGGCCGCCCTCAAGGGTGTCAACGGTAAGGCTGTTCGCAAGATCCGTACCTCTACCCACTTCCATATCCCCAAGACTTTGGTTTTGAGCCGTGCTCCCAAGTACGCTCGCAAGTCTGTTGCTCATGCTCCCCGTATGGATCAATACCGTGTCATTCGTCAACCTCTCAACACCGAGACTGCCATGAAGAAGATTGAGGAACACAACACCTTGACCTTCCTCGTTGACGTCAAGGCCAACAAGAACCAAATCAAGGATGCCGTCAAGCGTCTCTATGATGTTGAGGCTGCCAAGATCAACACCCTCATCAGGTAAGCGGTTTTTGCGTGTGGTTGTTGAAAGTGAGGAGGGAAATGTTGATTCATATCTGTTTCTTTATAGACCCGATGGTTATAAGAAGGCTTTCGTCCGCCTCACCGCCGATGTCGACGCTCTTGATGTTGCTAACAAGATTGGCTTCATCTAATCTTTTGACAGCTTTCTCGTTGATATTCTTAGTTTTACAAAGAATAAAGTTTTGAAGGGGTAGTATGGTTCATATTTTACACTGTAATTATCTTTTCGCATTTGTTACAACCATAAAGCATATACGCATCACAAAACCAGGAATACAAGTGGAATTCATCCATTGGTGATTTTATACTGTTCATTGCCTTATTATATACCCAGGTAGTATCTAGGGTAGGACCAGACTGAAATGATTATGGTTCAATTAATGTATTGTTTGCAATCATTGCGGTGGTCTCCTAAGCCGGTGGTACAGCATTGTATTGCTGGAGACCTCATAAAATGCGGATTATGTTAAGACACGCCATCATCAGTGGTTACAGCTATCAAGGCTGGTAATTTAGGTAGCATGTACAATTCTGGATAGAAGACCAATTCGCCATTTCATACTTGGATAAGCGATTTGTAGCATTTAAGCCTGCGTATTAGTTATAACATTGAGTAACAATAGCAAGAAAAAGATATATAATACATCTCAATTGGCAATCCCATTGATATTAACATCACAGGCATCAAGTATCTGCGCAAGAGAGGGATATTGGTTAGCAAAACAAAATCAATTCAAACGTCGTTCGACATTTACTCCAGATTGAACAGATTATGCCTTTTTGCGACTTGATTGAACTATTTTATGAGATTCGACTATGTAAGTTGTGATGATTACCTCATGCTCCTTTAAGCTTTCTTGAGGTACTTTTCAAGGAGCATCCTGTGATGCCAATTATAAGATATGTTTTGAATAAACATATTGAGCTACTCTTAAAAATAGGAAATTAGGTTTTGGATCAAAATGTTGAAATTTTACATATCAAGGTCGCACAAACAAAGCTTCAGAGGCTACGTTGGATCGATAGAAACATTTTGATTTATGATATGCCATAGTAAAAGTCTTCGTTATTATCAAGGTGAAAGATGCGATCGTTTTATTTTTTGATAAAACCATGAGGGGTACCTCATGCTTTTTGGTCGAAATTTGACCTCGTTTTTTTGATCCCCAAAAAGTTGAGCAAAGGTGTCAGAAAGTAACTGCCAGATGAGAGCAATTGTTTGATTCTATTCTGACAATCTAAAACGGCCTTGAACGCGATAAAATGCAGCTCAAATGTACTCAAATTTTGCTGTATTTGGCGCACTCTTGACTAAAAAGGGGCAATACCAATATGCTGCTGGCCCGCATTTGAAGTAGCTACGTGCGTATGAATGTAGAGCATCACATAGGAATCAAATCCACAGATAATATGAAGGGGTTTCATGTGTAAGTAGAGGGTCAACATGAAAGCAGTAGTATTTTGATAAGATACGCAAGAGAAATCAGTAGTACGAGCTGCCGCTGCACAGATTGGTTCTCACCGAAGCGAAGCGAAGGTAGAGAGCTATCCGAAGCATAAACACTCGTATGTCATAGTAGAAATTTTCATCTTTGCGGTCAAAAACGCTACTTTAATACGCTCAGATTTTGCAGTGTTTTGCATATTAGTGCGTAGTAGGAGGTATCATTAGTAGGATATGTGCTTGTATGCTAGTTATTCTCATTAAGATAGACATGTGGCACTGCAAAAAAAGTTGTCTGACCCACGGCTATAGATAGTTTACAAAGATTCTTTATGTTGAGTGAAAGTATTGCTAGACAGACCCTGAAAGTCAATATACCATTGTCAAATTTTAAAAAGAGATAGGTCAAAGAGCAGCAATACATACTTATTTCACTTGTATTGTAAGCAAACGCTTTATAAACTTTTGATTACTATTGTTCTTTTGGTGCTAGTCAGTTTGAATCTAGTAACTCTGATCGACTAGGATGCTACTGTCGACATATCAAGTAAGCAAAAACTTGATTAACACTCGTGTTGCTCACCAAAGATGAGGCCACCATCCATGCTTGGTAGAAACTAGACACTAGATAGCTAGAGAGTTCTTTAATGCCAGGCATACAGATCTATTTCTTGACAGGTCCTTTGTCTTCATTCACCTACATTAGTGGTGGCTTTTATTTCATTTTGTATGCACTACCACTCTGAAATTAGCAATTTAAACTTATTGAAGTTTCACAAGAAATCAATAAATTTATATTCCCCTTATTTTCGTTTTGGGCCCATTCTTTCTTTTTTTTTTTTCCCCCTTTTTATTATCTTTTGACAAAAAATCAGAATGACCACATTATACGATCCCCCTGCTGCTACTCACAATCACCACAGCAACGACACTTATTATACATCAGAGTCAGAGCAAGAGGAAGACTACGAGATTACAGAATTTGACCTGGATGTTGTGGACGACGCCCTGCTCAATCCAACAAGCTCAGAGTACATGGACCATTTTGGATTCAAAATTCAAGTGAGAACCGATGACGAGTCTTCTAGTGATGATGATTCTGATTTCGATGCATCAGATAACGAACAACCACCCCAGCCGCTCACAAAACCTCACCCTTCTTCGTCTACAACAACGGCTACAGCAACAAGCGATGATGACTCGATCGATACCAATCTCACCACACCACATCCACACACGCACAATCCTCCTGACAATCAAAAGTGGCTGTCTGACGACACTACAGGTCTAGGCAAGTCTAACTATCAGATCTCGCCTATGCCAACAGATGCCACCAGCAGCAACATTGATCGCAACATGGCGGATGATAATAACGCAACATTGGGCAATCGAGTGCCTATTTTGAAATCTCCACCTACCCCCAAAGCTGACTCCTTACGAAACAAAAGCATACAGGACGATGCAGCTCCATCAGACGCTAGTCGATCCTCCAGAGATACCCAACGTAGTAGCACTAGTCGCCACAGTATTCTCTCTACGTTTAATAACCCCTTCAAAGCAAGACCATCTTCAATTACATCCATTCAGTCTCCGGCGATACTACCCAGACCCTCACAATCATTCCAGCAAAGACAAAGCAAGCGATACTCTGAAGCTGTGCCTCTAGGTATGATGGGGACGCCCAGATCACCTGCCAGCAACCACCGACATTTCGACAAGTTGGTGTCCAAGTTTAGACGCTTTTCTCATAATGACCACAAGTATGATTCCGAAAAGCACATTATTCTCAAACAAGAAGCGCTGGCGGAACTGAACCACTATAGAGAAAAGGGCGGCATCGAGAATAATAGCATTGATTGGGGTAACTATTACATACTACTGTGTCTGTTCATTGTTACCTGACTAGACATGCCAAATACTAGACTTTTGGGAGCTGGTGATTGACAATTTTGGGGGAGTTATCGACACACAGATGGATGACATGAGACAGCATCTGTCAAAAGGTGGCATTCCATCTCCTATCCGAGGTTTGCTTTGGCAAATCATCTCCAAATCTCGGGACAGTTTTGACATGGAAATCGAGTACAAGGAGATATTGAAGAAATCAGTCAGTCCATTTGAGAAGCAAATCCAGAGAGACTTGACCAGAACATTCCCCAATCACCCCTACTTTATGCAAGAGTCAGGCAGACAAGCGCTCTTTAATGTGGCAAAAGCATACAGCATATTTGATCAAGAAGTGGGGTACTGTCAAGGCCTGGCATTTATCATTGGGTGTCTTTTGCTGCATGTGAGTACTTTTGTATATATCGTATAGCAACAAACACTGACAGTCATTCCTAGATGTCTGAGGAATCCGCATTTTGCGTGCTCATCAAACTCATGGGAAAATACGGTCTGAGAGGACATTTCACACCTCGCATGGAAGTGTTGCATCAGCACATGTATCAGTTTGACAATGTCTTCCAGCAAAAGTTGCCTGTGATCCATCGCCACATGGAAAATGAAGGTGTCACGCCATCCATGTATGCGTCTCAGTGGTTCATCACGCTGTTTGCCTACCGATGTCCTATCGAATTAGCGTTTAGAGTCATTGATCTGCTGCTAGTGGAAGGAACACACATCCTGGTACAGATTGCGCTGGCCATCATTATCCGCAATCAAGAGAAAATCCTCAAGCTCAAGTTTGAATCCTTGGTGGAGTTTCTGTGCAATGGCGTGTTTGCCGTGTTTGATGGCGATGGCAATGGATTTGTGGAAGACACATACCGCGTGGATCTACCCGCAAGATTCATGGCACGGCTTGCTCAGCAGTACACTGGTGAAGAAGCGAGAGAATCAAAGTCGATATCACAAGAGGACAATTTGAGACGCATCAACGGTCAATTGTCAGAGCACATTCGCGCGGTCGAGGGTTCACTGCAGGCGCTTCGTGTAGAGAATCAAGACATCACCAAGCAAATCATTGACAGCAAGATGACAGTGGCTCGCACTGAAGACGAGAAGCAGCAGATCCGCCATGAACTGGCTCAAGTCAAGGCAGAGTTTGAGCAATACAAAAAAGAGATGAGCTTGTCGTATCAAAAACAAATGAACGAGCTTGCATCAGAGAATAAGAAGCTGGCAGAACGAAATCTCTCGCTGGCCAACCAACTGACCGACACAGAGTCGATGCTCATCAACATGAAAATGTCATTTGCAGAAAGAGAAACTGAATTTGAAGCCCTGAAACGACAGCTGAAAGATGCTAAAAAGCTGTAGTCTTAGTCACTGCTGATGGTGATGAATTGTTGGATTCGCGACAACCGCGTTTTTCGTGATTCCAAACACATTTAAAATAAAATTTCTCTCTTTTTCACATTTGCATCTTATATTTATCAACCATGCTCAAACACAAAGGCAAGGGAATCAATCGATTTGCGGCTGCTGCCAATGCTGCAAAAACTGGAAGATCTGTCTATGCTGATGATGGTGCCAACTACAACCTACAAGCTGAATATCCCTATCGAGTCAACTTTTACTTGCGTCCACCACCCTCAGAAATCACCATTGAAGAGTTCGAGACGTTTGCCCTGGATCGTCTTCAAGGTAATACATGTACTAGTGCATAGAAACTAAGCATCAACTCACTCCATTTCTTGACAGTGCTGAGGGCTATTGAAACTGCCACTGTGCGCAACAGAGACATCAAGACTGAAATTGCAAAACCGATTGACGAGTACTTGCCTCTCAAATCCAACATGTCAAAATCCGATACACTTTACGAGGAGAGACGCAAAGATCACATCAGTCATTTTGTTTTGCGAATGGCTTACTGCAGAAGGTTTTTCCATATAGTGCTGTTATTAGGCGAATGACTAAATGCGTTGTTTTGTAGCGATGATCTGCGTGATTGGTTTGTAAAGCAGGAGACAGCATTGTTCAAATATAGATTCGAGCAAGAATCACTGGAGGAAAAGAAGAACTTTTTAAGGCACCTGAACCTGAATTGGAAGATTGTAAGTGTACATCAGACAAGAGGAGAGCAGACACTGAGACATCCATATAGCTTTCAAACGAAGAAAAGGAAGAGATCCGAGAGGAATTGGAGATTTGCTCAAGACCTCGACAAACAGCAACCGCGCAAGCTGTGCAAGACTATGTGAATTCAGAGACCTTTTTCGAGGTATGTGCACCAGCTACAGCATCTCACTAGCAGATGGAGTAACACGCCTCGCAGGTTGATTTTTTCAAAGTGCCCTCAATGGTAGCAAGCCGATCCGTTTATGTGAGAAGAGGAAAGGCGTATGTTCCTATGGCCGATCAGATCAATCTTGTCATGGTAGAGTTCAAAAATCACTTGATCAGAGCATTGGAGGCAACGAGTAAATTGCTACCAAGAATGGAGGAAGATGACAGATTGAAGCCAATCTTGCTCAACGTTGAAAAGCAATACATTGGAAGAAGCTACGATGACATAGGTGATGCAACAGGGTCTATCACAGCAAAGGAAGTCGATTCAGTAAGGCTCGCTTTTGAAGTAGCAAGGATTGCGCCGATGCTGATTCTCTCAAATCTAGTTTATTCATCATCATGCACCCTTGTGTATGCGCAATTTGCACGATTCCTTACGAGCTGACAAACATCTCAAGCACGGAGGCAGACTTCAATATGGCCTATTCTTGAAGGGCATCGGACTGAGTGTGGAACAGGCTTTGATCTTTTGGAGACAGGCCTTTGCCAACATCACAGACGACAAATTCCAGAAAGAATATGCTTACAACATTCGATACAATTACGGCCTTGAAGGCAAACGAGTCAATTTTAAACCATACAGGTAAATTGCGCAGAGATTTAAAGGGCTTTGGGCCAAGAAGCTGATACTGTTATGCAATAGCTGCTCAAAGATCATCACAAGCAACCCTCCTTCGACTGGCGAAAACCATGGCTGTCCGTTCCGCCACTTTTCACCTGGCAATCTCGAAGCTAGATTACGTAGAGACAACATCAATGGAGCTCATGTGGACGAAATCTTGGATCTTGTTCGCAACAAACATTATCAATTGGCATGCACAAAGCACTTTGAAGTGACTCATCCTCAAAACAAGGAAAAAATTGACAATATCGAGCATCCAAATACATACTACGAACTGAGCAAACGTCTGGCAGAGAAGGATAAGACGTCTGAGGGAGAAGCATTAGCGGATGAATCCATGGAAATTGATGCTTAAGATGACCCCACTTGTAATTATATCTACTGAAATAAAACCAGCTTACTGCGTAATATATCAACGTATGCGCTTGCACTTGGCAAGAGCACAGCATGAGCGTATTTATTGAATATACTGTATATGTAACTGTATCAAGTGTTTATCTCCAACGACTCCAAGGCACATTTACATCCACATCCAGTCATACAATACACTTGCTGGTTTGCCACAAACCAATCCTCCATATGGCTGCTATGACCACCATGTCCACAATGAATACAAAAGTTGACGAGGCCCTTTACCAGAATATGGCAAAAGCAGCATCGAATTAGTTTTCGCACTTTACGGCATTGTATACAGTATTTGTCATTGCTAGATAATTCAGTGCCACAAGCATAGCAGGATACTCTGATATTGCTTGAAGCCACCTCTTTGTCTGCAGGAAAGGGTTGATGGTTGAGAAAACGGAGCACTTCTGCCCTCTGATCCAGCAAGTGCCATCTGTACAGCATGTCAGCGTAAGCGAGACGCAACACATCTCTCTGCGCCATGCCTTTGGTGTCCATCAGGGGTATATGGTTAAACCCAAAGAAGCGCTCACTGTCAAAGTACTCCATGTTGGTAAACTCGATTTTCATCTCTCTGGGATCTTGTAGCACTTTGCCTTCCTTGTTGAACAGTGGCGTAGTGGGTGTTTGTATGATGGGCGATGAGAGTGCGGACGAGTGTGAGCCCAAGCTGCCTACGATATGACGGATGCCTGGCGCCGTATTGCTCGGTATCTTTAATTTGGGTTGGCTCATGGTCCACGATCTATTCAGTCGCAAATTGCGCTTGTTGGGTGAATGCAATTCAGTTGGGGTATCTGTGTATCTGTCTATAGGAGAGAGGCGTCTACTATCACTGGTGTCCCACAGGTACGAAAGCATGTTGTTGGATTTAGTACCGTAAGAAGCGCTGATAGGTGCCACTGTAATTCTCTCTGTAGCATCTGTGTTGGGGCCTGAATTCGCTCGCAGAGAATGTTGATGGTGATGGTGTAAATTACGGTGGCTCATCTTGAGGGAAAAGTAATCCAACTCTGTCTCTGGAGACTTGTCTATAGAGATAGGCTATCACAGTGCACATCGTGAGCAGTCCAGCGTATATGTATATTCAGCAGAGGCTTACCTTTTGGCCAAACAACGCAGAGGGTACTTTATTCGGTCGAACTTGGAACGTGCACGAGAGCATGGCAGCTGTTTGGATATCGCCTGTCCCTATGAAATGCTGGAGTCTAGGGATATGATACATGTTGGTTGGCATCGACTGTTTGTATTGCATATACTTACAAAGCGTCCACCAATTTTTGGCCCAAGGGATGCATGCCCCATTTCACTCTCTGCAACGGTTTGGTAGCAATCGATTCCGCCTGCTTTTTGTGGGTCTCCATGACGTTGCCACCGCTGTAGAGCATACTCTTGACCTCTGCCAACTGCTGATCACGCTGCCAATTTTCATCTAACACGGCATTGGAGTCGAGGCTATCTAGCAAGACTTGGTGCCCGTCTGTAATAACACGGTCCGCTTCAGGTAGTGTTGCAGGAACACATCCACGCAAGATCTCAACTGCCAGATGCCAGACCTTGTACAAATCAAGTCTTCCGTGCTTTCGACATACTTTTGCATTGTGTATACAGGCTGCCACAGGGTCTTTACTCGAAAGACTGTGTAGTGTATATTAGAAATAGCTTCCTTGAGATTAAACGACCCAGTACTTACATGTATTCTTTGGCAAGCCATGGACTGTAGGGCATTTTTTCAGAGAAATCAGCTATCACTACATTATGTGTAATGCGATCTGTCTTGGTGCCGTGGTATAAGAGATTATCGCCACTGCCCATAGTGCTGTTCAGCGCAATGTTCTAAATGACAACAAAAAAGATGAGCACGCGTCCTCATCAACATGCCACACTCTTAGCTTACGTCTGCCTTGTAATACATGATGCCCATGGTGCCCACTGTATTCAGCCCATCATCGATATCGTCTTGTTCATCGTCATAAGCGTACTCACCAAAAGCACCACCTGTACCACCCACCAGCACGGTCGCATTTTTGCCCTGTCGCGACATGGCTGCAATTTCCTTGTACTCTTCAAACTGTTCATAGGTCTTTGGATGTCGGTAAAAATCGCTGTACGTGTTTTCAAAGTACTCTCCATTGCTACGATCATTCTGGGGTTGGCTCTCCTGCTGAGCCTTGTCTGCCTTACTCTCTGTGTTCTTTGATCTGTTGTTATCTCGCACACGCAGTGTGGAAAAAAAGCAGGTAAGCTGTCCGCTGCCAGAGAACACGCCGCCACAGAGCCGTGGAAAGGGTACTTTGGCATCTGTGCTCTGTTTGGCAGACATGTCGACCATGATGCCCCTTTCGCTTGTCATGCTCTCTCGCTTGCCAAAGCGGTAACCATCACCCAAGTTTCCCCAGCCTTGTCCCAGTTCGTCATCAGAATCACCAGTATCAACAGCAGTGGCACCCTTCCAATGGTTTGGACTTCCAGTGGCAGTAGCACTATTCTGGTTCATCAGGCCATTTGCAGAATCAAGCGATAAGTTTGCGTTCTCCAGTCCGTACTCTGTCTCTTCCTGCATGTTTTCACCTAGCAAATACCGGATACAAGGCTCCAAACACCACTTTTTCTGCGAGGTATATGTGGAAGCCAATCCATTCAGGTCTTGTGCCATGTGAGCACGGTAGTAGATGGAGATCATGCTGTTCTTTTGGATATCAAACTCGGGTGGGCTGTTGTCTGGATACTGGGGGCTAAATCGAATCGTAATTCGCAGCAAGGCATCGCCCGTATCAGACCAGGGCCCGTGAAGCGATATAGTACACGTTCGAGATGCAGCATTGATCTTTTCGGTCTTGACACCCACAGGCAAGTATTTGTTCAGTACAGACGACATTTCCTCGGCGACGGACTGGTATGTGTTTTCAGCTGTTGCGTCGCGTCGTACCTCTCCACCAGCGGGACCCACCGTTTTGACGTTTTGCATCCACAGTAATGGGTTGATGGCAGAGTACTTTTGCTCTCTGTATGCGTTTGTCTGCTCGTAGCCAGTGCCTATACCGTGATTGACAATGTTTGATCGGTAGGGCGTCATGGTAGAGGTGTTGCTGTTGGGCGTCAGGCGAACAGGCGTGGCAGAAGAGAAGGATGGGCGTATGTTGGTGGTGGACTTTTCGATAGGCTCTTGCTGGAAAGAGTGCGAGTTGGCCGGGTTGTTCTTTTCTACAGCCATGAAAGGAGCAGACAGTTTGGTTTTAGTGGCGCTTGGTTCGTGTCCTACTGATTTCATGATCTCTTCAGATACTGGCCAGAGTCTCAAATTTTGATCCTTGGACCATGTCACCAACTGGAACTCGCGGTCGTCTGCGCATAGAGAGGTCAGTCCATGCTACACGAGACTACAACAAGAAACAACACTCACCTCCATTGGCGCCATTGATGTCCCCCTTCCATCTCCAGACAAATTCCTTGACAGTGTCTTGGTGTCCATCAAATGCATGCACAGGTGTTTCTGCGCAAGCTCTGCTGTACAGGGTCAATTTAGAGTCTGTTCTCTGAGGCATGATCAGCACACCATTTCCAAAAGGCGTGTTTCTGGCACGCCAGATGGGTGTATCTGTTACAATCACTTCCTCTTCCTCCTCTGGTGTATGAATATTCCAAAACTGCTTTATCCGTCAGTCTCCATAGTCGCGCACATTCCTTTGAATAGCACTATACCTTGACCATCTTGTCTAAACTGCATGTCACAATGTCATGATCGTTTTGTCGACTCCAATCAATGCCGTAAATCTTTTTCGAGTGTGCTGTGATGCTTGTTACAGGGACAGCGCCTTTCTATACAGCGATAACCATGTGAGTGTCATTCTATAGTGTGCACAGTAGGCATACGTTACTCTTAAATCCCAAATCTTGACATCCTTGTCATGCGCTGACGCTATCAGATATTCGCTTTTCCTGTTGAATTTGACCTGTGTTGCAGCAGCTTTTTATGCAGTGGTTAATCATCCATCCAGACATACACACACATATCTACCTACCATTCCAAGGTGTGAAAGAGCAGCTTGGTCTCATTTTTCTGTCATCGTCTTGGTCTTTGGATCTGAGCTGCGGTTCTCTTAAATCCCATAGATGAACGTAGGTATCCACGGAACAGGTTGCCAGTATATCTGGTTGGTGTGGAGACCAGTTGATATCTGAAATGGCTCTTGCATGCGCATGAAATACATGTTCAATAGCTCTTGATCCAGAATGATTCAAATTCCAAACAAGCAGCTTTTGATTCGACTATAATGCCAAGGGATTAATGCCTTGTTTCTTAATGCGTGCCTATCATGAGCTTACAGTGGATGCCACCCATGATTCTCGAGCAATGTGTGGGCTCCATTGGACATCAGCAACCTCCCATTTTGACATGTGAGGCAGTATTCTCGGTATCAGCCAAGGATCCTCTAAATCAATCACCACAAGACCTTGTCGACTGTACGTTGGTGTTAATGCCAGTATCTGGCCCCCCCAAGCCCTGTATAGCTTACCCTGCCAAAACAACATCTCTGCAAGCAGGGCTGATGCTCATGCTGCCAACCGAATGATGAAACTTGATTTCGAGTGCACGGTAAAACGTATCCTCCTGCGGATTGTCGTCCTTCTTTGTATTTCGCGCAAGCTGCCTTTCAGCCATGGTGATGGAGATGGATTTATTCAACTGATGTGCCATCTGTGAGGTTCTCTTTCGATATTGCTGCGCTTTATCCAGGTTGTTGTTTAGCAGATTCGAATCGGATTTACGGCGCTTGAGCAATGGATCATCTGAAAATGCATTGTTTGCTTGAGACATGATAGAGAAGCTCTTATTGTGTTGGCTGCATTCTCATTCATTTCATGTGACCACTCAAAGGCTGAGCTCACTCGCGAGTGGACACGGTTCTGGTTATCTGGGCGACCAAGAACGTTTTCTTTTTTAAGCTGCTTTTTTTTTTTCTTTGCAAACAATGAAACCTTACACTGTTGAAGAACGAGAACGCATAAGTGAAACGCTAAAGAGATGCTTGGGCCCAGAGTACATTTCACGCAGGGCTGGGCCTTCTGGACAGCAATCGTATCTCAATGGAGGCCTCGCTATTCAATTAGCCAACGACATATTCGGTTTTGATGGCTGGTCATCAGAGATCAAGAATACCACCGTTGATTATGTAAGTTTTCCAGACAACAGCTTGCGATGCCACTGTTCCAACAGTAGCCTATTAGGTTGATGTAGATGAAAATCAGAGAGCCAATGTGGGTGTTTCGGTAACAATGCGCATCACTCTCAAGGATGGAACGTATCGTGAGGTGGGTCATTCAAACAATTCGCAGTAATGCTTATAATTCAAGAGCAGATGGAGGGCTAACAATGGTCATTCACAGGACATTGGTTATGCTTCCAGTCAGAATGCTCCGAACAAGGGGATTGCTATCGACAAGGCTAGAAAGGCTGCAACTACAGATGCCATCAAGCGAACTTTGAAAAACTTTGGCAATGCCCTTGGCAACTGTCTATATGACAAAAGCTACCTACATGGCGTGGCTCAGATGGCACATCCTCAGGTAAGGCAGTGCGTTTGAGAAAGTATGGAGAGTGTTGTATTGACCTACTGCGCATTAGATCAAATTTTCGCCTGCAAACTTGTATAGACATCAGCAGTTTCAGTCCAAAGATGTTGCGCCTCAATTAGCATTACAGCAAGCACAGCAACAACGAGTGCCTGCGCCTACCATCAGTCCATCGCCTTTACAGCTGCAGCAAGCACGCCTGTCGCCACCACAGCCACAGGCACAAGCACGACCGCAATTAGAATTTCAAGCAAAACCACAATCACCGTCCTATCCACGATTGCAACCCACACTGACTCCTCCGTCAGCAGCACAACAAACAGCGCAGGCGCAAACATTAGCGCAAGCTCAATCCATGGCTCGAAAGAGACATCTAGAACAGATTGACATGCAGCAAAAGCGTGCTAAACAAAACAATCAGCATGAGCATCCCATCAAGCAAGAGGTTGTGGTAGCAAGCACATCTGAAACTCTACCCATTCTTTTACCAGAAGACAGTTTTAGTTATGAAGGAGACGATGAGTTTTACGCCATGTTCCAAAACGAGCCAAATGAAGACGAATTCACGATCAAGGATGATGAATTTATCAATACGGATGAGTAAGTAAAACTAAAAAAAAATCTGATAAGATGATGCAACTAAACTTAATTGTTCAGTGCTGAACTGGATCAATTGGACAGGGTATCTCAACCTTCTCGCCGCTCCTCTGCTGCTTCTATTGGTGAGTTAATTTTCTCCAATTAAGGGGCATTGGGTGCTAATCTTTTGTGATGTGTGTAGCTGCCGAGGCAGGTGTTGGGGTACAATACTAAACCTTGTTCTTTTTAATGATCTGATAAGTCTCGGTGTGCGAAAAAAAATTTACTACTCATCAATCTGTGGTCCAATCACTGATTATCAGATCTTTCATATTATCCATCATGTCGACATTCCACCTCATCAAAGAAGTATAGATACGATATATACCAAGCTCTAGTCAATAAACTGTTGCTATTTCTCATATAGATGGAGGGGTTTAAGGAGGCACGATACAAGTTTAATCAAGTTTCTTGTAATATTGTACAAAAACGGAGTTATGGCAAATCTGGTCTCTTCTCTCCCTATATTGTTGTATTGCATCCGTTTAAGGCCCCCCCCCCGTAAAAAAATCTTTTTGTCAATCTCTTTTCTCTTTCGCTTTTTCTCCTTTCAATAAAATGAGTAGACTTGTCCATACTACTCGTTTACCTGTGCAAGGCATGACTTGCCAATCATGTGTACGTGCTATTACAAATGCTGTTTCAGAGCTGGACGGCGTGGATGCTGTTCATGTTGATCTGGAGGCTGCTGCTGCTACAATCACTCATGACGCCTTGTTATTGACATTTACTGACCTAAAAAACTGTATTGAAGATTGCGGATTCGATGTTGAGATCACTACCATCACATTGCCTGTCCTTGGAATGACGTGTCAATCCTGCGTCAATGCCATCACTACTGCCCTTTCTGATAAACAAGGCATCATATCCGTGCAAGTCGATTTACAGCAAGAAGAGGCCACGGTTTCATATGACCCAAAGCTGATGGGAACACCAGACATTGTGGAGGCGATAGAGGATTGTGGATTTGATGTGATTATGAGCAACACAGATGTCTCTCAGCAAACGCAGATTAAACCACCACCATCCACAGCAAACAAGACTCAAACTGCAACTACGAAAGAAAAGCTGCTACACGACCCAATGGCCACAACAACATCAGCAAACACAGTGCAATTGGAGATTCGCGGAATGACTTGTGCATCTTGTGTAACTAGTATAGAAAAGGCCTTGAAATCCCACAAGGGCATTTCCTATGTGAGTGTGGCACTCTTGGCCGAAAGAGCTACGGTTGACTATGATCCACTCTACGTGGTGCCTAACACCATAGCCGACATCGTTAATGACGCTGGTTTCGAGGCAAAAGTGATCCAGCGCAAACAAGACGATTTACTGCAATTACAAATCTACGGAATGACATGTGCTAGTTGTGTTGCGGGCATAGAGGGAGGCCTCAGAGCGCTGCCTGGTGTCATGGAAGTGTCTGTCAATCTAATGACTGAAACAGCAAAAGTCAGATTCAATTGTCATATCACACATCCAAGAGCCATTGTGGAGGAAATTGAGTCACTTGGATTCAACGCTATTCTCGCCAATACCACCAAAGATGCCCAGTTGGAAAGCTTATCCAAGGTGCGAGAGATCAAGGAGTGGAAAATGGCATTTACTGAGTGCCTGTTCTTTACTGTGCCCGTTTTTTTCATTGCTATGGTGCTGCCTATGTTTAGCTGGAGTCCCATAATCATGGAGATCCCCTTCTTTGTGCCCGGCGTGTTCCTGGTGGATGCTACTCAATTACTGCTGACAATCCCTGTGCAATTTGGTGTAGGTAAGCGGTTCTTGCGATCTGCCTATGTCTCTGTTCTTCATGGTGCGCCAACAATGGATGTGCTGGTCTCTGTATCCACCTTGGCTGCTTTTGGTTTCTCTGTCTTGTCCATGTTGAATGCGCTTGTTACGCAAGCAAAGGTCGCGCCTACTGTCTTTTTTGACACTTCCACTATGCTCATCACATTCATCGTTCTGGGTCGTTATCTGGAGAACAAAGCCAAAGGCAAATCCTCCTCTGCCCTCTCCAAGCTGATGTCCTTGACCCCATCCACTGCTTTGATGGTGACTGTAGACGAGAATCATGTTGTCTTGACAGAACGCAAGATTCCCTCCGAGTTGATCTCTGAAGGCGATTTGCTCAAGCTCGTTCCAGGAGACAAAGTGCCTGCTGACGGCGAAATTTTCTCCGGCTCTACGACAATTGATGAGAGCATGGTTACGGGTGAAGTTGATGCTGTTCCCAAGAAAGTGGGAGATACTGTCATTGGTGGCACTGTGAATGGATTGAGCACATTCATCATGAAGGCCACGCGTGTGGGGGCTGATACTGCGCTTAGCCAGATTGTGAAGCTTGTGGAAGATGCTCAGGTCAGCAAGGCGCCTATACAAGGATTCGCAGACACAGTCGCAGGCTATTTTGTGCCTACCGTCATTATGCTGGGTTTAGGCACTTTGATTGTTTGGAGTGTGCTTGTCAAGTCGTTAGGTGTGGATCATTTGCCTGCAATTCTGCAAAGGGAGATCTTGAATAATGGCGATGGCGGTTGGTTCTTTGTCTGCTTGAAGCTCTGCATTAGTGTGATCATTGTTGCTTGTCCCTGTGCTTTGGGTCTTGCCACGCCAACAGCTGTGATGGTAGGCACTGGTGTAGGCGCTGAAAATGGTGTTCTGTTCAAGGGAGGTGCTGTCTTGGAGAATGGCCAAGCTGTCAACAAGATTGTGTTTGACAAGACAGGCACGCTCACATGCGGCAAACTGGATCTAGTGGATTCAAAGAGCTGGAGTGGCGTTGAGGAGCATCGCATGCAAATGCTGATTATGTCTGCTATTGCAGAATCTCACAGTGAACATTTGCTGGGCCGTGCTGTGGTTGCTACTGGAAAAGAACTGACTGGATTGGCTGTATTGGACGTTTTAGCTACTGTTGATAACTTTGTCAGCGTCACTGGCTTCGGCATCTCGTGTGATATTACATTGGACCACGAATTGCCTCTTGACTTGAACCCTGTTGTAAGATCTTGCTTGGCGCCTTTGTTGAACACATCACACACACTGGTCATTGGCAACAAAAAATGGCTGGAAGAGCATAATGGCATTGGACTTTCTGATGAACAAGAAGCTGCCTATCAAGCACAAGGCTCTTTGGGCAGAACATGTGTTCTCGTTGGCATCGATGGTCTCCCCGCCGGTTATATTTCCCTGTCGGATGTGGTGAAACGTGAAGCAAAGCAAGTTATTGTTACATTGCATGCGATGGGCATCCAAACTGCCATGGTTACTGGCGATAACGAGTTGACTGCTCGCTGTATTGCTGCTCAATTGGGCATCACTGAGGTGCATGCTGGTGTGTCTCCAAACGGTAAGACGCAGATTGTCAAGAAGATGCAAGAACAAGTCTTTGCTCGCAAGGAGTTGCCCTGGTGGTCTCGTCTTAGAGTCAGCAACAGTAACTCGAATCAATACTTGCCTCTTTATGAGAACAGTACTCGCAAGGGTAGCAAGACGGTCGTTGCCATGGTAGGTGATGGCATCAATGACTCACCTGCTCTGGTTGCTTCCAATTTGGGTATCGCATTATGCAGTGGTACAGATATTGCTATGGAAGCCGCTGATGTTGTCTTGATGCGCAACGATTTGACGGATGTTGTTGCTGCTTTGGATCTATCAAAAGCCATCTTTCATAAAATTCGCATGAATCTTCTCTGGGCATGTATATACAACTTGATTGGTATTCCACTTGCTATGGGTATCTTCTTGCCTTGGGGCTATCGTCTACATCCTATGATGGCTGGTATTGCTATGGCTGCAAGTTCTACAAGCGTGGTCCTCAGTAGCTTAACATTGAGATGGACTTGGAAGCGACCCACATTGGAGAATTTGGATGATTTCGAGTACAGCTCCTCCAATGATGCCGCAGTTAGATTGTCCTTGTTGGTGCATGAGTTGAGAGATGAACAAGACATTGAAATGGCGTTGCATCCGGCGGACGGGGGCAACTCCCCTACTGCTTCTGTCAATGATATGGAGCATGATGGCTTATTGAATACTACAAAAAAACATGCCAAACTCTCACTCGTAGATAAAATCAAGGGTGTCTTTTCCAAGAAGCCAAGCTCAAGCGAATACACAGCTGTGCCTGCTGAAGACGATGATTTTTAATTGCATTGCTTTACCTAATTTACTATATTAATTTATTCCCTCTCTCATCACTTTGTAAATAAAATACGCATACACATGGCCATAAAATAATGAATTGAGGGTTGGCAGGGCACTTTTAAAGTCTTGATGATAAGGAAATTGAGTTTACAGTTGTGATTTGGGCTGACTAGCGTTATCAGATAACATAAATACACAAAAATAACTACAATCAAAGTTTGAGCGGTTGCTTTAGGTCGATACAAACACTTTGGTTTAATATCATAATATAATAAATGTTCAGCCCCTAGACACTTTTACAACCCTAATATGCAAACTGAGGTGCCAGGCATTTGCCAGGCATGGTTCATATATGATTAGAGATTTTATATTAAATTACTATCAATCAATAACCAAGTTTCTTCTAACATTTAAGCAATTATTATTAATTTTGCAATATTAACCAAAGGCCTGCGGCAGCACGATCCACTTGAACGTAGGTTGGTTTCCACCAAAACAAAGCGTAAGTCAGGAAACCACCCAAAGAGTCAAAATGCTCATCGTAACATAATAAATTTGTGGTCCCTAGACACTTTCAAAGCCTCAAAAAGGAAAGGTGTTGATCTAACAAGTATTTTGATAGACTGGCGTGATTGAATATAAAGTATAAAAAGAATAGCATGGCTAACTATAGTGTTATATAATTTGCCATCTACCTTACTTACGCTTTAAAAGCATCAATTACTGCCTTGCCTTCATCATGACGAAAAGGGCATTGAGTTTGCCAGCTGGCCTCACTAGCCAAAATTAATTCAAACGTAGACCCATAGCCTACTTTAGATTGGCCAGATTTTGATAACTTTTCGACTCGATTGAACTATTTTGCAAGATTTGACTATATGAGGTGTGGTGATCATCCCATGTTTCCTAATACGCCCGTCGTGGTAGGGCGAAGTGGTTAAGCATCCAACATGCCATCTGGATGATCTCGGTTCAAATCTCAGTGAATGCATTTTTGGTGATTATTTTGACGTAGTACTGATGTCCTCGTTTGGTGTTTTGCGCTCTTATCCAGTATCCATATTTTGACGATTCGCATGATTGTATTGTCTCTAGGTGTCGCACCTGATTAGTAGTAGATTTCTCTCCCAACTTAGTTCATTATATATCTTATTCCCCATCATTGCAGACATTGGATCCACCAACAGTCTTTTCTTTCCCTCAGTATGACATTTTAAGGACTTTAAATAAAACCTGGAGCTCGACTCCCCTACAAAAAAAATGTTTCCTAATACACTCTTGAAGTACTTTTCAAGGCGCATTTAATGGCACCAAGTAACATGGATGTTTTGAATAAATTTATTGAATAATTTACGAAAATATGAAAAGAGGTTTCTGGCCAAAAAGTCGAAATTCTACATATCAAAGTCCCACAAAGATGATTTCAGAGGCTACATTGGATCGATAATAGAAACATTTTGATTCAAGATATACCATAGTAAAAGTCTTCGTTATCAAGGCCAAAAACAGGATCGTTTGATTTTCAATGAAAACCATGAGGGGTACCTCATGCTTTTTGGTCAAATTTTGTCCATGTTTTTTTGGTCCCCAAAAAGTTGAGCAAAGATGTCAGGAAGTTAGTGTTAGATGAGAGCAATTGTTTGATGCTATTCTGACGATCTAAAAAGGCCTTGAACGCGAGAAAACGCAGCTCAAATGCATCCAAATTTCGCTGTGCTTTGCGTACTTTTGATTAATAAAAACTAATGCAAATGTACAGTATGCTATTCCATGAACTGTTCTCATTGGTATAGACATGGAGCATCCTAAAAGAGCCACATCCACAGCTATGGAGGGCTCCTACACGATGGTAAAAATTCGGAAAGCCCACACTAGTATAAGGCTATTTGATAAAGCTTGCACTGCTGCTAAGCTAAACAAAGGCAAGCCGCCGTTGCAGAGGTTGATTTGCATCGCAAAAGCAAAGCAAGTGTGAAAACCCACACAAATCATGATCATTCAAAAACATAAACATATTCTTAAACCAACAAAAGGTGTATAATTTATTACAAGGTACAATATGTGTTGAAACTATGATACAGGAAAAGATTTGAACAGAGTGAATTTTCTAGAAAATGATTATGTGGAAGAGGACAGGAAACAAAAATTTTAAAATGAAGTTGGAATATAGAATCGAGAATGACGGCAAGAGGTGTTGAACCCCTTTAGAAACAAAATCAACTCATTTTGAATGTACTTCAGACTTAGAAAGAGGGAATGTTGGTTCTCTCAGCCATGGGAGGGTAAGTGGGACCGACACGCTTGATGACAATGTTGGCAAGGTAATGACCGGCCTTGACACAACGAGCAGGATCCTCAACACCTTGAGCATACAAACCCATGAAACCGCCACAGAAACCATCACCAGCACCGTTAGTGTCAACGATTTCACTAGCATCAACCTTGATGACAGGGTAAGCGTGAGCAACATCACCTTGAGCAGTGACAGTGGCATCAGCACCTTGAGTAATGACAACAAGACGAGGCTTGGAGTTACCCTTCTCAAGTTGAGACAATTTCTTGGCAATCTCCTCGACGTTATCAGTGTTCCAGCCAGCTTGTTGAGAATAAGTGCGAGCTTCATCTTCGTTACCAAAGAGAATATCCGTGTTCTTGATGATGGAATCAAGACGCTCCTTGAAGAACTGAGACAAGAAGGGAGCACTCAAGTTGAGAGCAAAGGTCTTGTTGTTCTCAGCAGCATGTTGAGAGACCAAGAGAGCAGATTGATAGCCACCATCATGGGTGATGAAGAAACTTCCCATGTAAAAGTACTTGGCTTCTTCAACGAGCTTCCAGTTCTCGGGCTTTTGGAGGAAAGAAGCTTGGAACTTTTCGGCAGCGGCCAAGTTGGCAACGAGAGAACTATAGATGGGTGTTGAATAATGCTGTACACATGTATTGCATGGCATGGCATGGCATGGCAAGCACAAGATGGAATACACTGAATATCAGGAAATCAATCAGAGAGGGCAAGTAGATATATGATCATAAGATTGAGAAAATCCGAATTGCGTATATGGATAGACTCTCATCCAAGACTTAATCATCATTCGATATCTGATAGCCAGTATATAATCCACGTTGTTTATGCCAAACCAATCACCAACAAAGACGCGTCAAATGTCCTTGAGACAACAACTTACCGATGGTTACCAGTGATCAAGACAGCGCAGGTACCAGTAGCAGCTTCCTTGGTGATTTCGTAGTTGGTGTGCAAACCATCCTCCTTGGCAGCAGCGGTCATGGTCTTACCAAACTCATCATCAGAAATACAACCCATATAGGCAGTAGAGTTGGGAGGCAAAAAGAATTGAGCACCACGGGCGGTGTTTTGAGCAGCACCACCAGCAACGTAGGCAACTTCATACTTGTCGACGATTTCCTTGTACAAAGGTTCATGAGAAGCATCAGCCAAGATAGCATCGTTGGCCTTGAGCTTGTACTTGTCCATAAGCTCTTGATCAGGCTTACATTGGATATCCAACAAGGGATTCTCCATGGCTAAAAGTGTATAAGGCATCTTGGTGTATCTGAAGTTTTTTTTTTTTTTTAAGGTGTAAAGAAGAAAAAGGAAGAGTAGGTCTTGTCGTGTTTTTGCTTTATACCTTTTTTTTTCGCTTCAAGATTTGAATTGGTGGGGTTCAGATTCAAGAAAAAATTTTATGAAAAATACTTGCATGCGGTTGATTGGCTGTAGGCTCCTCCAAGAGACCTATCTTGCTCATCTACTCATTATTTGCTCTAGTGCATGTACCACAGTAGGAAAAGTAGATGGGCATCTTTCAGCAGACGCGAGATTTTGACACTGTGCCATCAGTTATCACATGATGGAGAGAACCCAGTGTAACGCTCTTTAAACATCACGCACAGGCGTCTACGAGAAGGATGAGCTAGGTGAGTTCTCGGGCCAACATATTGCTAAATAGCCATGCGTCTGTCATCTCATTAGACGAATAGTGGCAAGAGTATTTTCTTTTTTATTTCAACATTTATCATAAAAAAGTGCATAAAGTTAGCTGCGAATAGTACAATGAAAAGTCTAGGTGATAAAATATGTGATAAATATGGTAAATGAGTGTAATGGTAAGGATAATAGAGTATAATGAAGTAGCAAAATAAGATAAATATGTGTAAATATATATATATATATAGAAGGGGTGTTATTATGTATAAAAGGGAAGGAAGTATGCCTTATCGAGAGGCAAATGAATTGGGTGGAAGGATGTTTTCAGATTCTTCTTCCAGCTCTCTTAGTTTACATTGATCGTCCTCGCCAAAAGTGCCACCGCTGGCCATCTTTTTGCCGTTAGTTTCGTTCGTTTGTGATTTGGACCAATACTCTACTGCGTCCAGCATGTGCATGATCTTGATATCATTGCCGTTCAGGACATCTATCACTAGGGTGAGTCAATAGCGCATTGTCATGAAACGCTAAACATTACCTCTGATGGTACAAGAGCCATCCATATCAACACCTTCAAGGCTCATAAACTTGAATGCTGCAATCACACGATCCATGCGTTGAGCATTCAATGTTTGACCAGGCATTACGACAGGTTTCAGTATCTCCTTGCTGGTCAAGGCCTCCAGAAATTCCAACAAAACTTCGCCTGAGCTCAGATCTGTCAGGTTGTTGATGTTGCCCTGAATATGAGCATTGACCCAGTCAACATACGCATCTTGCTTTGTAGGCCTTGTATCTAGCACAGCAGTTACTTGTGAGAAGCGGTCTGGGCTGTCTCTGTACGCTGTTGTTGCAGTAGGACGGTTGGACTCAATGACGCTCATATGCTCTGGATCAATCAAATCTTCGTCCTCTTCGTCAAGATAGAATGCAATGTTATTCACAGTGGCCGTATCGTTGGTAGATTGTTGCTGCACGGATGCCATGGATATGCTTTGGCGCCCGGATGAACTGCGGCTACTCTCAGTGGCAGATCGTGTCAGTGCGGTTCCTCCGTGTGTGCTATTGAAGCCCGAGTCTTTCAGTCGACTGCGCTGATCTATAGAATAATCGGATGCATTGTCTGGCAACATACGCTTTTGCTGGTCCATTGGCCGTGTGCTCATGACGGAAGGAGCGCGAGAACCACCATTGACAGACATGTCTTGTTGGTGAGAAAACTGCATGATAGGCTGAGCTCGTTCGTCTAATGACATGAGTGAAAAGTGCTGGTTCATATTGTTGCGGTATGGCGCAGGTGAGCTTGCACGCATGGGATCGTTTTGAGAAAGAAAGATGGTAGAGGGAGGGCGAGGGCGCATGCGACGAGCCATTTCCAATGAAATGGTAGGGATCGTACTGGATGACATGACAGGTGCTATTGAAGTAATGGTCAGTAGATGTATCATGCTGCAATTTAAGCAGTACTTTACTGGCAAAATCTCTGGCAATCGTTGCCTTCATCAATGCTTTAAGCCAATCTTTCATAGGCTTCTCCGACTCTGTGTAAAAGTAAAAGGTTCTCTCCCTCTCATGATGAGCCATGAAGCAGTATTTTCCGGGCTGAATGGACTCATCCACTTCGATTCTGTAGCCCTTCAAGTTGATGATGCCCTTCATTCGCACAGCCTACATCAAACTCAGTTGAATACGCATATCAATCGCACTGACGGGTGAGTATACATACCTTGGGGCTCTTGAAGTAGAACAAATTATTTGCCTTGAGCACAAACCACCTCTTGTTCCAAGTCTTGTATTTGTCGCCTTGCTTGTATAACCAGCCTTCCATATCCGGTGCAGCTGTTACTTCCGACAAGGACACATCCTCTGATCTACGCACACTGGGCGCATTTGTAGGCAATATGTTTTGCAGTTTGTTGCCGGATGGCATCAATGAAGAACGCATAAAGCTATATCGACTCGACGTAGATGATCGGCCCTCTGGTATAGACTACAATAGGGCGAATAACACATGTAAGCAATCGATAGTGACTATCACGATAACTTCCCATACCTCCTGTGTCTTGATATTGTTCATTGTGCTACGTTTCCAGTATGACGCTGCTTGGTTATTCTGTGTAGGCGTGGAGATGACTTGATGTGAGGTGGGCCGCTGTTGCTGAAGATATTGAATTCTTTGCTGCTGTTGTTGTTGCTGCAGTAAACCGGATTGATTCTGCTGGATCTGCAATTGCAATTGCTGCTCCTGTCGATCCATATTATTGGTTTTCGAATGTTCTACATTCTGACGTTCAACGAGGTTCGACAATCTAGGCGATGAAGCAATCAAATCCATGTCAAGCGGAATAGTTGGGCGAGGTGGAGGCATGGAGCTCTTTTGAACGGTTGTCTTTGGCGGTGCTAATTGAGAGTTTCTAATGACAGTGCTGTAATCTGACACCAAGTCATCGTCAGGATATGGCTGCTGCTGTTTATTGCTGTTGTAATATGACGAAAGCGCATTATTGTTACTACGATGATTGCCCAAGTCTGGAAATGGAGAAGCAACCCGTGCTTCTATATTTTTACTTGACACAGAATTGTCAGCTGGAGATGTGTGCTGCTGCTATAAAATTAGTTCACAGAAAAACGCATTAAATGGACTCTGTGCACCTACTTTTTGCTTTCTGGTTTCCTGTCGAAGAGCATTGATGGCATTGTGAATTTTGAATCTTTTGCCAAATGTAGTAACATCCAATTCTTTTAAAGAATCCAGAGTCAATTCCAATAGAATGTCGCCAGTGATTTCCTGATCTAAGACATGATGTACAAAATAAACATTTCCAATTTACAGTTGACATGGCATCTTTGTTGTATACCTTTGAAATTGTCTGCCAGCTGTTTGTCGAATCCAACACTGATCAGCCACGTTGACACTTGGTCAGACGTCCATTCCTCTACTTTGCTGCTTAGTAACGGATTTTCCAGCGATTGATGCACTGCTGAATGAATATTTTTCGATGAAATAGATGACATGGACGACATGGAGCTGATCGTTTTCTTTGGCTGTGATGCAGCGCTGGCTGATGTAGGTGCTTTCATCTTGGATATGGCGTTCTCCAATAAATCAATCTTGTTTTCCAATGCGAGTGAAGAAGCGGCTAATGTAGGAGGATGCTTTACTGTGTATGAAATGGGAAAAAGACCAATTTCGCCTCGTACATTACGTCCCTAACAGCAATAAACCCAGAGTTTAGGAACACCACTTTTCCACCCTCTTACTTGTTGTGTATTGGCAATATACAACAGCTACTTTACCTGCCACCAACCATCGTTGAAACCTTCATCCTTCTCGATAACAATGACTTGCTCGCCGACATTGATCGAGATTTCATCCACATTCTCTGCTTCAAATTTGTGGACCGTATAAACTATGTCTTGTCCAGGCATGATTCGAGAGATTGCAATGCTTCAGGAACAGGAAAAATTTTCGAGAGAGAAGAAGAAGTGTAATAATAGAAAAAGAAAGCCAAATAAAGGGCGTTCAATTGTTGTGATGAGTTATTGACCATGTTTCAATTTACATTCGGACACCCAAAAAAGAAAGGTGTCTAATATACACTAATCCAAGTTGACCCATTGCACGGTTCTTGTGCTACTGCTGTGGTCTAGGTAACTCTGATATCTTTAATTGGATTTTATATTAAATCATATAGTACCTTGGTTAGCCAGGCCATATTATCTTGAATAGCCTCAATTAGCTATGGATGTCTTGATCAGACATCCTCCTTGGATAGATGCTAGTCTGCTGGGCTATTTAAAGGCCATACATGCAAACGCCGGGTCAGCGCTTTTCGCTTGTTCAGGAGTAAAGTAGTTAGTGCTGAACGGTGGCGTGAGTAGCACAGGTTTACGGTCCATCAGCATCAATCAAACACAGTGTATTTGTCCGTTTTTGGCTTTGCAATATGATTCACTCCTCTTATCTACTATGGTCACCAAATGTGCTTCCCCAGTCCTCCAACGCTCCACGCGAACGCTTGTTTTCTATGACGGTATTAGCTCAAACTCTAGTTTTTCTTTTGCAATAGCTCAGAATCGATGCTTCATGAACGCCTTCCAGTCGAATAAAAGCGCTACTACAGGAAATTTGCAGTTTATGTCTGCTCAATCAAACTGAAAACAGGTGATTCGGCCTGACGAAATGTGTAACAAATCCGGCTTCCATAAAAGAACTGCTACTCCATCATTGCAAACCTGACGTCTTTTGTGTGCAGCCAACTTAAGATTGGGTAGACTGGGTGCCAATAGATGTATCCACAGGTGTTTTCTTTTTTTCACTTTTGACCAACCCCCTACATTTTAAACAAACAAACCCAATGCCCACTGCATCATCAGAACAGGTAAGTCATCTCGTATGTTTTCAGCATACCACTCACAGTGCTCTCGGCTATCAGGTTCCCCATTGTCAAAAGTTTGGTAAATCTAGAGAGCTCCTTCTCATGTGCTGCTTCTAATCAATGCACGCCATTTTAATTAGCCTGTGCCATTCAAGATTGCTTGGGGAAAAACGATTATCAAGAGTCCAAATGCGCCAAAGAATTAGAGGCATTACACAAATGTTGCAGAGAGCTGATTGCCTCGGGCGGGAAGAGCGTATGTTGTCCCGAGAAAAAGTACAAGAAGCAATAAAAGACTGATTTCGTATGCCAACGCTGATGTTTGTGGATGTTGCAAAGACTGTTTCGAGTCTCGCTTGAGAAAGATCTATTCAATTACTTCTCAAACAGTCGAGAATAAAAGAAAAGCAGCGGGACTGCCAGAGCAGAGTGTGTGTAAAGCCCAATGTCGCCTTCATTTAAACAAGAAAAGCCTACTTTTTTTTTTTTTTTTCCTTCTCGAGGCTTTTTCTCTATCTTATACATTAATTCGAGACCATGGAACCCAGCAATGCAAACCAGCAACAGCAGCAGCAACAGCAGCATCATGAAAATGGGCCTTTTCCAGCGGAACTTTTGCTATCCATCTTTGTCTATCTCGACGGTACTACACTAACATCTTGCAGTCAAGTGTGTCGACAATGGGCTCAAGTCATTGCTCATTATGATGAACTCATTTGGCCCAATGCCTGCCATCGAGACTTTGAAAGAACCAGTGCTCGACGCTGGTGGTCGCTCCAATTTCCATCACCCAAGGCTCACAAAAATCAGCGAACTTGGCAGGACATGTACAGAATCACAAGGAATTGGTATAACGGCCGCTGTGTGAAGGGGTTCTATCCCAATGTCTGCGGCTCTACTTCAATGGATACGCTCCCCAGTACTGTGATAGGCGCTCCTCAAGAACAGGGCATGTTCACTAGCTTAACGGTCGCAAATGATGGCCGCATTGTGAGATCAAATCCAAATTACCATAGTCCATCAGGCTCTCAAAGCTTAATAATTCAATCCCCACAAACAAAGCAAAGATTCTTTTTGGACAATACAGCTGCAACAAGCGAAATACCTGGTTGGCCCGAAGCTGCAAGATCTCACTCGATCGTTTGTCATTATACTCAACCCAATTCTAAATGGTTAGTGACAGGCGGTCTCAACGGCACAGTAGCAGTATGGAACTTGGAAACAAAGACGTTGGTCAGGATGTGGCAAGGACATCGAGGACGAGTTCTGTGTATCAGTATGAATGATGATGGTAAGCTTGGTTTGGAAACGAGGGACATGAGAATACCAACTAACTGTATGCATGTGTTGTTTAGTTGTCGTTAGTGGTGGTTCAGATAGCATGATTCGTGTTTGGGATTTGAACAAGAATAACAGTTCAAACAGCAATATTGGATGGACAAATCACCATCGACCCACACGACGAGGCATGATTGATATCTCGTCTTATTTATCAGGAAGAAGTGATTGGTATCAAGGCGTTGGCGAGATTGCTGCCAATGGACATCTGGTCGCCTGCGCTCCGGATGCGTCTGGCCCTATTCTCGTATTTTCGCTTTTGACTGGCTCTCTTGTCTACGAGTTGCGTGTCCCTGAAGAAACAGCGCAGACATCCGAATGGGTTACTGAAGACATCACTGCATTTACTCGTCTCTGCCTCACGCCATTCTTTCTTCTCACAAAAGGAAAAGTAGCCAACGGTAACAACACAATCCAATTGGTGCCGTCTTCCAACAACATTTTACAGCAACGTAGACAAAAGAAGAAATCAGCCGGTTACGTCAAGAAAGTGAGCGATAGTATCGAGGAAACCAACAGCCCTGCGCCTCCCGTTGCTCAAATGACGCCTTACCAACTCTATCAATACTACCAGTCGATCAACAAAACCGGGGGCAGCGACTCAGAGGAAGAGCAATTGATGCCATCTACAAGTGCATGTATTAATGTCTGGGATTTGCAAACTGGAAAAATTGCCTATAGACTACTACCTACATTAGAGAAGCCTTACCAACACTACACAATCACAGATGTGCGGCTAACACCTGATTACTCAAAGGTGTTTGCATCCATCGAAGTACGCGGACAGAAGCACTATGAAGAGAGACTTTATTGCTGGGATTTTTCATTGAAATACAAGGATCAGCCTCAAGAAAGCTTTGATGTTATAGAATTAGACAATTTAGATCCTGCTCTGAGAAAAACAGGCAAATCATGGATCTGTTACATGTAGGGCCTTTTGTTTCTCTCTAAAATGGTGCCACCAATTTCTGTATTGTAAATAAATTTGTTTGTTCCCCACTTGTTGTAATCTGGACCATCCACATCGATTAACGGCTTGTCGAGTGAATATGGAAATTCTTTCTAATATAATTTCACTTATCTGTAACGTACCTGTATGGAAGATTATTTCAGTAATTTGAAGACTCTTTCCAATTTTTCATTGGTTTCCAATATCAGTTATGCTCGAGTGTATTGTTGTGCTCTCATTCTCTTTACTCATTTGGGTGTCCCGGTGCGTAGATCATTGCTTTTGACAGGTGAACTCCGTCATAATTGCCGCTCAGGAACCAAATTATCAAATCCACATTTGATTACTCTCCATGTTTTTTATTGCGTCTAGTGAAACTAGAGTAGAAGTTGATAATAGATGAAAACTAGAACCATGTTGCTTGTCGGAACGAGTTTTGCAACATATTAAAAAGGTATAATTGAAGACTTCAAAAGAGTGCGAAGTGGCAATGTTTTAAATTGTGATGTCCAGTTTCTTAACCTCTTCGCTTTTTCTCTCCTCTTCACTCGATGAGTCTCCAGAAGTCTTGTATTGATTAACTAGAGCAATTGCAGTCAAACTGCCTCTACTACTGTATCCTTTTCGAATGGCTGGCGCAAGATTAGTGCTTGTTCTCGGGCCAGCCTCTTTCGATCCTGTCCCTGTTATCCATGGATGTTGAAGTGCTTCCTCTGCTGTAATTCTGCTGTTGGGATCAAATGTCAATAACTTGTCAATCAAGTTCCTGGCTTTTTAGAGACGCTGCATTAGACATTGCATGACAAGATATGTGTGTATAATAACAAACCTGAATCAGAAATATCGGACCAATATTCTTCATCATATTCATACTGCCCTGACATGATGGACTCAAACAAGCTTGCTTGGTCTACCATATCATACAAATCACATGAATATTACGTACAATCAATGTTCGCTGGATACTACCTTCTCCCCAAAATGGGGTATATCCACTCAGTAATGTAAACTAAACAATTTAGATGAGTTCTTGCAGCATTTCCAACCAACATACTCTTCTCTTACCAATATAACACCCACACTCCACAGATCCACTGGTTTGTTATGACCGGTTTGCAACAATACTTCAGGAGCAACATAGCCTGGTGTACCGCACGCCGTTGTCAGAATGTCATCTTGCGCCTTCAAAATTTTCGACAGACCAAAGTCTGTAATCATCAAATTCGAGTCATCGTCAGCTGTTTGGAATAATAGCTACGTATGAATTTAGTTGGTAATGAACTGTAATGAGCGACTCGATAAAGACGTACGTTTTCCGGCTTCATGTCGCGGTGTACAATCTAAAAACAGGCAATGAATCACCAAATCAGCTGGAGTCAATGATGTGTCTCGGCTTACGTCTCTTTCATGTAGATACTGTAATCCCTCTAGCATTTGTCTCGTTAAATTCGATGCATCTTTCTCTGTATAGGTCCCTTTCTTAAGTAATTGTTGAAACAGTTCCCCACCACTAGCCAAATCAGTGACAATGTATACAGCATCAATCGATTCGTATAAGTTATGCATGGATACAATATGTGGATGTCTGACTTGTTTCAAAATGTCTATAAAAAGATGTCAGAGAATCTCACCTACTGCACCTTTCGTAAATAATTACCCAACTCGCTACTTAGCATATGCTCTTTGCCTTTGGGTGAAAGCATCAGTACCATATATATATAAGAACAGGTAACAAAGCCGCTTACCTGCAATCGCCTTCTTTAGTATAATCTTGAGAGCGAATGATTGTCCTGTTGAACGATGTACGCATTCTTTCACAACAGCAAATGAGCCGACTCCTAATGTCTTTTTGGTCACCTTGTACGTGCTCTCTAATTCAGAGGGGTATGCATGTTCTTCCTTTCTCTCGTGTGTTTTCTTAAACAAAGCGACAATACGCTTCATTATGGTTGATTTAGTCATGCTGAAAAGATTAAAAAAAGAAAGAAAAGATCTAGAGGAGAAAGAAAGAGTAGCACCATAACTTGTATCGTCGTTCGCCCAACATTTTTTTGATTTCGCCACGTGATATTAGTATACATGTTTGCTTGTATCGATGGTGGCTTTCCACAACTAGTCCTGGACATGTAACCAAATTAGCTCTCTTTACCGAGGATTTAAAAGCGAAATTACCCCTGATTTTGTTTCTTGATCCACAGCTTGATCGTCGAATGCATTTGTCACTTTTATTTTTACGACAATATTTTTCAACGGCCTTTTGGTATCCTACTACTAGACGATCGATGTCGCTAAGCTCGATGACGGCGTCGCTCTGCGGGCTCTCACTGAAGACATTTCAAATCAGAGATAATGAAAATTTGGTATATCAAGTAGATTTTAAACAATTAATTAATAGTAAAAGAAAGGTTATATTAGATTCAGGAGTGGGGGAGGTGTCTCCTTCAGCTCCCCGTTTGCTTATACACTGATATCAAACGGAAGCTATTACCAAGACGGTGTAAAAGAGACTTACGCTTTATAGCATTTGTACAGCACATTCTCCGTTCGTGTCGCATTTTTTGGTAGTAGGTTTGTCTGGCCATTCGTTGATGTTGCTCTTGAGGTGGTAGCATAAAGCTGGCCATGCGTAAATACAGGACCTGTATAAGGTCTACAGCGACTATTTGAGAGATTGTCATTGCAAGAGACACATTTATAGGGGAAATTCCCAATAAAAGCAAAAAAAAAAAAGGTATTTATTCAAAGTGACCCTCCTTTCGAATTTGCAGTTCTCATTTATTCATCATTTCAATCATCATTGCAATCATCATTGTCATCATCACTGTCATCATCAGAAAGGCATTTGGGCCAGCCAGTAGCAACGACCCCAGCCAAAATTAATTCAAACTCAGTATATTTTTTTTCTATTCAAGATTGGCCAAATTATGTCTTTTTTCGATTTGATTGAACTATTCTGCGATATTCGACTATATAAACTGTGATAATCATCCAGTATTTCCTAATACATTCTTGAAGAACTTTTCAAAGCGCTTCCAATGGTGCTAATTGTAAAAGGTATTTTGAGTAAAGCTACAGAGTGATTTGGTAAAATCTGAAATGAGGTTTTTAGCGAAAATAATCGGATTTTGCATATGAAAGCCTTACAAAAGTGATTTCAGGGTTGCTTTGGATCGAGAGAAGCATTTTGATCTAATATATACCATAATAAAAGTTGTCATTTTCAAGGTGAAAAACGCGAGCGTTTGATTTTCGATGAAAACCATGAGGTACCCCTCATGGTTTTTGGTCGATTTTTGGCCATGTTTTTTTTGGTTCTAAAAAGTTGAGCAAAGGTGTCAGCAAGCAACCGCTTGATGAGAGCAAATGTTTGGTACTACTTTGGCTGTCCAAAGCGGCTTCTAGTGCGAGAAATCACGGCCTAAATGTACCCGGTTTTGGCTGTATTGGACACACTCTTGACTAGAAAAGGGTAATACCAGTATACTGCTTGCCCGTATATGAAGTATCTTACTTGTTTACAGCCGTTGAACATCACGTACAAGTCAGATCCACAGATAATACGAAGGGTTCGTATGTGCAAGAGGAAAGTTATAATGAAAGCAGCAGTATTTTGATAAGCACGGGCAATCGGTAGCGCGAATTGCTGCTGCGTAGGTTGGCTCTCACCAAAGTGGAGCGAAGGTAGAGTGCCATCCGTAGAGTAGACAGACTCCTGTATATTAGAGATACTTGTTCTAGTTTTCGATAAACAAACTCTATTCAGATATACATTGCTATGACATGAAAGCAGTGTTAAAGTAAAAAGATTCGTATTTACATATATCTAAGTTTAAATCTAATTTTATAATGAGAACCATAGTGTTCTGTGCAGATTATAATACAAAATGAAAGCATTCAAACTTAAATTAATCTGTTTGACTTAATGTGTATCTTTTTGTCTTCTAGAATCTGATTGATCTACATTGAAGCTTCTACTTTATTAGAGGAATTTGCCTCGGGTCAGAGCTCGCTGTGCAAAGCCGACCTTGAGCATATAAGGATACTATTGTAACGCAAAAATGAAGCGTTTCGAAGGTTTTTGAGCAAACGGTGGTTGATTCTGGGGTTTAAGTCTAGATAATATGGCAAAGCTTGGAAGCTATTTCCTTTCGCAATTGCCTCAGAAAATATGTACGCCTGGTCCTTTACAATAAGGCATACATTCATAGAAGCTAGCACTGTCATATTTAGACGTATACTCAAATTACTATATATGGTATGTATTATATATGGTAATTCTAGTCTCCAGCTCTATCCCTACTATATTCTAGAATCTGACTCTTTCACAACCATGCACATCTAGGGCATGAAATATCATTTCACTTCCCAGTGCGTTTAAAGCACATCGCCAAGTATAAGGCTACACCACATGACAGTCTATCGTTCAATACAATATTTGTCATATAAAACATGTTAGACACAGCTGATCAATCTAAAATTGCAAGATAGCAAGCCTTGACATTTGTCAAGAGTGTGTGTCAATAAATAACAGCCTCTGATAAATGCGAATTCTCAACCATCAATGTAGTTAGAATTCTACATGCAGTTTTCAGGAATTGAATTAAGAGCTGATGACCATGACAGTGCTAAGGGCCGGTTCATGCGTTTTCATGAAACTTTTATGTCGATTTAGTCATTTTTACTAGTTTGTTGTGACTAGACATCTTCCCATTGCTAGCCCATGAACATAAAATTAGAGCTTCTTGAATTACTAATATCAACCATCTTTTTCTTATATTTATCCCAAAACTATCAACTTAAGAATGACCTCACGTATAATTTTATCTCAACTCAAGAGAGTGGGCACTATGCGGGCTAGCACTGTTTCTCAAGCAATGAACTATGCACCCAAGAGAACATTGCTTACTAAAAATTTGATTTGGGCAAACCGTACGAAGGCACAGCAAGCAACTTCTTTATTAGGACGTCAACAAGGTAAGCATAGCTTGCTCGCTTCAATATAGGAGAGAGCTTGTCATCTAATGTAATCGGTAGTTCGTACCATGTTCATCCAGACAGAACAAACTCCCAATGACGATTCACTCAAGTTCATTCCTGGTGTACCAGTATTGGGCAGCGGTTCAGCCGAGTATTTGGATGTTCGTTCCTCCATGAAATCACCCCTTGCAAAGCAACTATTTCACATTGACGGTATCGCTGGTGTGTTTTTTGGACCTGACTTCATTACAATCTCAAAGGAAGAAAGCGCTGAGTGGCAATTGATGAAACCTGACATCTATGCAGCCATCATGGATCATTTTGCCTCTGGTCAACCCATTGTATACGATGCTGATGACTTAGCTGCCAATGACACTGCCATTCACCCTGACGATTCAGAAGAAGTTCAAATGATTAAAGAACTACTCGATACACGTATCCGTCCTTCTATCCAAGAAGATGGTGGTGATATTGAATACTGTGGATTTGAAAATGGTATCGTTCAGCTCAAATTGAAGGGTAGTTGCAGAGGTTGTGATAGCTCAACCATCACACTTAAAAATGGTATTGAGAACATGTTGATGCACTATATCCCAGAAGTGCAAGGTGTCGAGCAAGTCATTGATGAAAATGAAGAAATCTCTCTTCAAGAATTTGACAAACTCGAAAAGAAATTGGGCGAAAAATAAACATGTAGCAATGTAGCTTCTCTAGAAATTTGTATAATAAACAACAATGTGATCCTTTATTCCTTTTCCAAGTTAATAGCGTTGCCGAATTTAGCATATAAGTCTTTCTTCAATTGCTCCATCTTTTCTTGAACCACATCGATTTGGTGTTTGACATCTTCGAGTGCTAAGCCAAGTTTCTCTGAGTCCTTCTCGACTTTTTCAATTGCTTCTGACGCACTAACATGCACAAAAGCATCACCAATCTTGTATCTAATTGCCTCATCCTCATCTGCCAATTCAAGTTCCATAGCAACATCGTCTAAGTACTCTTTTTCTTGCTACAACATCCCGGATATGCTTGTCAATCTCAGTTTTCCTCAGCTCATATCTGCTTCTTACAAACCTTGAGTTTTTCATATTGATCCTCGAGATCATCTATTTTGGCATTATATTGACTAAACTCGTTGATACGTTGTTGATCGACCCAGGAGACTTCAACATCACCACCAGTCTCCTCTTTTTCATTTAACTATTATCGGTTTTGTTTATAAAAATCGGCTTCACTATACACGCTAGAGCCTCTAAAACATACCATTCTAATATTTGACATTCTATGGTATCTTTTTTCTTTTGCAAGGTGAATATAAACAAGACAGAAGAAGTTGAAAAGTAGGTTACGCGCCTTTTATTAACTTTCAGATGAAGCATTTCTTTCAATAACCGCTTACTATCAAGCCACCTTTACAAGGCAGATAATGGAGCCTCTGTTCTGCGCTTGACTTTAGCAAGGAAACTGCCCTTTGCTACGGTCAAGGTAATGTATTGCCTCAAGTTATTGGCTTCCTCCATCTCTTTTGGGATTGGCTTTATCGCGTAATACTTGAAAAAGTTGGCCAAAGCAAGACGCAATTCTTGCAGTGCAAAATTCTTGCCAATACAGTTTCTTGATCTGGGCACAGTGAGAATACTGTCAATAATCGAGATGGCCAACTTACCCTGCACTGAATGTGAAAAGGCAATCGTGATCTATAACTTGATTGTAAGCATCCTCTCCTGGAATCCATCTTTCAGGAATGAATTTGGAAGCATTTGGCCAGTATGCATTGTTGTTGTGAGCATGATACAAGTTTGCAGTAACTGTAATCTAATGGAAAAGCATATCAGTAAGCCTAACATTAAGCAAAAATTTAAATAAGCATTTACATCCTTGGGCAAGACCAACTCGCCTCTCAAATTGATTTCCTTTTCGGTTCTTCGCTGCAACCCAACGCCAGGTACAGGGCAAAGACGTAACGTTTCGTGAATTACGCCATTCAGATAGGGCAACGCCTTCAGCTGCCCATTGTAAAATAGCTCTGTTCCCTCCATGAAAGCAAGGGTATCAATCTCTTGATGAAGCTTTTCCATTTTATCTGGATTACGAAGCAATTCGATCAAAGCAAATCCAAGTGTATTACCGGTTGTATCTGATCCAGCTGTTAAAAACAGGAATGTTTCTCTCACCAAGTCCCTTGTAGTCATGCATTTCTCCGGATCAGAATCGTTTTGCATGTCCACCATGGCTTGCAGTATGTCATCTCTCTTTTCACCGCTACCTATTCGTTTCTCATAGATTCCCTTGACAAACTATATTGTGTATTAGCGGCTTTCACACTATATCCTGAAACATGCAGTTTTACATTTATGATCTTTGGGTTGGGGCCTTTGATAAACATCTTTAGGAAAGCTGGATAAGCAGCTACATAAGCTCCTAATTTCATTCGTAGCATCACAAGTTTGGGTATAGGATGTGTGCCATCTTCAAGCATATGAAAAGTCTCTCCAAAGGCTGTTTCTCCAATGATATCTAGTGCAGTGCAAGACATGATCCGCCAAAGGTCAACTGTTCCGTAGCCCTCTTCATCAATAGTGCTTTGTATATCTTTCTGTACCTGATCAATCATACTCTTTGAAACACTCTTCATGTATGGCTCCAATGAGTTGAGATACTTGATTGAGAAAGCATGGGCAGCCATCTTTCTCTAATGCTCATGTAAGTGCACAAATCAATATCAGACCAGGTGATTGCTTACTTGCCTTTTTTTTGTGAACCTCTCTGTTCTCGGTGCTGAGCATGGTCTCTCCACTCTCTGATAACGCATTTGAGATGAAGATGTTCTTTGTACAGCGGGATTACTTACTTCTTAGGAACGCATAGATGGGTCCTTTAGGTAGGTCATCATGAACCAGAATCTGCTTTATCATATCCTTGTCCGCGACTGAAATGCTTTTGGGGCCTGTGCGTACAATTGCACCATGAATATCATGCAATTTCTTCAGGCTAGCAAACCTATGATCAACTTGAGTGCGTGCACTTTACGCTTTGATATTCTAACTTCAAATACTTTACAATGTGCCTGTTGGCATGTCGTAAATTAGGCTTGGTAAACCCATGAACTTGGCGACGAATGGGCCTGGCACCTTGCTCAACGGTCCAAAGAATGCGACATACAATTTCTGTTAAGCATTTATGATTAGTTTTGATCATGTATACCACAAGGAGGTACTTGCCTGGATTCCTGAATAAATCACATACGAGGCGGCAGCAATTTTACAAGCGCTTTTGAGGTAGCCCTGGTTTGTGGAGTAATGCCGAAGAATAGTATGATACAGTAGACTCAATCGCTGTATAACAACTTCACCGCGATTTTGCATTACAAGTAAAGTTTGGTGGAAGAGAATAAAGGCAAAAGAAAAGAGAAAACCTCCTTGTTGTTTAGATACTGAGTTGTAGTATCCTTGCATACGATTTTGTTGATCTTCATGCAAAGTGATGCACCAACTAAATACGTCATGTATAGATACTATCATCAGTTGTAGGCTTGCATCAGTTAGGAAGACACAGTGCATGTGTTTCAAGAGGATCACTACTGGGCTAAAAATATATAAAATAGCATGCTTGATTTCCTGAAAATGGCCTCATTCCTATGATCCTTGTGGGCAATATTGAGCGTTTGCAAAGCAAAACTGGCGAAATTGCAAGATGCCAGCACACCATTGAAATTAAGTCAAGATCAAACAACTAATCGATAGTAATTAGCCCTGGTGCATGGAGAACTGAGTGCTACACGGCGATAAAATGGATATAAGAGATTTATTACATATTTACATATTAGACATAGTATATTAATTTTTGGATCTCTGTGAAAAGGACGATCTTCTAGAAATTGGAAGGTAGGTGACACTCTCATCATCCGAGTCATCCATTTGCACCGAGTTATTTGCTTCATTGCTAGTGCGGGTATTGTTAGGGCGATACAGACTGCCTGGACTATGTACATGTTCCGGAACTTGAGGTGTAAGAATAGTGATGGCGGTGTGCTTCTTGGGGACATCTCTATCGATGTTATCTCCTAAGGGTGGTGTCTCTGAGCTGTAAGTTTCTTCAATGACTGTAGGTGGTGATTGTTTGCGGCCGATAATGGTATCCATCTTTGGGATGCGTAACACTTGGTTACCTTTCTCACTAGTGATGGTGAGAGTTCGTGTGGCAATTGAACCCAAAAAGTAGAGGGGTATGGTTACGCCATGTGCAATCACTGATCCCAGTACCATGAAATAGATGACAGGCTCAAGGAGCGCACGTGCGTGAGCGTTTGGACCATCTTCAGGGAGAGCTTCGAGAGCAACTGTGTAATAGAAGATAGCGCCTACACCAATAGGACCGAACCAACCGGTGAAAACTGCTTCACGCCAGTTGTGAATAGTAGGAATCCATTTATACAGGGTAAGAACGATGGGTAGACGTCTAAGCACTAAGACCAAGATGGCCAATACGACGAGTCTCCAGACTGTGATTTGAAGTTCATCGCTTGAAAAGGCAGACCAAGGCTATTAATGAGAGTGTTAATGACATTACTTGCACTTGCTAGACTTGATCAACATACCATCGTCAAACCAATATAAACGAAAATACTAAGATTGAGCAAAATGTCTACAACCTCCATCAAATGTGCCTTTTCTGTTTCAATACGAAACCAATCATTCCAAGTAAATGAGTTTCCCGCGACAAAGCAGGCCAGCAAATCGTCGCTACCAATGAGGCCTACAGTGCCCATTAAGAAGAGCTATATGTTGGTCAGTCTAATGCCTCATGTATAAATGCCTTGTATACGTACAGCCAATGCAACTGCAAATACGAGAAAGGACTCCTTATCGATAAATCTTCTTTGCTCTGCGTATTTGAGCAGCTTGCGAGCAACAAAACCAGCAACCAAGCCGATAACGATGGATAGCAAGACGTTGTAAGCCATGATCCAATAAGCCCACTTGCCAATAGCTGGTCCAACATCCATTTGCAGCAGATAGATGGCCAGAAACAAGAACGGGTATCCGAGACCATCGTTTGCACCACTGATAAACAATTAGTTCAAGTTTCAGTCATCAAAACTTCAAATTACCTTTCGCAAGAAATGATATGACGCACATGGGTTGGCACATGCTTCTCAGCAAATTTACCCTGAACGATAGAGTTGGCGAGTACTGGGTCAGTAGGCGTGAAGCAAGCAGCAATCATTAGTGCTTCCAGCTATAACGACATGTTTAGTATTATTAACAAGCAAACAAAGAGATGAAACCTACAAAATTGAGCCCAGGGATGAGGGCCCACACAAGCAGGCCGCTAATGATCCACATAAACAACATGACAGGTCCCAGCAAAATGAGAATTGAGCGAAGTTCCTTTCGCAAGTAGGCTTTTGGCAGAGCAACGCCCGCTGCCATGACTTGGATAGCAATGACAATGCGGGTAAATTCGTGCGTAATCATAGGCTCATCGCCCCACTTGTGAATGTCGATGAATTGAGCGCACACAGGCCCGAAAATGATACCACATACAAGGGCAACAGCTATGCAGATGGTTAGATGTTGGGTAATTTACATGCTTATGCAGGGCTTACATGCTTCTGACAGATAGAGCCTCTCCTTGATGACCAGCGAGCAGAGGCCGTATAACAATATGAATCCTCCGAGAATGGCAGCGACAATAGAGACAATGTCCGACATGAATAGTTAAAGATGTGAAGAGTGTTAGGTGAAAATGATGAATTGACGAGTGAAATAAGGTTGAATAGATAAAAATCTCATGGATTTGATTTCAAGTGATGTCTAGTAAACACGGATACCGATAGTTTCGATCTGATTTGCTTTGAAAATACTGCTGTTCACAACTGATCTACGGAAATTCTGGAGCTTCCAACTCTTCTTTTTTTTTTGAGCCTTATATATATTCTTTTTCTTCATCATTTCAAGTTGTCACATGTATTTCCTTATCCAGATGCTTGTATTACTCATTCACCATTTGCGCCAATTTTGCGAGCTCTTTCATAGGTTGTGATCTTTCGGCAAACAAACGGGCGGTTTCTGTATTTGTGTGAAATCATTTATTGTAACTCGCTAATGCAGTAAAATGTAGACTATTGATATTTCCATTGCGTGATGACATCTCACTTCTCCATTTGCATACATGACCCAATCGCACAGACGGGCTTCTATCGGTAGTATCTCGATCTGTGTGCTGCTTCATACCGTTCCCAATTTCTCTCTCGGGATCGATAGTATGACGGTGGTGAGAGTGGTGGTGGAGGCGAAACGTTGTAGTGGCGATATCTGAGCTCGGGCGGTGGAGGAGGTGGTGAGTGTCGGATGCGGTCACTGTATGGGTAGTAGCCAGCATAGCGTTCATATGGAGGATAGCGGCGGTAAGGCGGAGGTGAAGGTGAGCGATGATGGTATCGATAATCATCATAGTAGAGATCACGGGGAGGCGGTGGTGGCAATGGTGAGCGTGAGCGAGAGCGTCTGCTTATGTATCCCGAACGATGGCTGCTGTGTAATATCTCTAACTTGGATCTTTTTTCTTGAGACACCTCCCGGTTACTATAGCTCATTCGACGCTCGGTGGATTGCAATGTCATTTTTGTGGATTTAGTTGCACATTTGGATTTTTGGCCATTTTCTGTATTTGTATTAGTGGATATGGATACATCATTTTTTGTTGGCACTTGAGCTTTAGTGTCGTCTTTCTCTTTCGCATGATGAAGATGTCTATTCACGGCAGTTGCTTTTTCTGCATCGTTGCTGGATGTACTGGCAGTAGGCGCTGACTTGGATCTGGGCTGGGATTGCTTTGGTAAAGCATCGCTAGGTATCTTGTCGGGCCGACTACTACGATCAGATCCAGTGCGAGTAGGATGAGTGATAGTAGGGTTACTAGCATGATCCGTTTTAGCATGATTCACAGTAGTATGGGTGTTTGTAGTTGAAGAGGCTGTGCGGGTGCTGGCAGTTGACGCACAGGTTGCTACAGGCGTTGCAGCCGCACTCTTGGGTATCTCCCATACACTTTCACGAGTGACAGAATTGTAGAAATACGGCCGTCCGTCGTCTGCCGCGTGCCTGACCCATACCTCCTTCAATTCCCTGTCTACCTTCTCAATCTCCTCTCGTTCCACTGTTGACAATCTCTTGTGCTGTTTCTGCGTGGTAACATGGTCCTCTTCATCGTCTGATTCATTGCCCCAGTCTGCTTGCATTATTCGTTCTTCATCGTCTTCAATGTCAAGAGAAATGACAGGCTCTTTTGCTGGTATCACCTTTTCTGGATAGCCAAGGACAATCTCGTCTCTGTTGATTAACAATTTGTTGCTATACGCCGAGTCCCTTGAGGCATTGGATATATCTTTTTCACGCTCGCTGGCTCTTGAACCGGATTGCCTATGGGAGTCGTAGTTATCGCTTGCATACCTCGTTTGCCGCCTTGCATCAGAGTATTTATATCCGTTTTCTGTAGAAGTTTTATGATACGAACTATTCATTGTATTGTGGAAAAAAAGGGGGGGAGAGAGATTTACAAAGGGCCAAGGAAGAGTTACAGAAGAAAGTTAAAAAAAAAAGTGGTTGAATTCTGCCACTTCAAGGAGAGGAGAGAGGGCTCCTCTCCAATTAAAATACTCTAATATGATTTGGTGCGTTGCAATCCCTCTTTTTCTCACTTTCCAAAACCCATCGGCTTACCATGAAGCGAAGTTTGCAGCCTCAACGATTACCACCTCTCAACGTAGCAGCACGCATGGAGCCAGAGAACACACACAAGCACACTGAAGCAGACATGGCAAATCACTTTCAAGCAGCTGGTTCTACCCAGCAATCTGCCACACCGTCAAAATCCACAGCTCAATTCATTGAGGCTGCTCAGACTATTCTCTTCACTGCTTGCTCGTTGCAACGCACTGTAGGTCGCTGTATCGGTCGCATAGGAAACGAAAGCTTACATGCTGCATTCGCTCCCCTCCTTCATAAAGTAAAAGCTAGTACAGAGAAGCTAATAACCGTGCTGGATGTGATTGAGAAGCGATCCACGTACGAGCTATGCAACGAGCTGATTCAAGCAACTTCGGCGTGCATTTCTATCCTCAAAGAGCTGTGCTGGACACTGCGAACAAGGTTGTCGACGCTTGTTCAAGGCTTGGATGCGAAATTCTCGAGAAACCTGCTGATGAATCTGTACAGCGCAACTGTCGATATGAAGGACGCTTGGCAAGTGATTAGCCCTTATTTGTCTGTAGAACCTGCTCAGACACTGACATCATTTATGCAGCACACCAAGATGAACGCAGCGACCCCTACGACACCACTGAGGAATAGATCACAGAGCGAGTTGGCAGCATCTGCTCACTCGCCCATGACCTCGCCTTTAGCATCGCCCAACGTCAAAGGCGACAATACACAATTATACACACATTTGCGCAATGCGGTGACCAGTTCATTGCACGTACTGAATACACTCAAACAGTCCATTGAAGAAACAGTGCAGGGCACCAAGATTCCTGCTAGTTTGGAGAGGAAACTGAATGAATTACTGCGACAAACACAATATGCCACCGAATTATCACATCGACTAGACAAAAATGTGGAGGCCAACATGGGAAGCAACAAGGAAGATCTACTATTACTACCAACAAGGAAAGAGTCAAGTAGGCGTATATGGGAGGACACAAGCATCTATCTAAAGGCCATTGTCAGTGTCATGTCGTTCATTCGCTCTATTTCCACCGAGGAGGAGTTTGTGTGGCCCAAATCAATCAAGCAAGGATGTCTGTATGTGACGAGAATGACAGCAGAAGTAGCCAAGTTATGGAACAGCAGCAGTACATTTGCAGAGGATGGTTTCTTTTTAGGCCGACAAGAAAGAAGCTCCAGCGTATCTGAGCAGCCATCATCGCCTTACTGCACTTCACCAGCGAGCACCATCGATATACCCAGAAATACTCAAGTCACCCGTGCCCCTCTCGATTATTAATTTCTTCTTTTCCTCTTCCTCTTCTTCTTCCCTTTCACCTACAATAAAATGAACCATCATCATGTCACTTGTATTCACTCGACAACTACACTATAAGAGACTACCCAACTACAATGGCTGGTGGACACAGATATTGAAGCAAGCGACAAATCCAATAGAGCAATCCATGCAGGAACCAAGTACAACCAGGCGAAAAGTGCCATTACCTATACCCTTTGCTGAAGTGATTGAACCTACACAACCGATCATCACCAATATAAAGAAACCCAAAGTGTTTGTTCATCTACATGGGACGCCAATTGAACTTCCTGAGAAGCCCGAACCCCCTGAAAATTGTTGCATGAGGTAGGCATTTAGAACTCGAAATGTAATGTAATGGCAAAGGTGCTAATCATTGTGTGCTATAGTGGCTGCGCTCATTGGTAATTATTTCTTGTTGTTCTGTTCTTCAAGCTCACAGGCTAACATCTTCTTAATATTATAGTGTGTGGGATATGTATCAGGAAGACATGGAGGAATATGCAAAGAGGAAAAAAGAGATCAAGAATCAGTTTTTGGATGCTAGAGAGCCGTTACCTAGAGAATTAGATCCTTCAAACAATGTAGACGATGCTGTAGAGGAGATGGATCCATCGATGAAAGCGTTTCTGGAGATGGAGAGGAAACTTAATAGTAAATAAATTGTATATATTTTATTTCATTAAAATCTATAATATTGCAAATTTTGAGAGAGAAAAGCGAGGGTGTATATATGAGAGGAGACAGAGCAAGATGTTGTTAGTGATTAAGGGAGGAAAGATATATAAATAATGGAAATGGGATGATGATGATACTACGACAGAAAACTACCAATTTTTAACTCCAAACATCCTCTTGGTAGCGACCTGTGTTTCTCAAGTTCTTGACATAATCGTGAGCCTTCTCCTCCTCAAGGCCACCAAATTGCTGGGCAAAACGAACGAATGTTTGGTTCACATCACGAGCCATGACCTTGGCATCACCGCAAACATAAACATAAGCGCCCTTTTCCAATAAATCCCACATCTCGGGTCCATTCTCCATTAAACGGTGTTGAACGTATACCTTTTGCGCTGTTTCACGAGAGAATGCTGTAATAATACGAGATGGCTCACCCAATGTCTCAAATAACTCGGGCCACTCCTCTTCATACAAGAAGTCTTCGGCAGAATTACGACAACCAAAGTAGAGAATTGTGGGGCCAATAGGTTTACCCTCCTTCTTTTGAAGAGCACGCTCTCTGATAAAACCACGGAATGGAGCAACACCAGTGCCGGGACCTACCATGATGACAGGAACAGTAGGGTTTCTGGGCAACTTGAATTGAGATCGACGGATATGTACAGGAACACGAGCCACGTTAGATTCGGCATCGTAGAGACAATTACGAGGGCCAGTAATGCTGTAGTGAGGGAAAGAAGCATCAGGTTCAATGCCGTTGATGGATTCGTGAAGACGCCAGAGGTAGTTGGTATTGACGCCGTAAACAGTGCGAGGAGAGGCAGTTTCAGGAGTATATTGCAGGGTAACAACAGTAACGGTAATTTTCTTGGGGCTCTCCTTTGATGAAGAAGAGATAGAGTAATAACGGGGCTGGAGACGAGAAACGCTCTCGACAATCAAGTCGAATGGCACAGAAGAGAAGCTGCCTTCCACGTCCAGAGACTCTGATTCAGCCAGCATCTCCAAGACTTCGCCCAAGTTGCGGGTAACATCGCCCACACGCACACGGTACTCATCCTTATCAGTAGCCAGCTTGCGTAAAATATCCTTTGACTTTTCAGTAGGTGCATATTCAATCAAAGACATCAATGTTTGACGAGAGACAGCAGCACAGATATCGAGGTAGTGACGGAAAATGGCGCGGTAAGTGGTAGGTACGGGGAATGGGAACTGCTTGGAAGCAGCAGCATCCAGGGCTTGAACACGAATCACGGTATCAAGCTTGTCAGATAAACCAAGGACCTTGGCAAGTCTTTCGATCTCAACTTCGTTGTTTGTGGGCCAAATAGCAACATGATCGCCTGTTTGATAAGTCAAGTTGGAGTCGGAAATGTCGATTTCCATATGAAGGCAATGACGGTCGCCACCCTTGAACAAATCAGTTGAGGTAATGGGTGCATTGTAAGGGCGTTTGGCATCGTAGACTACTCGACTGTGATGTAATGAAATGGTATCAGCATCGACCGATCATCTGGCACACGCATCACAAGTACTTACGCTCCTTCTTTGAGCCATTCGCTCAGTTCACCAACATAGATTTTGGCTTTATCGAATTCAGTCAACTCTTCAATAGCAAAAGAAGGTTGTCTAGGACCGGAAGAAGTGCTGTTTTCATCAACACCCAAAGCCTCACAAAAAGCAGGCCACATCTCCTCTTGCCATGCCAAGAAATCTTCTTCCAATGAACCATCATCATCACCTTCACCACGCTCACCAATTCTCTTTGCACCCATGGAAGTTAAACGCTTGTCGATGTTTCTGATAACTTCATTGTAGTGCTCATATGTCTTGTTACCGAGACCAAATGCAACGTAACGCAAATTCTTCAGTGGAGCTTCTTCGTCTTCGGCTTCAGAGAATTGAGGCTGTTCATCAGACACAAGATCCCAGAAATCAACAGCATTGTCAGTAGGTTCACCTTCACCATAAGTTGCCATGACAAAAAAGACCAAGAAATCTTCAGGAACGGTATCCAGATAGCTCATGTCGTATTGCTCGATGTCGGCAGCCATTGAACTGACGCCATACTTTTGTGAACATTCTTTTGCGAGACGAGAAGCGTAGTCCTCGGCTGTGCCTGTTTGAGAACCATAAAAGAAGATGACTCTACGTCCCTGATAAATAAGCGGCCATGTGAGTTGATTTCTTGCTGATACATGACTGAAAATTACTTACCTGTTGTTGCATCACTTTAACAAAGTTACGTTCTTTCTTTGGTGGGCCTGTCTTTGCATCAGAAGCAGGCTTAATTTCAGGCTTGTTTGACTTGAATAATTTGTCAGCGATTTGATGTCTGGCAAACCAAGCAATGGTACCAAGACCGATGGTACCCAAGAATATGATGTCTAATGAGTCTAATAAATGTTGAGATGATCGAGTCATATCAAATAGTAATAGATGTTTGTGTAAACCAAAAGAAAAAAAAAAGAGAGATGTAAAGGGGTTGCTCTTTTTGCTGGCTCTTATATATTAATTTGTTTTACATTCTGTCGTCCTCTCCGCCTAAATCAAACAATCGGCTAACCCCCCATCCCCCCACACACATACACAAACCCGGGCAAGCTCATATTCGGGCCACATGGGGCCGATTGGTTATAGTTTTCACATGGTAAACAACCAGCTTACCACCTAGTGACGTTCCCCTCATATTCAACCATTCATGAACACATACAAAATGCCAAATGCTGGAGATTGAAAAGGTCTAATAAAAGCTTGTGTCATCGTGATTGAACTCTTTTATTGAATTACTCAACTATATACGTATGAACGTTTGATGTCGTTTTCTCTTTTCCTACAAATAAGATATTGCGCAGGCAGCAGATAAAGTTCTCCTTATGTCCCCGCAATCTATAAAGGAAATGTCTCGGGCAAAAATATATCAATTTGAATTGAAAAGATCTGATAACCAAAACAAAAAAACTTTTGTGTGTCATTGTAGTTTTACCTAATAAGGGATCCTTGATAGAGTTATTTCCTTGATCCCATGGCTTTTACGTGGTTTGTCTGTATGAGATTCTATGGTAAATGGTTTTGTAGAAAAGCATGTCTGTGGATATGGAAAAGTACATGTTGCGTTTTCCATCTACCGAAGTCGCAAGAAATGATACCAATCGGAACCAATGTTGCGGTTTGCTCCTTTCTCTTTCTGCTGGTGAAAGAGCCCATCATATTGTATTGGCGTAAATTTGGAAGTCCTGCGCTGATCCCGCTGATATGATTATATTACATGAAAAGATTTTATATCGATATACAGGGATACAATGAGGGTTAAATGCTATTTGATTGCACTAAACACTCACTACCATGCGTGCTGATGTAGCAGATAATGTATTATTCTGTATGAATTGGGCCCATTATTGCACAGGGCAGCAAGTGTTGATGTATGCCAGTAACATTCCTGGTCGTTATTTTCAGAAAAAGGTAACAAGATGAAAGCCATGTATTTGTAAACTAATAATTCAGCCAGTTTCTTGAAATTACTTGTCATATTGATGTGTAAGTGTGAAGAATTGCATGCAAACAATGGCTCGTCAAACATTTTGTGGCGGGAAGGAAGCACACTACTAAGAGAGCATTGCAAATCCTATATAATGTCTCCTAACTGATCAAATTAGCATCTGATCTGAGTAATGCTGGCTAAACGGTGATATCAATACAGTGATTTAAATCGTCCACAAAAGAAAAAGAGTTACTGTCGCTACTACTTAGTATTTGACATTTATGCGCATTTAGCCATGGCTGCCCAGCACGAGTAGTGGATCCTAACCTAAAAGTTCAAGAGGTAGAGGACCACAGTATCGCATGATTTAGACACTGAAATCAGTCTATTGTTTTATCGCGTTTATTCAATATACCATTAATACATTGATTCCCTCAGCTCAACCTATTCTTATGATATTCACATTGATACTTCGCTGTTCAAGTTTCTACCGTTTGGATGGAAACCATTTATAAATGGCTTGTAAACGTGGATTTAACCCTTCTACGGTATTCCATGTCTGGACACATAGTACACTTGCACTATCTCTTACTAAACAAATATCAGGTAAACCACAGCTAAATTTCGCATTTGAGCCATGGTTTCTCATGATAAAAGTCATCTTAGCCAGTCAGCATAGCGGCAAACTATTGCTTTCTTCTAGGAGCTATTTCCCAATACCTTGGCTCAACTTTTTGGGGATTCTAAAACATGGCCAAAACTCCACTCCAAACCATGAGGGGTACCTCACAGTTTTCATCGAAAATCAAACGATCGCATTTTTAACAGCAAAAATGAAGACTTTTACTATGGTAAATATTAAATCAAAATGTTTCTCTTAATCCAAAGCAACCCCTGAAACCACTTTTGTGAAGCTTTCATATGGAAAATTTGAATATTTTCGTTAAAAACCTCATTTCATACTTTGCCAAATTGCTCAATAATTTCATTCAAAACACCTATTACAATTAGCTTGACGTGAAGCGCCTTGAAAAGCACTACAAGGATGTATTAGGAAGCATAGGATGATCATCATAGTTTACATAGTCGAACGCTACAAAATAGTTTAATCAAGTCGAGAAAGGGCAAGATCTAGCCAATCTTTTGAGGAAAAAAATGCCTGCGTTTAAAATGATTTTGGCGCTGCTGTCTGAACAGAATGCCTTTGATTGCGATGCTGATTAAATGAAATTATGAATTTGAAAGAACTCTTACTTAATCTGAATTATTTCCTCTGGTATTTGAGTATGTTGCACTATCCGATCTATCTCGCTATGCTCGATGACGGCGTCACCTTGTGGGCTCTCGCCGAAGACTTTTCAAAATAGAGGTAATGAAAATTTCGTATATCAAGTAGATTTTAATATTTTAATTCTAATAAAAGCAAGGCTATATCAGAGCCATAAGGTTGGAGGCGGGGGCGGGTATCCGCCGGCATCCCTTTATTTGCTTATACATTGATATCAAACGAAAGCTATTACCGAGACGAGGTAAAAGAGAGTGTAAGTTTTATGCAGCATTATTATACCATATTCTCCGTTCGTGTCACATTTTCTAATACTGAAAATTGGCATCCATTCTGCAGTGAAATCAAGTTTAAGAGATTCTACAAAAAAATAAGTAGTAGTAAAAAACAATAGAGATCAACAGTATTTTATTTGTTGTGTACAAAATGAACTGAAGATCCTGGAATTGACTAAAAAAAGAAGGGTATTATTTATACATTTGTAACTAGCTTGTTGTAGTTTTAGCGATAATAGAGAGCAACCGGTGCTGCTATTGCGGTATCTGGCAAACGTTGTTGATGTTTGATTTAAAGTAGTAATCAATGCAAGAGCACTGGCCATAAGAATCGACCTAAGTAACCTTGATGGGCTTGGGTGAGCAATCGTCATAGCACTATTTAATGTAATCTTGACAGTTTAAGGTGTGATGTTTGTTATTGAAGTGTAGAACCCTTTTGTCTGGAGTATTGTGCAACTATGGCACCAGGGCATAGTTGTCATATTTGAATATGTTTGTCATTGATTTTATTTTATTTGGATAATAAAAGATAACATCATTTATTACGGCCATCATGAGTGCGATGGAAAACACTATGATCAAGTGTGGTTCATTCACACAATGTGCGAGATAATGACGCATCTTTACTTTAGTATGCTTAAGTGGTTGTTGGTGTACATTTTCCGAGTGCTTATTATTAATAGATTCAAATAGCATGAATTTGAATGACTGGTGTTTAATGAGCTTGGACTTTTAATGAGGTTTGTTGTGACAGAAGGGCTACAACTGTCTATAAAGATTAGAGTATTCTTGATGGGTAGATATGTCTGTGTTGTGCAACAACATGGACAAGCTATGATAATTGAAGTGCATCTCAGCTATCTAAATAATACTGAGGTTCACCAGATGTGATAAGCGTTGTACAAGATAAATTGCTACTTTGGCATTCAGAACTTAGTATAAATAGAATAACTCTTGTCTTCATCAATAAATCTTTAGGTTTTGTGTCTGATCTTATTCAAAGAAGTCTTTTCTTATTTTTATAATATCAAACATTTTTTATAAGCTACAAGTAATAATCCTTTATTCTTTGTGCTTAACAAGGTTGCTTTCAGGTGGCTATTTCGTTACATGCGGCACTGTCAAACAACTATAAATACCTTCAGAATATACACTAGTAGTTTTAATCCTCATTCAATCTTGGAATAACTATAAATATGTTCAGATTAAATTTGTATTTCCTCTGTCTATATTCCGTTATTCTAAACAAAGATCATTGTGACGAAGTAATGTAATATTTATATAACTTTCCCATCTAATAGCTTAAAAGACATTCCTCATGTTAAACTGTTGTGCAAAAGATTATGTATTACATAATAATTGCACTTTATCTTACTTTTAAATAAAGAAGGCTTTAAACTGTATTCATTTGGTCATTCTTTTATTACAAACACATAACTATTATAAATGACAGATCAACATTAAATCAACTAGTTATAACCTTTCGGTGCTTTGACCCCTGAGCCAATCAGATTGCTTGAAAACTCCGCTGACCTGAAAAAAAATTTGCGAGAGTTTCCCCCTGTTTTGATGTGAGGCAAAATTTTAAGCTCCGCTATATATAGCAATATAGCTGTAACTATCATCAAATTTCCCTCAGGTGCTAGAGCATGCCTTACTTACACCATCTAGCTTTAGATTCTGGCGTTGAGACACTCAATCATCACTAAAGTAAGTAGTGATAACCAAGTGGAGGCAGCCTATCTACCTCCTAGCCTCGATAAAGTCTTGTTGAGCTTCAGGGATAGGCACATCCACACAACGTAAAAAAGGTATGCTTCAAAGAAACATAATAAAAGAAAAGAAAGTACAGAAAAGAACATACTACTATAGGAGTATAGCAGTACGTGGGCAAAAAAGGGATGCTCACACAAAGTGAGTCAAAGAAAAGTATAACAAATACAGCATCAGAGATGTTCAGAACATCTCGTTGTTGTTGCAACAAAAATGCATACATGAGCAACATGCATGGTAATAGTCGTATGTAAAGCAACACAAACAACACGCACAACTGCAAAAGCAACAGTGGTATTATAACTTTGCAATAGAACATAATGACTGCTAATGTTGTTTCATATGAAGCCACAGAGGCAACACAACCAACAAAAGAAAAAGAAAAACGCAACAAAACAAACATCATGATAAAATGCATTATCACGAGAAAGGAAGCAGTAATACAAACGTTCAAAGAGTTTTTATATTATTGCGACCAGAAGAAAGAAGATACTTACCACTTACCACCATAGATAGACCAGAAGAGTATAGGCAGCCACCAGAGATAGACTAGAAAACAAGCATGCACCAAAGGCAGTAGACCAGGAAAGACCATATTAGCAGTAGC